ACCCACTTGTGTGAGACGACTTCAATGCCGATGCTGGGCTGCCTCTCTTCAATCTTCACCGCGCAGCCGCGCGAGCTCACCATCTCTAGATCCGGATAGCTGAGTATGGGCACCGAAGCCATGCTCCATTGCTGCAGCTGTTTCCGGCTGCCCCCAACCAATATCTTGCAGAGACCTAACTTGTCGGCCATTCCAGCGCACAACAGAGCCAAGTCCAAATCGATGTCGAAGGTGATGCCAAAATCGTCGACTTTGCCCTCGGGCACGTGCTCCTGCTACGCGAGCCAGGGAATCTGCTCTAATTGTGTGATTTCCTCAAAGACAACACGCTGGCAAAAGCTTAGACCTGTCCTTGAGGACGTTGTTCACAGCGACGGTGGGCGGCCAACTCTGCGTTGAAGCTGGGTATCACGGCCAGGTCTAAACCCAAGAGCCCTGAGACCAAGATTTGGAGCCCAAAGCTTGCAGAGACCTGGGAAGAAAGGTGCACAACCAGGCTGGCTCCCACATCCACGCCTTTTGAAAGGCCGGACTCCGAACGGGCCACCTGCCAGCCCCCTTCGAAGCCCTGAAATCGGGCTTCGAAGCGTTGCTGCTGCGATAGCTCAACGGTCAATGCTGATGTCATCTGCGCAGTAACGGTGGCACCGGAACTGAAAGAGACAGAGGGGGCAAGCTGGATCCACACGCCGGGTATGGGGGTAGGGATGGGAGGAAGCTTGGGCATTGGGACAGAGACAGAGGCCTCTTTGCTCAGGACGGTTGTCATCTTGCTGAAGGTCAGGCTGCTTCTCAAAGACCAGTCGAAGTCCGTGGTAATCAGGATGGAGCTGATGATGCCGGGGAAAACGATGCTGAGACTCACCCTAACCTGCGCGTTTGCGCGCAGCTCTCCCTCCAGGTCCAGACCCGACCCGAAATCCAAGTTCACAGCCTTCAGCATCGACCAGGTCTTCTGCAGGCCCTGAAGGCGCCGACCCCCAGAACCCTCAGAGCCCTCGCCTGGTAGCGACACGGTGGTGTCCAGCTGCAGCTGCTTGTAAACGTCAGTGATTGCTGCTGGCCGCGAATCTGCAAGAAGCACGAGACCCTGGACAGAGACGTTCTCCACGATGACGAAGAGGGGCTCCCCGGAGCTGGCAGTGCCTGTCAAGCAAGACCCATCTGAGATCTCAGGCAAGGCTGCCTTGTGCGTGGCACGCAGGCTGATGCTGGATGCGTTGGCTTCTACTTCGAGGTCGTCACCGGCATTCACAGGCACCACCGTCGCGCCTTCTGCAAGGATGCTGTCAATGCCTGCAACCACAACATGAATCGTACGTTGATCCGTCGACATCTCATCTTGTCCGACGACAGCGGCTACGGCGAGCAAAGAGACGGTAGTGTTAGGCGTCATGTTCTTCAGCGACACATTCAACTGGTCTCCAAGCCGAAGAACAGACACACTGTCTGTGTCAGAGTCGTCTGAATCGTCCGAGGCGTTTAGGATGTCTTCCACACTAAGATTCGTCGGCTTGCTGGCATAGGCCAAGAAGTACTCAAAGCGTTCATGAGAACCACTGCTCAACACAGCAGGCCACGAAACGTCCACTTCGCCGACACGGAATGACACCGCGGATGTGATTCCAGCAAATGACCATGTGCTAAGCACAGAAGTGGTTGTCGTCGTCAGGGTGACAGTGGCCGTCGTTGTTAGAGTTGTGATTGCTGCAGCACTGTGGCTTGTGCTGGTGGCTAAGAACGTCCCTTCCGCAGTGCTCGTTGTGTTCGACGTATCGACCCATGCTTCAGAAGGGTCCAGCGTCTGCTCAATACAACCTTGGAGAAAGCCTGCAAGGCAAAAAAGAAGAAGGGACGCCAGACAACTCAGAGCACTCTTCAACACTTCCTGGCTAGAATGGCCCATGGCAGTAGCAGCGGCTTGCTGCCGAGGCGTTGAGGCGCTGAGAACGAAGGCCCTGATTACAGAGTTTCCTGTGTCAAGCGTCAGCCCTTAAGCCAACAGAGGGCTTCGTAAACCCTAAACCCTAAACCCTAAACCGAACCCCGAAACCCTTTGCAAACCGCATGACGAGGACCACAGCACTCCCATGAAAAATGTGGGCAGATCTGGCCTTCACTCCGCAGCCTAGCCTCGCAAAGCACACGGCAGGGGCAGATGTAGCTCTCAGTTGGGTTTAGGGTTTACCAGACCACTCAGGTGTGTTAGCGCCTTTTCGGTCATTGCCGGGTCCTGAGATAACTGTAGCTATATGCGAGTCAGGGCATACATCTGTACAAGGCACACCCGCATGACATCGAATTAGTCACGGTCTACTTCCGAGACCGTGCGGCATGCGGAATAAGCATAGTGAAGCATGGTGAGTTCCATCCTCACGCACGGCCCCACTTCGTCCCACTTCAACCTTTTACCAGAAGTTGGTGCACACGCAGGGCCCTCGAGCAACGTCAGGAGCTGCCTCTACCTTCAGGCGACCAAAGAGTCGTGGAGACTCCTCGTCCTTGGGCTCGGCCGTCGTCTCAGACTCCTCCAAGCCCTCTGCTTTCATGCCAAGACTGCCCTCGGGGATCACAGGCAGCTCAGCCTCGAGCTCCAGGTCCACCGCAGCTACCGCAGCTGCGCCAGCGCTTGTCTGGCCTTCTCCATCGTCCGTCACTGGCGCCTCCGCCGGCAGCTCCGTGGACTCCGGCTCGGCCGCCTCCGCCGCCTCGGCCGGCTCCGCCGCCTGGACCGGCTCCGGCTCCGTCGCGACCGGCCCCGGATGGACCGGCTCCGTCGGGACCGGCGCCGCCACGGGTGCCTTCTTTGGTGCCTTCGCCGTCTTGGAGGCCTTGGCCGGCTTGGCCACCGGCTTGGAATCTGTGCAACCCATGGCCGAGGACTTTCGAAGTCGGAGTCTTTGGAGACTGCGCGCAGCTACCAATCAGGCTAGAGACGCTAGAGCCAACAAGCAAGGCATCTTGGAAAGTCACATCAGATATCACCTGTCATCCGTGGACAATCAGCTGCGCTGATTGTGCTCCCCAAAACCCTGCTCCACGCTCTCTCTAGGTGTTTCCCGAGTGCCCTGGCTAGCTAATGTCACTTGTCAATCCAGGCAACTCAAGCTGGACGAAGTTGATACTCTCTCACACAGACCCACAGACCCACAGACACACAGACACACAGACACAGAGACACAGAGACGCACAGACACACAGACACAGACACAGACACAGACACAGACACAGACACAGACACAGACACAGACGCAGACGCAGACACAGACACAGACACAGACACAGACACAGACACAGACACAGACACAGACACAGACACAGACACACACACACACACACACACACACAGAGACACACACACACACACAGAGACACACACACACACACACACACAGACACACACACACACACACACACCCTTGGCCCCAAGCATGCCTAAGCAGAAACAAAGTCGGGCTACAAAGCAACGAGTCCACTGCAACACGCTGCCAACCAACCCCGCCTGCGCAGAGCAAGTCCACCAAGCGTCATTGCGAACTCTTGGAAACCGCTCCTCCCCTTTTGACGACTGCAAATTAATGCCATCATGCTCTCTGCTGAGATCAGAGAGTAGCCTGCTGCATCTTGCACATCTTAACACTTCGCTGGCAAGCCCATCCATCACATCATATGACAAACGATGCCATTGCCAAGCTCAGACACCGATCGTGATCACCGCTGGCAGAATGGCAGGTCAGCCAAAAAAAGGTGAAGAAGCGCAACAGCTACAGCCCACGCTGCGTGTCGTGCGTCGGGCATGAGAACGCAGAGGAGCTTTTCGCGCGGGCAGCGTTTCGACGACTGGGTGCTGCTTGACGCCCGCGGCACTGTTTCTAAGCATCCAGCGGGACCCCAATACCTCTTTCTTGTTCCAAAGCAGCCCTTGCACCCCAGCCAGAGATCCAGAAGCCTGAGAATGGTCGCAGTCGGGAAACCTGTGTAATCAACAGATGGGACATGTTATGGCCTGGCGGGGGTGCAAATGGGAAATCCGAATTCCGATCTGCCCACCGAGAATGCACCTTTGCCTTTGCTGAAGCCAAAACCCTTGGTTGTCGCGGCCGCACACCCATCCGACCTCTGCAACGCCCCTATCGTCACAAACATGATGCAGCCTGTGCTACAACCCACAAGCATTGGCAGCCATGTGACCTCCGTCGTTTGGGCAGGACGTAGGGGGCCTGAGGGGAACACGCGAAAAATGGCCTGGAAGACAGTGACGAAGGCTGTGTTTCAGCCCGCGCCCCCAACAGAGGCCGGGGACCTCGCTGCCAAGATCTCGCGTAGCATAAGAATGCTCCAATATAGAGAAATCCTACAATCATACAATCAAAGATAACATAGTAAGGTAATCAAGCGATTCAACAGCTAATGCATTGACATCTAGCATAGCACAAAAAGCACAGAGCACAGAAGCACAGCACAGCAAAGTAGGACGTAATGATTGTAATGATAGTACTGATAGAAATGATAGACATGAGAGTAATGATCGTAATGATCGTAATGATAGTAATGACAGAAATGATCGTAATGATCGTCATGACAGTAATGATCGTAATGATCGTAATGATGGGAATGATGGGAATAAAAACAGAAACATAATAGTGCGACAATGCGATAATGATATAAGTAAGAAATGTTGCAATGCAAAAAAGATAATAAGATGACCTGATAAAATGAAGAATAAGAATACTGCCACCGTACAAGTATTCATAGCTACTCAGACAATGATATAGCAATAGTGATAATATAATAATATAATAGTAATCGTGGCGATATGTTCCCATGGGCAAGATGGTAACGAGTAACAGAACATGACGGTATACCTTTACAACCATAGCCGTAGGGTCTGAAAACAAAGCTGTGAATGATGCAAAATCCCACAGCCTCAGGTGAAGGGCGCCTTCGTCGTGTTCTGGCCGCTTGGGACCCGAAAAGGCCCTCGTTCAGGCGCTGAGACCATCACAAGAGCTCGGGTGTTTGTGAAACTGTCCGAAGATCACTGAAGCTCTGCACGGCGGCGCAGAAAGAATCGATTGTAAAAATTCGGATCGCCAACGTGGCTGATCTCAAGGCGCTGTCAAGGGCGCGGAACGATGCAAGGCATTGCCTTGCACTGGGAAAACGGATTGTGCCAAGACGAAAAGATCGCGATCCAATCTGTCGATTTCGGTCTGTATGCGTCTTTGTGTGCAGAATGGGTGGAAATGACTATACTGGTCAACGTGGCACACCGACAGCAGAGCTGGAAGTACGAACGACGGCAACCACGGACGTAGGGCGAGCTGGAGGATGAGGCCAAGGCTACGACCTGGGGGAGCGCAGTTTGAGGGAGGGGGGGTGATGAGGAATGCTTCAATGGGTTTAGGGTTTAGGGTTTAGGGTTTGGGGGTTTGGGGTTTAGGGTTGAGGGTTGAGGATTGAGGGTTTAGGGTTTAGGGTTTAGGGTTTAGGGTTTAGGGTTTAGGGTTTAGGGTTTAGGGTTTAGGGTTTAGGGTTTAGGTTCATGCCACTCCCCGCAGCACCTCCCTTCCGAGCCCAATAAAAGCTTCGTGCTGAGCCATGCTGAGTTGGTGCTGAGGCGGGAGCACAGCAACGGCCGAAGGAACCTGTCACAGGCAGGAAGCAGAGACTGCGATCTTTCGGATCGGCCACAGCACAACTGTTGGAGAAAGATTACTATTCTGATGAGGATTATTCTTTATTATCTATGATTAATATAACTATTACTATTACTATTATTCTCGTTTTTATTATTATTAGACAAGCACCTGATTGTTCTTCTTGACCTCCTGGCTTCGCGGCGCAACCAAGGCCTGCCAACACCGCGCACATCAGCCCACGACCACATCCTGGGTTAGCCTTACGCCTTACCTCCGTGGTGACCGCAGCTGCGCACGCCGGCCGCAAAGTCTCACCACCATACCTGCTCAGAGAGCCAACCCCCTTTCAGCCCTGGCTGGTAGTCGCACGCAGGTCGCGTAACCGGGGTAACCCAAGACATGTTGCCCTTGCCGGGGTGGCCACCGGATCACGACGTCACCGCTGTCCACGTCGACAGTGGCGGCGCCACCCTGGTTGAAGGCCCCAGAAACCAGGAATTCGGCCACTGGGTCCTCTGCAAGCTGCTATGACTGGGGCTTCAGTACTTAACAGTCTGGGCACTTCTCAAGCATGAACCGTCAAGTTGCAGGCTCCTCGAAAATGCGCTGCACAGCACGGCGCAACGGCCGGGCCTTTGGAGACCCAGAGCACCCCGAACTTGCATGATACATCGCCCGACATTCCTGCCTGGCGTTAACCTTTTGCTTCATGCTAGTGGTTAGTCCGATTGTCTCATCATGGACAGTTTCCCCCCCCCCCCGCTATACCCGCCCCTCCCCCCATCGAGCGGCTAGCGTGCTCTTAGCACTCAGCAAGCCCTCGACACTCAGCATGGCCTCAGCAGCTGCTCGAGCAATCGAGCATCTGCCGAGAGCCTACCGAACGCCTACCGAGCGCGTAGCGAGCGCTTAGCGAGTGCTTAGCGAGTGCTTACCAAGTGCTTAGCAAGAAATGCACTAGAAGTCTCCCCATTCAGCAACCCAACATAGTCCATAAGAATCACAGGGTTGGGTGGACTAGAGAACGTTCTGGCTGAGGATCGATCTCCTGTGACAAGACGAATCGCACGCAAGCTCATCTCGCATGAACTGAACTGACCCACAAACCCATGCCGACCCAACTGTTTGCGGCGCAGAATGCAGGCAGCGACTCTGAATGAAGAAACCGATACCAAACCATGCATTCGGAAGCTCTTCTTCTATTCAGAGTTGGAGCTGGCAAAGAGGAACTGAAACGTCGCTGCCTTCGCTCTGGGCATCTGGCTCCGTAGATGGCGTTCGAGCCGGAGGCCAGGATGACCTGCTCCACTTCGGCCTGACTTCACTCAACCGCTTGCAGAAGTCTGGTGCACTGACACCTGGAGAGTACGTATATGGGACGAGGACGTAGATCGTCTCCAGAAAGTCACACACACATACACACATTCACACATAAATACCCAGCCAGCTCGCCCAGCCCAGAACGTTCCGAGCGCGGCACCGTCCAGGTTAGCTCCAGCGGCTGTGTCGGCCGCCCGTTCTGCAAGGCAGCCTGCACAGAGCAGGATGGCTCAGGGCAAGATCCTGAAGGGTGCGGTTTCATGGTCGACATCGCAGCCTGCAGCGAGGTGCAACAATCTTTGCATTGTAGGCATGACATATACATTCAAGTGCCGAAGTGTCTCCTCGTGCCAGCTTTTTTGCACCATGCCTCTTCAAAAGCTGCCGTTGCACGGGCCCTCGCGTCTCCCAGAACCAGCCGCACCTAAGGCAGGAAGAGGGGGGGGGGGTGGGGGGTGCGTGTGATTCTTTGTGCCAAGCATTTTCTTTATTTCCTCCTGTCTACCCACTACATGTAGAATTCTGGCTCGGTGGGGCGCAATCTGCTTGAACTCCTGCTCCGACAGCGATCGGAAGATCAACAGCTCATCGATGCGGTTCAGGAATTCCGGTCTCGGGGCTTGAAAAAGATTCGACACACGATCTGCGGTTGAACCTGCGTTTAGATGGGCCTGAACTTCTGCTGCAACTGCCGCTGCACCGCAGCGCGCAGCTGGTCGTAGGTGCCCACACCGGACGCCTGGCTTTCAGCTACTCGCAGGCGCAGGCCTAGTGATTCTCCAGACCACTCAGGTGTGTTAGTGCCTTTTCGGTCATTGCCGGGTCCTGAGATAACTGTAGCTATATGCGAGTCAGGGCATACATCTGTACAAGGCACACCCGCATGACATCGAATTAGTCACGGTCTACTTCCGAGACCGTGCGGCATGCGGAATAAGCATAGTGAAGCATGGTGAGTTCCATCCTCACGCACGGCCCCACTTCGTCCCACTTCAACCTTTTACCAGAAGTTGGTGCACACGCAGGGCCCTCGAGCAACGTCAGGAGCTGCCTCTACCTTCAGGCGACCAAAGAGTCGTGGAGACTCCTCGTCCTTGGGCTCGGCCGTCGTCTCAGACTCCTCCAAGCCCTCTGCTTTCATGCCAAGACTGCCCTCGGGGATCACAGGCAGCTCAGCCTCGAGCTCCAGGTCCACCGCAGCTACCGCAGCTGCGCCAGCGCTTGTCTGGCCTTCTCCATCGTCCGTCACTGGCGGCGCCTCCGCCGGAGGGTTTGTGGAATTGAGCTCGCCCGCCTCCGCCGCCTCGGCCGGCTCCGCCGCCTGGACCGGCTCCGGCTCCGCCGCCTGGACCGGCTCCGGCTCTGTCGGGACCGGCCCCGAATGGACCGGCTCCGTCGGGACCGGCGCCGCCACGGGTGCCTTCTTCGGTGCCTTCTCCGTCTTGGAGGCCTTGGCCGGCTTGGCCACTGGCTTGGAATCTGTGCAACCCATGGTGAGAACTTTCGAAGTCGGAGACTTTGGAGACTGCGCGCAGCTACCAATCAGGCTAGAGACGCTCGAGCCAAAAACCAAGGCATCTTGGAATGTGCGCCTCACATCACATCAGATTTCACCTGTCATCCGTGGACATGCTGCGCAGATTGTGCTCCCCAAAACCCTGCTCCACGCTCTCTCTGGGTGTTTCCCGAGTGCCCTGGCTAGCTAATGTCACTTGTCAATCCAGGCAACTCAAGCTGTACAAGATGTTTGCATGGAGTCTGTACAGTGGTCCTTACGCCTACGCCCACCATGCATCAGGGCTTGAATTCAACGACAGTGAACTGTTTCGCCGTGTCAAAAGAGATCCAACAGCAAATCTCCTGTGTCGTGGGCCGCTTCGGTGACAAACTCACCGGCATCTGCAGCGACGTCAGCCGCAGCGTGCCCTACGTCGGAAACAGCCGAATCCCATCCAACTTCTGCAACGTGCTCTCCGAGCACAAGGCCTGCCACAGCCAAACCACCTGCGGCCACGACAGCTGCACCACCAGCTGCCACCTTCGCGCCTGTGCTCCACTTCTTGGCATCTACCTTCGCTGGCTGCGGATCTGTAGAACTCTCCTTGCCAGCCTCCTCCAACGCGTCCGCTGTACATGGAGCAGTCGTGGAGGCGGCAGGTGCCGAAGGTCTTAGACTGTCAAAGGGCTTAAGACGGGACATAGGGGTGGGTTCGGCCACGGGTACCGCCATGGCAGGCGTGGCAGGCATGGGTGGGGCCACGGGAATGGCCATGCGTGCCTCTGCGGGTGTTGCAGGTGTGGCAGGCGGAAGTGGAACGAGCATGCTGGCACCTGCCCTGGCCGCTGCAGGGACCTGGACAGCGATGAACTGGCCCGCCGTCCGTGGATCTGGAACATAGATGCACGTGCCTGCCGTTCCTTCTGGGACCCTGACCCGCAGCTTTGGCGCTGCGGACTTTTCGCTTGTATCTCCCTTCCAACCTCGTGGTGGCCGGATGGGACGGGTCTTGCTGCTGGCCATGTTCGTCTGGGTCATCTTGCGGAAATCCACCTGGTAGCGATGGCACCCGACCTTGCAAGGCACGATGTCCAGGCCGGCCATGTACGCCCGCTTCAAGGCCGCATCCTGGGACGGCTCAACGTCTCGCCAGGCGCCTGCGAGCTTGACCTGAAAGCAGCCCGCTGGGCTTGAGGGGCCGGCCGTCATCGGATTTATTAAGCTGCGACTCTTTTTCAAGCCGACACTTCGACTTCACTAGAGCAATCAAGAAGCTCTTGAGCAAAAGAGCCCGAGCACACAAGACGGCCTGAGCACGCCAATTTTTGTCCAGGGAACCCAGAGCAACTCAAGCAACTGCAACGAGTCTGCAAACGTCAGGTGCAAGATAATGCGATGGTGCATGTGGCCTGTTGAAGAATTTCCTGGCTTCCCACATTCGAGGTCATCACCTGAGCGATGGCGCGCACGCATCAAGATGTATCTCAACGGTTCCAAGGCAGCAACTGCAACGGCTATGACTTAGCCCCCTGCAATGATGGAGTTGGAGAAACTAACCGTTCGGCCCTTGCGCAAGCACTGTGGGTTGTGGGGATACGCCAGGCTTTCTGGACAACAGTTGCTGCAGATAACATGCCACAGGCGATCACGTCAAGGCGCAATCAAGCATTCGGCACATCCCCTAAGGCTCTCCGCTCAGGAGTTGAGCATGGCTCGAAGCTGCTATGGGGTTGTGTTGAGCTGTGTTTCGAGCAGCGGGCCTTTCCATCTGTCAGTCGCCCATCCTCCAGCACTTGCAGGAGGAGATTGAGCACCTGGCTGTCGTGCAGCTTGAGGTGCTGAAACAGCTCATCCTGGTTTAATTTAACAGATATTTGTATATATATATATATAGGTAACTGCCTATTGTGGCGGGGGGAGAGCCTCAGAATGGGCTTTCTCGATCTCGTCCAAGACCACCACGCTGTACGGCCGTCGACTCGGGAGCCAGCCATTATGAGGGACATTGAACACTGGCATCAAGTAACTGTTTCAAGAGCTTCGGGTGTAGACAACTCATCCGGCACATTTCTGGTCACCGAATGGCTTGAGAACTACCAGCAATCGAGAAACTTAACCGGTACATGCCCTTGCTTACACTCCGAATGCAGGGCTTTTCCAAGGATCGCACCGCACGGCCTCTGTTAGCTGGCCACTTCGAGGATCGTCGTAGCCGATCTCACAACATCTTTGACAGAAGGCTCACTGCCCGACCACGCGAAAACCGTCTGTACTTCTGGCTACATGCACTAGATTGCCCGAAACGACACCGAGATCCTGGCATAGCCAGGTGGCGCGCCAATGAGCCGGGAGACACTATGGGGTTCGGAGAACTCGCTCATGTCAAGGCGCACCATGGCCTTTCCAGATCAGGTGAGTTCACTCCTTGCACCAGCTCTACCACTCTACCATCTCAAACAAAACCGGATGCAAAGCACTTCGCCTTGAGATCCGCATAGTACTCCTCTGCCAAAACGCGGCACAGCTCGGTCTTGCCGACACCTGCAGCATCTTCTGGGCTCCGCAAACTTAAGCCTTGCACGGATCATGACGCCACAAGACGGCACGACATGGCAATTAATTCACGACACATCCCGTAGAGCCTGTAGGGCCGGCGAAGAAGAACGAGGCCGTTGGGCGGCCGGATCCTCTGCCACCGGGCTTTTCACATCGTTGCCGCCTCTGGCTTCGATACCATGAGCTGGCGGTGTCCACACTGGACGGATATCTCTCAGAGCCATGCTTAACTAGCGAAGATCAGCCAAGTCAAGCTCAAACTGAACTGAAAGTGTCTCTGCTCCTGCCAGACCGCTCCGCGCTCGCCGCACGGCGCGGGACAAGGCACTGACGGCAGGCGACTGACCTGATTATGGGCTGATGATGACTGATGGACGTCTGAACCGGATCTCCACTTCTGAACGGACTTGAGATGTGACTCATGACCGTATACTGGGGCACCCTGCCAATGATGCGCTGCTCCAAAGTCTCCTTCCGCGCAGATGAGAGCCATGTTCAACGAATGCTGGCTCGAGACACGCCTGCATCCTCGAAAGGGCTCTCTGGCGACTTGGAAGTTCATGGGTAGGTATAGCAAAAAGGGTACCCCTTATATTTTTCTAAACCCCAAATGAACCTTCCCTGGTCTTCTCGCGACGCCTCCAGGCGCATCAGTCTCTCCGACTCACCCTCGGAGAGTCGCTCTACGGGTATGCCCGACCTTGCAAGGTTTTCTGGACAGTTTAGGGTTTCGGGTTTAGGGTTTAGGGCTAGGGTTTAGGGGTTCGGGATTTAGGGTTCAAGGTTTAGGCATACGTGAAAAGACCTTAGATAGGCTGATAAGCTTGCTTTGAGAGGCGGCACAGGCCCCGGCCACTTTGCCAGGACTGTTGCAACGTCTTGCGCTGTCACCAGGGGCTTCGACCTGCGCATTGGCACACTCATCTCGCATGCGTTTCGAGGACATCGCCACTGTGAACTGCGACAGCTGCCCCGTTAAACCCTAAAACCCAAAACCCTAAACCCTAAACCCTAAACCCTAAACCCTAAACCCTAAACCCTAAACCTTGGCATTTCAAAACCGAATCCCTCAATACTTGTTTCATGTTGCAACGCTGCTCCGCGGCTCCCTTCTGGATGTCCACGGGTTGTGGGATCGGGACGTGTTCAGACATAAACAGATCTGGCGCTGCTCCTTTCTGCAAAGTCTAAGGGCATCTCAAACTGGGGATCAGAGGCGTTTGAAGGCGACGTCCAAGCAGAGATTGTTCGCTTCTCCAAGTCGAAGATTCCGGTGATGGACGTGAAACAGTCATCCTTGCTGGTACGGTTCCGCCACACCGGCCAATCTGGGTCAGACCTGTCTGACAAGAAAGCTCGCAAGGCTGTTATGCTGTTTGGCCGAAGCTGCTGCCAGCGTTCCTCACGGTGAGCCGAGGATGCCTCGGGGAATTGGGACACGTTCAGCAGCTTGAACTGGTTCGCGTGCACATACGGGCCCGTGATCTTTCGGATGGCATGCACACCACCCGTAGTAACCTCGAGATTCCAGAGCTGCTTCTCGCCAAGGAGACCGACATTGTAGTTCAAGGCTGTGGTCACCTTCCTGTTCGACGCACGTGTGACCAGGTCGTCCAGTGATTTCGCCTCGGTCATGTGCCGGGATACCCATGCGGTCCCAACCCCTCGAGACCGAAAGCTACGAGGAAACAGAGAGTTCACCGTCCAGACCACACCGTAGGAATTCCAGTTCAGCTGTCCTCCGAAAAGAAGTCCCGGATAGCACCATGATCCCATTCGGAACTTGGTTCTTCCATTAGAGTCAAGGGCGGTTGCGATCACAAAGTAGGAGGACTTTCGCCAGTTGATGGACCAGTCGTCATTGTGGCCAAGGGCAGCCACCTCTCCATTCATGACGTACCCATCCGTGCAGTGGCCTTCCTGAGCTCGAGGTTGCACCCACTGCGCGAGTTCCTCGCAGCCACGGCTGGTCTATCAAGCAACCCTTACCGCCCAGTAAGGAAGGGGGGGGGGGGGGTTCGACATTCGGGGTACCTTATCATGAGGGAATCCTACTGTATGGGGGTTTGGGGGCGTCTATTTTAGGGGTCCCCAATTTTTCGTAACCCCCGTATGATAGCACATCTTGTTCCGGGCCCGCCAGAGAGTTCCACACCCAAGCACAAGGCCTGGGGCAAAGAATCAGAAACGCTTTCCGGGGATACTCTGTCGGATGCGGTGTGGGGAGACGAGATTCCGGGCGAGGAGGATAGCAGAGCTCAAATCGATTAATCCCACACCCGAGGGTAGAAGAACAAAAAGCAAAAAGAGGCTAAACCCTAAACCCTCAAACCTAAACCTTAAACCGTAAACCCCAAACCCGAAACCCTAAACCCGAGGTGCCTCTCGAAGTTGATTCACAAGCACTCGCTGCAGGGCAATGCCGGAGCCGTCCGCCATGCCCTCCACCTTACAAGCACTTGCAGGCACCAAAAACGCACTTCCCTGCACGATTGCTTAGCTGAAATTTCTCCTATCCCGGCACGCCCTAAGCCCTAAAACCCTAACCCCTACACCCTAAACCCTAAACCCTGCACCCTACACCCTAAACCCTAAACCTACACTGAAGGGCCTCTCGCATGTAGAGGGGGTAGGTGGTGTTGGTCTCCGAGACAAGGCCCTCAAAGATGTCGCGCCCTTCCGCAAGCACCTCGGCATGAGAGAACTCCTTAAGGATTTAGGGTTGAGGGTTTGGGTTTGGGTTTGGGGTTTAGCTCAGAAAACACCTTTAAACTTACAAAGATCGCTTAAGACTGGCTGGGGTGAGATTGCACGAAGTCGTGTCGGGAGCCCCTGCTGGTCACAGTCCCTTTCTCTTCTCGCTACCACCAATGGGCCTAAGTGTCACCTAGGCCTAAGTGTCATTGTTCATGGGATCTAACCGAACGACTTGGAGGAAGCGAGGCAACTCACATTGTCTCACACGGGCTTCGTCCGTGTGACAGGCGTTGCCCTGATGCGGTTGTCTGGCGTCTGGGCATTCCCTTTACACATAGTCCCCAAACAAGGAGTCGATGTTTATTGCTGCATTGGGATGTTCCAATAACAACATAAACAAAAAAACAATATATCATGAATCATGCTCATTGGGTCGCCTGGCCATGGTGCTTAGGTGAGGTTTGCTGAGGCCAAGCTGGCCAACGTTAGCATGATGCGCTGGTGCAGCAGACCCGCAGGTCAGCTAGTGCAAGACTTGCTCCAGCCCTTGCTCGGGCCGAACTCGCTCTTCTCCTGCTGGTGGGTTTTGAGTCATGGCCTGAACCACGCGTGGCGCTGTCGCACGCCGGTTCGTCGTACGTCATCGGCTGTCACGGATACATTTTGGTTCTTAGGGCCTCTAGTCACTCTAGTCCGGATGCCCTTTGTCTTGCCTTCTTGCTAGTGCTTGCTCTCTCGTTCTTTCGCTTTCTTTTATTGCCTAGAAGCCACATATGGCTTGCCGAGGAGCCCAGGCTTCCATGGTGTGAAGCTGCGAGTCTCGCGCCCACACGGCCTGGATGTCAGGACCCATTGCCTCCCCAATGGCCTTTCCAAACTGGAAGTGTCCATCACTTGTCCCGTCCACGTACTCCACAAAAACGGTCCTCAGAAACCCCGTGCCACAAGCAGAAGCCGCGAGGAGTGCTGAAAGCCATGGCTTGAGCATGGCTTGTCACTCTGAATCAGAGGAACGCTGCACACGCAAGATACTGCTTGAGCCACAAAGCATCGACGAGTGCTGAGCTGGTCGAGGGCACGAACCCCAGTGTGCCCTTGGAACAAGAATAACTATACAGCATAGTAATACGGATCATCACAAGAAGAAGAAGGATAACAGCGACATGTTTTCTTATGGTTACTATTTCCAACCGCGAATCCCGTGATGACATGCCATCCCAAGCTATCTGGTTCTCAGTAGGGAATGAGGGAATGAGGTACCCTACATCCCCCCCATATCTATATATATATATATACATATATACTCTTTAAGGGTTATGTAGGGTACCTCATTCCCCTATGCCCTACTAAGAAAAATCTCATGCTGAGCTGTGTCTGCCAACAGTAAAGGCACGCCAACCGACTTGTGAGGAAGACGTGACGCCAACCGACTTGTGAGGAAGACGTGACAAGGAAACACCTGTCCCAGCACGATGCCGGCACACTAAGAACCAGGGGAAAGATGCACATGGATACATCTCGGCGCCGGACAGCTCTCCAGGTTCCGCTTGGTTGTTGGCCTGGGGGGCAGGTTCCTTATGAAGCCACCGCCTAAACCCTAAACCCTAAACCCTAAGCCCTAAGCCCTAAGCCCTCAACCCTCAACCCTCAACCCTCAACCCTCAACCCTCAACCCTCAACCCTCAACCCTCAACCCTCAACCCTCAACCCTAAACCCTAAACCCTAAACCCTAAACCCTAAACCCTAAACCCTAAACCCTAAACCCTAAACCCTAAACCCAAATTGAACCTGCCGATTTACGCCCCTTGGGAGGCCTCCTCAAGCTCCATCTCTGTTCGCCACTGGGCCTCACCGGAGCCATCACACGAGCAGTAAGAAAACACTAGCCACACAAAACCCTAAACCCTGAATAGGGGTTTAGGGTTTAGGGTTTAGGGTTTAGGGTTTAGGGTTTAGGGTTTAGGGTTTAGGGTTTGGGGTTAAGGGTTAAGGGCTAAGGGGTTAGGGTTGAGATGTTCTTATACTAACAGTCCGTAGTAGGGATTATAGTACCCCCCCTTTTATAATCCCTACTAAGGACTGTTAGTATAAGGGGAAACATCCCAAGTAGTACTCATCGTCGCCACAACAACAAGAAGTCATACGGATATGAACTGAAGCATGGATATTTATACTAGCATCAAAAGAGGCCATATTCGTACTGCAGATGCAATCTGGGATTTTCCGAAATTCGGGGGTCCCCTAGTTTCGTAAACCCCCATATCTCAGGGCACGACCAGGCTGCTTGCCTCGTCAATCAGGTCAACTGCCTTGCAGGGACTAGCATGCGGGCTATCTTCTCAGAGAGGTCCTTGCAGGTCTAAATGCCCCCGGCCTGCGCATCCTCTGACATTCAATGCTTTAAGGGTTCTGAGCATTTCTGAGTGACGACAGCACAAAGCAGTGCTCTTCTAGATACTGATCACGAGCCATTTCGCAGAGGTCGCGCGGCATGTTTGCGGTTCTCAGCTTAACGCCTAAGATCCGGGCCATCTGATGCCGCTACAGTATGCTTGCGGTCAGGATTTCTTCAACAGGTTGCAGAATGATGCCTCAGTGCCCTAAACCCTAAACCCTAAACCCCTTTTGATCAAGGCCTTGTCTGGCAAGAAACGGTCGTTGACATATCCTCAGTGGACTCATCGTATCTAAGCTCTGGGGGCCAACGCTCGGCAAGACCATCTCTCTTTTGTTGCCAGGTAGCGGTCTGACAGCCGGGCAGCAGCCTCACCCACTTCAGCGCAATCTAATCATGGGGGCTCAGCATGCACAGAGAGCCGGGCAACTTGAAACACGGCTTCAGGCGAAGAGATGTTGAGAGAGGCTCAGGAAGTCACGTGCGCGTGGTCGCTTTGAATCCCTCACACTAGCTTAATGCAAGGTCGCGGCCTGAAGAGCTTCGGGTGTCAGGAGAACTCCATGGTGCGCCTCCACGGCAGCACTTTAGGGTTTAGGGCTTAGGGTTTACAATGTTTACAATCGGCGACGATGCTCGACTGTAAACCCTAAACCCTAAACCCTAAATCCTTTACGATAAGGCCTCGTAGGCCGGGCGGAGCCCCTCCAAGACCTCGATGCTCTGGGCCACGCTGGGCTCCTGCAGAACGGAACTTCGCGCTTTCTACAGGCTGAGCAACACTTGGCTCAGAAGACTTCCGAAACTTGTACGAACCTCTCAACCTCTTAGGGCCAAGAAGGCCCTTGCAACCAGATGAACAAGTCTGAAAGTTTCTCACCACTCTGTTGCAAGCCCAGGTTTCAAACATGAGCTTGCGCTCGCCTCGCAGCTCACGCGCTGGAAGCGCCGCTCTAGGGCAGCATCCTTCTCGATGTGCTTTGTGTACCTCGATTTGCCATTAAGGGGGCTTCCGAAAATCCCTTTTAAGGGGATTCGATTCTATTTGGGGTAGAAAAAGGGTACCCCGACTTTGGGGAATACCCATCTTCCCCAAAACTCTCCACAAGGGCCGCTTAGCGCTTCGAGAAGGCGCACTCATCCGCCGTGGTTGCCCCGATCACCTGGCGTCGCTCACCCATCTGATCTACCAGGCTGGGAAGAATCAAGTGCCAACACAAACATATAGATACGTATGTATAGACAGTATAGATATATGTATATATACATGTGCATTATATTGAACCATATTATTAGGAATGGTGAGCAACAACACGAATTAGGAAGGATTTTCAAGCCCTGAAACCCTAACACCCAGTATTAAAAGCCGAAACACATAACACCCTACACCAATTTTATTCCTAAATCCTGGAACCCCAAAATATGCCTGAATACCTAAAACAACGAACCCTAAAACCCAAATCGAAAAACCCAAACCCGTAGACCCAAAAACCCAAGGCTCAACCTAAGAAAACCAAAAATATTAACCCTAGAAACCCAAAACCTGACCCCTTGAAGCCTTCATTATCCCTAAAAGGCTAAAACCCTAAAGCCGTATAGAACCCTGAACCCTAAAACCCCTATTGGCCCCAAACCTCTAAACCTGAACCCTAAAACCCCGTATGAGCCCTAAAACTCTAAACCATTTGTTAACCTCAAAACCTAAATTGCTGCATTAACCCAACCCTAGAACCCCATAATGAAACTGAAAAACCATAAAACTCTACACAACACCAATAAAGCCTTTTCTATCACCAAAACCCTAAAACATCCTAAAACCCTACAGCAACACTGAAAACCCGAAGCCAAAAAACCTAAAACCCCATACTAAACCTAAACACCTCAAACCCTATAATAACCCTAAACTCTTAAACCCCCACCTTAAACCTAAAACCTATATTAACCCTAAAAAATCCTGAAACCCTACACCTTACTTTTAACCTGAAAACCGAATGCCACAAAACCCTAAACCCTAAAACCCCTATTGACCGTGAAATGAACCCCAGATTAACCCAAAAAGACTCAAACCCTAAACCCCAATCCCTACATAAACCCACAAACCTGAAACCCTAAAAACTTGTACTAAACCTCAAATCAAAACTCAAAACCTAGACCGCTGCCTAGATTAACCCTAAACCCCGAAAACCTACATCAACCCTTACACCCTGAAGTTCAAATCACATCTTCGAACAGGACCATGATGAAACTCAGATGAGAATACTTTATCATGAAATGTTCAGGTTGCTTTCAAGTTTTGAGACAACAGATATGAAAATTGAAAACGACAAGAACTTTTATGAATCAGGCTCTGCAACCCCACAAACCGTTTTAAACCTAAAACCCAACAAAGAACTCAAAATCCGATCTTTGCCCTTAAAAAAGGTAGACTAACCCTCCTAATCTTAACCCCAAAAACCTAAAACCCCAAATCCCTAAAGCTCTAAAGTCACAGATGTGAACCTAGAAACTCTATATTAAGCCTCGAAAGCCTGAAACCCTCAGACCCTATAATATCCCTAAATGTCAAATTAACCCTAAAACCCTTTCTTAACCCTACTACAAACCCAAAGCCCTAAACCCTAAAAACCTACATTCACCCTACAACCCTACATTAGCCCTAAAAAACCTTAAAACCCTTTCGGAACCCCAAAAAAAGAACCTAAGCGCAAAAAACGCTTGTTGACCGACCCTAAACCCTAAATCCTAAACCCTCAACCCTAAACCCTAAACCCTCAACCCTAAACCCCATGGCTCTCCCGAGGCCGCAACTTGTAGCTCGCCGCGTGCAAGTGAGGGTTTCAGCAGGTTGGCCGCGTCCATGGAGGAGTCCGCACCTCCAGCTCAAGAGGCTGAAGGTTCGGGGGTGTAGGGTTTAGGGTTTAGGGTTTAGGGTTTTGGGTTTTGGGTATAGGGCTAGGGTCTAGGGTTCAGGGCTTAAGGGTTATAGGTTTCAGGGGTTTAGGGGTTTGCGGGATTGAGGGAAAGCACCGAGACGCCCTTCAAGCGGCTGCGTGCACGCGCTTCCGCTTCTGTGAGTGCAACAGGAGCCCTGTCATCGATAGTTTCGGGGTTTTGGGGGTGAATGTAGGGGATAGGCTTAGGGTTCTAAAATTTTAGGTTCTTAGGGTCAATGTAGGTGCTCTTTCACTGTGCCCATGTCCGTTGTAGACCTCTCCGCTCCATCGCGGCGGGCTTTCTCACGTTCGGTTCTGCATTGATATTATGAGTTTAATGCCAGTTGAGGTTGGGATACATGGCTCCACTGGGGACAAGCAAATGAAACTTGAAACACTGCAATTCACGAGTTCCTTGCTGGGCTCGATAGAGAGCCCCATTTGCACTCTTCAGACGAACCCAAGCATGCCCAACTCAGACATGAAGAGTTCATCCTAGTGCTTACGAACTGCTGCAACAGACGTTGAAAAAAAAACAGACAGACAGAATGCCTTTCAGAAGAGTGCCACAAACTGCGGTGCCTGTAGGGATGCTTAAAGCTACGCTTAAAATTTGGAGCTTCGGCTCTCCCACCGGGCCGCCAACCTGCGGCGCCGGCTCCCACTATCTGGTGGATCCTGGACTGAGGCAGCAGAAGGTGCTGTTGAGTGGGGGGGTGAGTTGGGATGTTCCCCCTTAACAGGGAACTATATAGTACGTAGCCCTTATTAATAATCTCTATTAAGGACTTCTAGCAGAAGGGGGAACATCCCCGAGCTGTGAGTCGGGGCAGGGTTGAGATTCTGATGGAGAAGAGACTGAGCAGCGGGCTCGTCAATAAAGAGGCAGACGTCCCGCTCATCACTGGTCACCTCCTTGATGATGTTCTTCAAACCTTCAGGATAACGGGCGGCGAACACCATGCCACGTGTACTTGGCATGCCAACCGGCTGCGTCAGCTCTGGCATCTATTCTCACTGGTGAAGAGGCCCAAGCGGTCTTCAAACTCACCGCGGTACTTGGTTCCAGCCTCAGGCATGGAGCCGAAGTCAACAAAGCGCACAATGCAATTCTGCGACATGCTGCATGTTCCAACAGCGCATCAAAGCGCAATGCACGAAGACCAAAAGGACAAGAACAAGACGTGGACATCTGCCAGCGTGTGCCCAGTGAGTCCGGCGCGACAAGCTGGCCCAGGTCCAGGGAGTAGACCTGCTTTCCCTTCAAGCGACTTGGCACCTCGCAACTGCAAAGACGCATAAGAGCCATCTTTCCAAAGTTCGGGTTGAGGGTCATCTTCTACATCTGCGTAGAGTGGGGATACGCCACACCTTGCCCTCCGCAATGCGAATGGCCAGCCCTGCCACGGGTCTTCTTCTCAGAAAAGAATGCTCATGCATTGAACACTGGCCAGAACATCTTGGAAAACAGAGATGCCACTGCTCTCAAGCGAAACCATTTGCAACTTGGATGACTGAGCAGGTGGAAGGGTCAGCGGCCACAGGCCAAACTCTCACCGGACGAAGTAACAAACTCAAACCGGCCTTCCACCACTGCAGTCTTTCCGACACCCGCAGGACCCACCAGGCAAGCATTGTTCCTTGGTGCAATGTGGACATGCGTGGACCAACCCCAACCTATCTTTTGCCCATGGGCGGCCGTAAACACGCAAAAGTTGCGTTGCCGCGGCGCTGCTCTGACATGATGTGCAAAACGACTCACTGATTCATTTCTGTGGATACAAGAAAAAGCTCATCAGGATTCAGAGAACTCGGCGTCTCTCAATGGGCGGCGTATGTCTCCCCCCCAGGCACTCCCAGTCCCATGGGCCCACACTTGCGCTTGCGCAGCAATATCTGGATGATCCGCTCCATCTCCTCCTGTCGACCTGACAGGCACTTCAGCATCCAAGAAAGACCAGGTGGTCCGGGAAGCGTGCGTTTCCTCTCTGGCCATTGGGCTTTCATTCTTCTGCTTGGACTCCTCCCTCAACCTGCCCTATTCTTGGGTCAGAAACATCTCAAATCCGACATTCCATGCCACAGCCTGCGTCAAACGCTCCTGGATATTGGGTGCCAGGCCGACCACTGGATCTAGCAAACCATCCAGAGCCATTTGCCTGAGCTCCAGTCTCTCATGCAAGATGGCTGGAGGGCATGCCATCTTTGTTTGGTGACACATAGTCACAATATTATCGCAATATTAGTACATACACGAAAAGTATGTACTAATTATATCAATAGAGTTCATACAGGGCTACGCATCCACAGACTCTGAACTTCCCCGAGGAGTGAAAGGAGAATTTTCGTTGTTTGGCATAGCGAGGACTTGCAAGGCATGCCGCACGCCGTATCAATTCTGCGATGCAGCTCTTCCAGGGTTTTGCGCTTGGGGCTTTAGGGGCTTCAGCAAGCGCTAGGGGCTTCCGGAGAAATCTGGCGCGAAGGCTCGATCGAATGCCTCGTGTCTTTTGATCTCTACGGGGCCTTGTTCCCTTGTTCTCCCGCCCCGTGCCGTCATTGGCAGCCTTGCTACCCAAACCTTCTCCGTATTGTAGGGTTTTAGGCCTACACGCGCCTCAACTGCATGTTTCCAAAATACCTCCTGGAGTCTCAGGACCTTGCAGGGGGGGGGGGGGGGGGGGTCCGGCCTTCTAGCGGCTTCCAAAAGGGCTCCCATCCCAGGATTGGGGTTTTGCCGTGCAATGGAAGCATGATTCCATGCGCTTCCCAACCCCCCGGCTCGAAAAGGCTGCTGTGAAGCTAGCGCTCTACTATCGCCACATTGCTGTTTAAAGAGCTGTACTTGGGGGGGGGGGGGGGCCTCATAACAAAGACGTAAAGTTGATATAGATCATGGCTCTTGCGCCTTTCTTTTTTAAAACAAAAAACCTTTTTGAGAACTCACCATGACATGTACACGCAGTGCAGGTCAGGGCACGTCAGGTCTGTGGCAACCTGGTCCAGGGTCATCTCGGACTCGCTAGACTCATCTGCCTCAGCTCGAGAGGCCCACGTGCTTGTGCTCACAGTCACAGAGCCTGCCGCATGATAAAAAAAATAAACAAGCAAAAGATTGTATAAATAATATCCGCAACAATGGAAGCTATAAACAGCAAAAATTGGTAATGTAAAGAAATTTAGACAATTCGAACAATAAGAATGACATAAGCAACGAACAACAATTCATGTATGTATACATATATATATGGAAAAGAGACATGAATGATGACTGCTTCACTCGACGGTTCTCGGGTCCACGCCCCCACAGCGGTGAGCTGTCGCTCTGGCGGGCCTGGGGCTGACCTGAGCAATTCCGAGTCCCCGGGCGACCTGGGGAGCCGTTACACCGAATTATATATTATACATGACATATTATATTTTATACAATATATATTACATGCTATATATTGTAAGTTATATACTATACAGAAATATTGTGTTTTTGATATTTTACATTATCTATTTTACACATTATACATCGAAATATCACATGTTTACAGATCCTTCAAGATCCCCTTCGCGCAACCTCAGGCCCCAGGCGCAGCTTCTGAGACGGCTTCGCGCAGCGCATTTCCTGAAAGCCCGAGGCCTTCGGAAAGCGGCACAGCTGTAGATGAAGCGCGAGGAACACCCCTCATTAGAATCCCGATTAAGAACTGTTAGTATAAGGGGAAACATCCCTAAACCCTATACCCTGACTTTACACCATGGAGGGCTGTGTAGACGCCTGCAAGCATCTTTGCCCCGCCACTTTGGGCCAGTTTGTCGGCGCCTGGGAGAGACACTTGTAACAGCTCAACGGGCCATGGGTTGCACTGACACATGCTGACAAAGCCTGGTGAGTCGGAGTTGCAAGACGTTGCAAACACACAAAAAAAAAACGCTGGGCCACCCGGGCTGAGGGCTAGAAGCAACTGCTCGCAGCCGATCTCTATGTTGCCAACTGAGTCTTCCTCATCGGGTGCAGGTCTGACAGTCCAGCATGCAGTGGCATTAACATGTTGCAACCAGCGGCGCAACCGCGTAACCAAGTAAGAACATGTCTCCCCCAAGCTCGGCTTCAGGCATTTGCTGTGTCGAACAACAGCCGAGCGTTCTCGCTGAACGGCAGGGAGCCGGATCCTGCAACTGCCAACGCAGCACCTTTACTGAGCCTGTTCTTCCCACTGTGGGGCTTCGTCCGCAAAGTTGTCTAATCTTGTCTGAGTTACATGCACAACCAGACGAAGGTGATCCTCAAACAGACCAGGCCACCCGAGGTGTTGTTTTTCATACCATCCCGACGGCATCTTCCAGACTTCGGAGAACCCACCATTTGCAGAACTACACCAGAAAGCGTCCCCCCTTGTCGAAGCTTTCCATGCATCACGCTCGTCGAAACAAATCCTCAAGGGAGTCCTCCGCCTGAAGCCCTGAACCCTACACCCTACACGCTAAACCCTAAACCCCAAATCCTAATCCCTAATCCCTAATCCCTAAACCCTAAACCCTAAACCCTAAACCCAAACCCTAAACCCTAAACCCCAAACCCTAAACCCTAAACCCTAGACCGCACCTGACGCGTCTGTCGCCGGTCTCGGGCTGCTGGCAATGAAGCGCTTCAGAGCCTCCCAGCGACTTTCCCGGAACCATCCTTTGTGGGCGTGCGAAATATGAGGGGTTTAGGGTTTAGGGTTTAGGGTTTAGGGTTTAGGGTTTAGGGTTTAGGGGTTAGGGTTTAGGGTTTAGGGTTTAGGGTTTCGGGTTTGGGGTTTAGGGTTTAGGGTTTAGGGTTTAGGCTTTCGGGATGAGGGTTTAGGGGGCCCTAAACCCTGAATACGAACCCTAAATTGAGAAAAACGTGGCTACAAGTACAGCTACAACTGGGTTACTAAGCACCATGAACCTCGAAGTAGACCCTAACCCTAAACCTAAACCCTGGTTCTCGCAAGGTTCCTCTGAGACTCCCATAGCTCCATAAGGGGCGCCTCGCGCGTGACTCCTTTCCGCACCTGGGTTTGGGTTTTGTAGGGATTACAGGAGTACAGGGACTGTGGGGTGTAGGGATTATCGGGCTTATAGGGAGGGTCGGGTTGTGAAATTATAGGGTTGAGAGTTAGAGTGTAGGGGTGGGGATTGTAGGGACAGTAGGGATGATTGAATTATGGGGATTGCTGTACATTTCTCATGGCTTCCTGGGGTTTCTCTTGCATGGGCTCAGCAGAAAATCTGAGGCATGGGCCAGAGCAGTTTTCGCTATTAGGTTGGCACCCTTCTGCTCCTCCCGCTATCGTAACACCATCTGAGATTCACTTCCAGCAGGACGTCACGCGAATTTGACACCTCATGTGACCTTCTGCAACTCAACTTGCACAACTACACACTGTAGGAGGCCCAAGTGGAGTGCAACCGGCATGCGTCTCCTCCGAAAATATCCCGAAGATAATGAGCTCGGTGGAAACCACGCCATGGCCTCAGAACAGAAACGGCCAGGGACCACCCCTCACAAGGCGTTGTGGCCATGGCGGCCTTCAGACAGAGAACATACTTGGTAGCCCAGTAACCATATGATAACACCCTTTTTGGCTAGGTTATTCTATAAGGGAACCCATCACCAAAAAAAGGGTAAAGGGTACCACTGGGCTAACAAGCATAACAGAACTTCGGGTTTTTGGGTAGCCGGCTCCGTCTCAAAGCCTCCTCCTGTTGTCGACACAAGAATGGTGCCGCATTCAGAGAGGACGTCATGTAGCACGGCCATGGCAACACCCACCTGGGCACTGTAGATGGCTGTAATGGCGTCCTGCCGGAATCGATCAAACACCTGGGGCAGAATGTAATTGGCGAATATTCGTGCCACTTCATGCCAGATAACTTTTACATTCCGGTTCCAGTGCAGCCGAAGCTGGTGCGGCCGTTTTGCACATACGCCGCATAAGACACTGGCCAGCCTTGCCGGCTTGTTCATCCCGGCATCGTACCCCAAACCCTTAAAAAGCAGGGGCACGACACTTTGACATCCTCAGCGGCCTCCACCTTGACACCCTTTGATTCACCCAACAAGGGAGAAGAGACGAGCTGGAGACCTGCGGGTGGCGTGAGCTATCGTGAGCTGCCCTGGCAAGCTGGGTGGTAGAGGCGCTCAGACTGAGAAGATTGCTGGATGGCGGCATGCAAAGAATTTGAAAGCATGAGATCAGTCCAGCCCGCGAGCTGTGGCTGCTTGCACTCTGGTAGCTGGTGTTGACGCTCGAAGCCTTTTCCGAGCTCTCAAGTGGGCACGTTTTCACAGCAGGGTGTGTTGTCTTCCGTGCTTTGCCGACTTCCGCGGCATGTTGGAGATGTGTCCGGTTGCAAACGGCGCAAAGTCAATCAGCGAGTGGCAACACAAGAACCTCTTCTGCCCACTGACCGAATGAGCCAGAAAGGCAGTGCTAGAAACATTCGGTCGTTCAAGCTCGGAAGCGTAACTAAGGGCGATTCGCTGGAAAAAATCTGCATGTCTGGCCTGACGCTCCTCTCATACTTTCAAGCTCTGCTCGCGCTGGGTAACGGGCTCTGCGGCTCATTCGCTGTAGTCGTCGTCGCCGCCCCTGGCCCACCTCAGCAACGAAACGTGAAGATCGCAGCTCATCCCATCAGTTGGTCGATATTGAAGTATTGCGAAGTAGCGTGAAGTAAAAACCTGTCTGAGCTTCGTGCTCCGTCGCGTTGAATGTCTACCGACTCTAGCGCACACCATGCTACGAGTAGCAAAGCTTCTTAACTGCTCCCTGATATTGTCAAACTCAATTAGGGTGATAATTTCATGGCAGAGAGGTACTTCTCGCCAACATCTCAAGCTCAACTACACCTCTGCAGAGCACTCTCGCCACCAGGCAAGATCAACGAAACTTCTGTGTAGCAGGTCACGACTGATGCCGCAGGGCACATGCAAGATTGTGCGGACACAGACAGGAAGGGGGATGACTTGCGCAAAGGCCGCCTATGCGGCACTCTGCATGGACACAGAGGGCAATGCCGAACATGAAATCAACACAAAGGCTTGCATGTTCTGCTGAGTGACACCTACTAGCGATTTCCGGGCATTAATAAACCCTAAACCCTCCACCCTAAACCCTAAACCCTAAACCCTTAACCCCAAGCAAGCATTCGCACATCCGAGGATCAAGCAAGAAGAATGGAGGCACCTGCAGTCTGCAAGGAAACCAAGCAAGACAGCTCGTCGGGACTTGGACCGCCTGCGCATAAGATGTCGCAACTGATTCCTGCTGCATGCTTGCAGAAGCATATGGAAGTCCTCTTGCATGCTGACCCTCAGTGGATGAAGCATTGCCCGAACTCAAGCTTGTTCAAGGCCAGTCCGAAGAGGGATCGCCGTGCTTTAGGCACCACAGCTATTCAGCTATTCACACCGACAATTGAGACCTGACATTACAGCCCAGCCGCTGATCGTTCCGGCAACTGTTGAATCGCTTCACGTGCTAGCTATGGCCCTTTCGGGCACTTGGCTTAACATCCGAAGCCCTCCACGAGCACAACATTTCTATCAGATGCAGCTCGACAGTTGGAACCAACAACCGTCGAATAAGGCGTTGGCCTACCAGTTTGGCCGTGTGCACTTGCCACGTCCTTGCAAAGTGTGGATTTTATCAGAGATCTTCGTTGACAGGACTGATGTCTTGTGGGCCACATCGAGCCTGCTACTGCTTCCTCCAGCTGTGACTGGGCCAAGGTCACCTGAACGGGGCAGAAACGGCATAGACTCTCCAACCCAGTGGGGTGCTGCTGCACTCTCATGGATCCTGAACGCTGACACCTATGCTTTCGCCATCGGAGCCTCATTGGAACCGGTTTCACTCAGCACACTGGCCTTGTGGATGGATGGCAACTGGAACCTACCCGTGGGTGCAAGTTTGGCTATTCTCTTGCTCTTTGGAGCTGCAAGCGTCTTGTCTGCTCATGTTAAGAGGAACCAATACCATGGCAGGACTGGGCGTCACATTAAAACCCAACTTGTGGACATTTTGTGGACAGCCGTGGACAGGAGAGTTCTTGCAAAACTGTGTTGATAGGCCTTCTGTCACAGCTGCCGTTGTTCCGTATGCCACGTATGCTCGATGGCGGTTCTATTTGAAGAGGCGGGGGGGAGCTTCCATGTGGCCATGCTGTTGCAATCTGAAGGAACAAGGCAAAGCCTGGCCTCTCCACGGGCCCTTCGGGAGGTCAACAAGGCCTGGCCTCACTGCTCCAAGGATTCAGTGTGCAATGGCAGAGACTTTGCCTATGCGTAGCCATGCGGCCGTCTACGTTTCACAGTTCCGAGAATGCTTCTGACCAAGCCTCGTGGCAGCATGCCAGGATCCGCCTACAGGGATGTGATGCCCTCCCACGGGAGCTTACCAGTAAAATACAACCACCCTGACCCTCGGACTCGACTACGCAACTGCGACATGCTTGCTTTTGCACAGACGGACTCTAAACAATCAGGAACTAGTCCAACAAACCTCAAAGCCGCTTCGGCCTCTGTCATTAGCGCAGCCATGGGAAGGATGCCTCAAGTACCTCACCAAAGATCTCACCTGGGCGCCTCTCAAGGTATCCACTTTTTGGGGGAGAGTGCGGGTGCTTGGCAGCCTTGCTGAGTCCAGTATCCAGTAGCCTGGTCCGTACAACTTCTATGTACTGGTCATGTCATTCTTTGCTCGTGGCTACGGCAGGGAAAGCCGCATAGTATCATGCCGTGCGGTCACCGGTGGCGGGACTGTTCAAGGGGCTGCGCGAGATCACTTTTTGCGAGTTTAGTGCACAGCCAGAGATGGCATGCGGGTCACCTGTCGGACACACACACACACACACACACACACACCCACCCACCCACCCCCACCCACCCACCCACCCACCCACCCACGCACCCACGCACCCACGCACCCACGCACCCACGCACGCACGCACGCACGCACGCCCACGCACCCACGCACCCACGCACCCACGCACCCACGCACCCACGCACCCACGCACGCACCCATGCACCCACGCACCCCACCCAGCACCGCACGCACCCACGCACGCACCCACGCACCGCACGCACCACGCACGCGCACGCGCACGCACCCGCACGCACACGCACCACGCACGCGCGCACCCACGCACGCACGCACGCACGCGCACGCACCCACGCACGCGCACGCACCCACGCACGCGCACGCGCACGCGCACGCGCACGCGCGCACGCACGCGCACACGCACGTGAACACGCGAACACGCGAACACGGGAACACGCGAACACGCGAACACGCGAACACGCGAACACGCGAACACGCGAACACGCGAACACGCGAACACGCGAACACGCGAACACGCGAACACGCACACGCACACGCACACGCACACGCACACGCACACGCACACGCACACGCACACGCACACATGCGCGCTCAGCAAGTCTCCGACCTTTTTGCAAACATTTGTAAACCCTTTGGGTTCGGCTTGGCGGAGCTGGCAGTGACCAAAGCTTCAAGCTACTAAGTAGCCGTGCAGCCGCTGCCCCCTTTCTGGCACGTGTAAATCCACTTGAGTGGAAAACACCGGCCAACTTAAAAGCCGCCAAGATCGGCCTAGCTACAACCTGTACAATACAAAAAACACTGCATCTGAGCAAATGCATGCCTACTGTCATTAGCGATTCCTGCCTCATACAAGCAATCACTGCCTTATACAGGCAGTCCATTCTGCATTTGGCAATCCTGGGCCTGTCCCCAGTTGAACACGGCCGGCGTGTGTGGTCAACCATGCCCGATTGCTGGTCTCTGCAAAGCCGCTGCAGTTGGGCTGCTCGCTGCAGAACACTGCTGCCTCTGCTGGAGGGAGGATGCAAGAGCTGGCTTCGGTGCTGTTTGGGCAAGGCCCGTAACTGTCCAGACCACCATGCTGTAAAGTGTAGCCTGATGGACAGAGTCCTGCTTGAGGAGAAGTGATGGCCTTGACGCAGGACTTCCATGCTGGATTTGTAAGAACTGGCCCTGTCCCAACCTGCACACTGCCATATGTGGCATGGCTCTGGTTCGCGGATTCTGCGAAGCCGCTGCAGTCGGCTTTGGCATTGCAAAAGATCGCTGCATCTTTTGCAGGGAGCACGCATGAACCAGCTTCAGCGGTGTTTGGGCAGTCTCCGTAGTTGGCCAGATTGCCCTCCTGCAAGCTGTAGCCTTGTGGACAGCTCCCGGACTGAGGAGCTGCAGTGGCAGATGCGTAGCAGAGCAATCTCTCGCATGCATCGGTGCCATCATCAGTGGGCCATGCAGGACAGGCAACTTCAAGCGGTTTCGAAGCCGCTACTCCAAACATGGCAACGAAAGGTGCGAAACTACCATACGTTCCCCACTTGCAGCTCACGCCATCATCAGATGCGCACTGAAGCCTGTCGCTGCTGCCTTGGCCACAGCGAATTGGGGCCCCGCTTCCCGATGCCAGGAAATACCACTGATGCCTTCCCGTGTCAAAGAGTTGCTGGAATGGTAGGGCTGAAGAGCAATCTTTGAGTACGAGGACACCGGCAGACCCAAGTCCCACACACTTGCCGTCCCGGTGCTGCAAGGAAAGGACGTTGGGGCCAGCTCTTCGGAAAAGCACTGCGCCGCTGTTTAAGTCGCAGCTAGTATGCAACACAAGCGCTGAATTGTCCTAAGCTTCCATGAAACTCACGCACTCACTGTTACCGTCCTCCTTCCTCCGAGCGCTCCCCGGGCTATATGCCAGCGCGTTGCCAGCTGAATGGGCCAGAGCGTGCGAGCTCGTATTGCTCGCCGCACTTTCCCCCCCGTGATCCCCCGTGCATACTGAGTCGAAAACATGTGTGGACCAAGCCAGAAAACAAGAAAACCGAGTGAGTCAGACAACGGAGAGGGTCGAGTCAGATTTGGGGATTTAGGGTTTCGGGTTTCGGCTTCCAACGCAGCAAACATCGGAAGCTTAGTTTTCATGCTGTGGGTTCGTTTGCTGTGCTACCGGGAGATCACCCTCATCCCCGAGGCCCCAGGCCTTGGGCATTCGGGTAAAAAAACCTCGCAGTTGTGGACCGTCGAAGGCTTTTGGTAGGGGTTGGCTCAGAGGCCCCACAGGCCACCTATCGCGCCTTCTTGGGCCTTTCAGCAACCTGGTTTTTTTCGAGAATAGGGGACCCCGAAAATAGACCCAAACAGTAGGATTCCCTTCTCATAAGGACCCCAAAAAGGTGCCCCGATTTCGTAAACCCCCAACTTCTTCGGAGCCCCTGTGGCCGCATATGCTATGAATTCCCTGTATATAGGTCCCTTTTTCGGCCCCGATGCACCCTCTCTGGACGCAACCTTCATGACCCACGATGGCCCCATGCCCCCTACGAACCAACTTCCGGCGTTTCTGCCGGTCTCTGGTCCTTCTACGCTCACCCCTCTGGACCCCAATGAAGTTTCATGAACGCCCCAGAGATTCCCTAAATCTTTCCTGCACCTCATTGCCTCTAGCCTATGGACCCCCGCAGCAATCGTGGCGATAATCCGCCTTCCTGCGGAGCGGCGTCAGTGAAATCTCACTTACGGCCCTCACACCGCCCAGACCGCCCCCCAACCCAAACCCCTGCTGCGTTCCCCGCTCTCGCCGCTCTCCTTGCCCCCTCCGCCTTCATCTAACCCCTCTACCCGCTACCCCCACCTACCTCCACATCCCCCACTCTCTACCCCTACCTTCTTGAAATGAAGTTTTACCGTCAGAAGCCCCGGGCGAGCCTGGCTCAACGGATCCCCAGCCAAGTCGCTGCGTCGAAAGCGGACTTAGCGTCGGCCAGCCAGGGGGGTGAAGGGGGCCTAAACCCTATAACACTATGGGGTTGCGGGTTTAGGGCTTTAGGGTCTTAGGCGTCTTTATGAGAGGCTTTGTTTACATGGGTTGTGCTTTTCAATTTCTAAGGGGTGGGCGGCACTGGCGGCAGCCATTGAATATTTCATTTTTGATGAAAGATAGCCCCCCTGCCCAAGCGCCAGAGACCTTCTGCTCTAAGACTGGATTGGTGCTGGTGGCATGAGTGTGGGTGGCTTGGGTTGTTTGGGCGTTTTGTGTGTGTGTGGGGCCGGTGTGGGTGACAGGGTCTGCGACTTGCCCTGGATTTGTGAAAAGAAATGGACAGTGACAGTTTAATTTTGCTGTTCGTGTGCTTTTTCTTACGCTGAATGCCCGGGAGCGTTCTTCTTTAAAGCTGCTATCTTGCCTTGCTGTGTAAAACTCCGCAAATATACTGGGCGTGTTTTGCTGGCCCTACACATATACCCAGCTCATGAAAGAAAGCAGCCCCCGACGAAAGCATCCCTTCCAAAGCGGGGCGCGGGCGGTTTCGGTGGTGTATGGGCTCATGCAATGGGAGGGCCAAGCGTGATGTAGGCATTGAGCATTCAGACAAAGACGAGAAAGTTTCAGACACGGGCTTGATTGCAAGAGCTTTTATGTTCTCTGACTCGGGCTCTCATGATTTCCGAGTCAGAGGCACTTTTTGCTGACTTTGAATGTCCCTCATGCGATCTGCACTAGACTCCCCCGAGGCTGGTCTGCACAACTGCCGCTGAGTGTCTCGAGGCTTGTCGAGGCCCCCTTCAGGCTGCAGGCATTTGCCTCCGATGTGCTGCAGAGCAAAGACGCCGGCATCGAGAGCCTCCACCATCCTGAAGAACAGCGCCTCGTCGGCCGTGTCGCAGCGCTCGTCTAACACGAGCTTCGTGTTGCCACTCGGATTGCGGGCGCCGCCTGGGGCCATGTCGGGCTTGAGTGCTTTGCTTGAACCGCTCTTGCATTCTTGCAGGCTGCAAGCTCATCTAACCTAGCTTGGCTCAAAGTAAGAGTCGGCAATGAGATCAGCGAACAAGGCGGAACCCAGGGCCTTCCGGTTGAACACACTTGCCGCCCTGCTCCTTGAGGATGAAACCCTTGTCAAAGGCGTGCGCGCAGTCGCTGGCAGCTCCCGGGGAACCTAGACGATAGATGGAGTTTCGGTGAGGCCCACCGCAACCGTTCGCGACCGGGCAGGAGGAGTTGCATTGTGCTTGGCCCACTGGGGCATAGACTCCGGAGGTTCGGAAGGTGTCTCCACAGAAGCACGCGTCGCCATCTTGAAGTGCCATGAACGCGCTGCCAGCACATTGAGCCGCCTGAGTGGTCAGTGGCCGCCGCTCAAAAAAACAACTCCGTTTGTGGAAGAGGCGTTCCCTTTTTACTCGAACAAGAAAGCTAGTCAGCTAGTCAGCTGAGCTGCACAATTGATCACGGTGTCGTTGCCCACACCCACACGGATGAAGCCTCCCGTCATGGCCTGTGAATTGGGATCCCCTGAGCAGCTCACGAGCTCGAAGACGAGGCTGCACCTGAAGGACAGCTGCATCGACCAGCCACCACTGAAGTCCGTGCGCCGAGCGCAGACCTCGCTGTCTCCCACCGTGATCTCAAACGCATCAGTGCCCAGAACATCCTGGTTTGTTCGCTTGTTTGCGTTGCCGGCATCCGCCGCACAGACAAGGCCATCAAGCCCTGACGGCTTAGGGACGCACTTTTTCACAGCCTCGCTGCTACCAACAGTAATGCCAACGCAGGTTGCCGCAGCAGCGGAGGGTGACTGACGTGTCTGCTTCTGGCAGCCGCATGTAAACTCACACTGAGCAGCTGCCCAATCAGTAGCGCACGCAGTTGACAGCAGCTGACCATTTTGAAGCGCACCCCAGTCGGCACTCTGGGACCACTGTAGGCAAGCATTTGGAGGAGGTGCCCAGCCCGGCGTCCAGTTGTCACTGCATGCCTTCTTGCACACGCCTCTGTGGGCATGCAGCGACAAGGGGCGGTGGCTGCAGCTGCTGAAATACAAGAAGCCCTCGAACTCGAAGCACCCATGTCCTGGGAACCCGTCGGCGCACACCGGGACCTGTAGGCTACTGTTCTGGTTCCATGTATATGGCGAGCCCGCGATGAACAAGCCGGCACTGCACTCCTGGATGTCCAGAGGCACATAGCCGGCTGGGCATTGAACCCTTCCCCCCGGCACGAACAGGTGCGACGGCGGAATGATCGCCGCCGGTGTGGTGGTTGCTGTTGTGGGCACCAGCTTGCACACACCTCTAAGTAAGTTCCGAGTCAAGGGGCGATCGGTGCAATTGCTGTAGTACAAGATCTCTTCGAACTCGAAGCAGCCCTGTCCTGGCCAGAATAGATGGCATGCCGGAGTCTGGAGGCTTCCATCCCGATTCCATGAATAGAGCGTGTCCCCAATGGAGAAGCCGGCGTGGCATGCCTGGACATCGAGGGGCACGTATCCCGAAGGGCATTGAGCACTGCCATCCGGCAAGAAGATCAGGGCACTTGCATTGCCCAGCGAATCGCCGCAGAGAGGCCCCGTCCAGTTGGAGACACCTGTACTGAACTCAGCCACAACAGGAAACGTGGAATGAAGCAAGCGCTAACAGAATGGAGTATCCTAGATCATACGTAGGCCGCTTGGCCACCATTCCCCCCCCCCCTCCCAGCCGTGCTGCGCTGGACGACAGTTCTGGAAGGCATGCGTGTGCCATGTGCCCCCTCCAACTGGCTTTCTCTATGCTTTCGTAGATTTTGAATGCTGATGCAAACCGCTTCGAGAAGCCCGACAGATACCTTACTTTGCTGTAGAAGTGGGCTTGTCGAACCTTGCAGTGTTCTTTTCTTGAGTGCTGAGCTCGGTAAGGGCGCTAGCATGTGATAGTGCATACTGAGTGTACAGGCCTTGGCCGCAGCAGGGGACATAGTCATCGCAGCAAGTGTTATCTCGAGCGCAGCTGGCACTGCAGCCACACCCGGCGGGAGCTTGCTGAAGGCACCGATTCAAGCAGGAGTCCATGGGGACGGGTACAAGGTCTCCAGCCAGCAGCGCACGTTCTTCAGCTGCGGCGCAGACTGCGGCGTCCCCGCAGCAGGCCGAATCGTTGGGATCATCGGGGTCTACACTGCAGGATGGAAGGCAGGAGCAGTTTTGGCTTGAGGTTGCATCGAAGATGCTGCCGACGCAGCCTTGAACCTGACATGCGCAAGTGTCCAGGAAGTCTGGACAGCAGTCTCCAACTTTAAGACACCGGGAGTCGCAAGAGCAGAGGCTTCCGTCAGATGTCGGAAGCTCGCTCTCCCCGCACTTGCCTGAACAGCTGCCCGTGCAAGACTGCAAGAAATCAGAGCAGCAGTCACCGAAGTCCATGCAGGAGACGTCGCAGAAGCAGCTGGCACTGCTACCTCCACACATGTTGCTGCAGGATCCTGTCAGTTGAATCTGCTCAGTAGCCGGAGGGCGTGCAAGGCCGATCGGACCGAGCGTTGACGTTGGAGTCGTTGGAGTCGGTGGAGTCGTCGGAGTCGTCGGAGTCGTTGGGGTTGTTGGAGTCGTTGGAGTCGTTGGAGCCGTTGGAGTCGTTGGAGTTGTCGGAGTCGTTGGAGCCGTTGGAGTCGTTGAAACTGGTCGGTACTGTCTCCACCTTGGGGCATTGGGATTGTTGGGATGTCTCCTTGAGCGTCTCCGAGATCGTCTGAAAAATTTGGGGCGGCCAGGCTCACTCCTGGTCTGCAGCAAGCTGCCCACGTCGCTTCCGTCTGCGCCGTCACACCGCATGCGCAAGGAGCTCTGCACGCTTCGGATCGCCTCGCCAAGGGTCTCGTTGAAAGCGTGTACAAGGCGCTCCTGGGCTTCGAAAAGCACTGGAGCTTCCGAATCCTTGGACTCCAGGCGATCCTGGAGAAGATACATCTCGCTGAAGAGCGCTTGCAACTGCTGGAGCGTCTGCCCAAAGAGCCCGGCCTGTGGGAAAGCAAAGCGATGTTTAGCTGAGTTTGCTGTACACATAGTCTGAAGCTTGCACAGACCGCTGCTCTTGGCTAAACCTTTGGGTTGGCTCTCAAGGCCAGGAGCTGAAAACGAGGGCCACAACTCAACTGGATCTGGGTGCCCGGCATCCAGCATGTCCATTGTGATGTTCGCTGCGCTGGCGCCGACAGCACTGCCACAGTGGAGTTTCTCATGCGAGGGAAGCGCGTCATGGATGGCCATGCGGTGCAGAAGGTCGCTGTCCACGATCTGCGACGCCAGCAGGCCTGCAGCCCCAGGTTCGCCGACTACACAAGAAGAAAGTTCAGGCAATCTCGACTACCGCAGACGCCCAAGAAAGACGGGCCTACCAGTGGAACCGCCGTACTCCACACTTCCTTCAGCGTCTGATGCGCGTGGCGGTCTGCTCGCTCTGACGCGGCATAGGCAGCCTTCAAACTGGAGAACCCAGCCGTGCACCTCCAGACAACTCTCGTGATTGTGGGTTCGTGCAATGGCAGTGTACACATGCGCACGCACCAAGAAGCCGTCTGGCTCTTGAACAGCCCACCTGTCGGTATAGGCTTCCAGCAGTTGTAGGGCGCTCTGAAACTTGGAGAGGTAGTCCTGGCATCAAGGTCCCACAACGTCTCAGAACAGTCAAGTCAACAAAACCTAAACCATGTCGCCCACAAGCCTCGATGGCATCCAGGTAGCGGTCCAGTTCTCTGCGAAGTTGCCACCATGTGGAGTCCAATGCCTGCAGCACCGAGCTCAGGGATTGCTCTTGTACCGCCACAAGAAGCTCCGACATCTTCACGACGCCATGCAGGCCCTCGCGGCCCTCACGGCCCTCGCGTCTCAGCGATGCATGCCGATAGATGCCGAGGGTGTGCGCTTTGGTCTTGAGTATGCCATTCATGTGTCGCACATACTCGGCAGAGCTCCTTTGCACTGATTGCGCTGAAGTCAGCCCTTGGGTACTCGTGAGATGCAAGAGCATACGATGCAAGTCGTGGACTTCCTCCGCCATGCCCTTGCACTGGAGCGAGGCATTTACCCGTGTGAAGTCGATGGCTTCCCTCATCTCCTTCATGCGTGAGCTGAAGCTGGTGACGGCTCTTTGGCTCGCAGATGACGCCGCCAAATTTAGAGGCAGTGACGCAGCCATGGTTCGCATTTCCTGGAAGCGCGTTGTAATGCCAGAACGAATGGCCTCAGACTGTGTCAAAGCATTCGCAGTGGCGTCAGTTGAACCTCCCAGGTAGAAGTCGAAGAGGAGCTTCATGTTCTCCCCCATGACCTCCACAGCACTTTCAAGGCTCTCCCGGATGGCCGCATCTCCACTCTTGACAGCATCCCTGACGCAGTGCACGTCACAGAAGGCACGAGCAAGCCCGTGCTGAAGGCTACTGCAGTCCTTTGCATCGTCTTCGGCACTATTGATGCGCTTGTCGGCAAAGACTGCTCCTGAGACAAGGCTTGCGACGGCCTTTGGGATCTTGGCAGCTGCTGCGAGCTGCGCGCCAGTCTTGATTCCCAGCCCTCCGAAGATTGCATTGACGTGCGAGTTCGGCAGAAAGGCACCCACAGCTTCGTAGATATCTGCAAAAGCTTGGAATGACAAGTCCACTGCCGTCTGGTCCCGGGAAGTCCGTGCCCCAGCGAGCGCAGCCTCGATCTCCCGGTCAGAGCACTCTTTCACCGTTCGGTAGGTGATGGCATTTTGCTCGGTCTTATCTTTCCTGTTGGTCCAGCTCATGCTCACGTAGTGGCAGGGGTTTTCTGGGCCAAGGCCTGATGCCACCTCACTCATTCTCTCAGCATCGAAGGTTTCGGTTCCGGGATGGCTTTCATCCTTGCACTCTTCCGCAACCTCTGGATCGATGCCCTCAAAGCGAATCAAGGATGGGGGCTTTGGGGGCTTCGCAGGCAAGCGAACGGTGGCTGCTGGAGGAGGGCGGACGCCACGAGACTCGAACTCGGTGTTGAAGTTGCTCACACGCACCACTTGCCAGTCAAGGCCTCCCAGCCTGCCGCCTTCCAAAGCCTCCAAAGGGTGCACAGCGTCGCTTGGCGCACATCGGCCGCCATCTTGGAGACACCAGAGACCCTGCCGCCGATCATACGACAGCGTGCTCCCTGTTGTAGCTGACATGTTCTTGAAGGAGTATTTCTGCTGGAACGATGGTCGCCCAGAGCCATCTATCCGAGTAGGGCAGTAGATGCCTTCAAAGCTTTGGATCGAAGTGGTGAGGAAGGCCTCTTGAAGCGGTACCGGTACGGGCCGGACCGCAATCGGAGCTGCGTCCAGGGAGCAGCAAAGGTAGCGGAAGCGAATCGATGCGCCTCCTGGGTCGGCTTCTGCTCGGATTTCCCGCAAGCCGGCCTCCCGGCCACAGTCCATGTCCTCAGCCAAGAAAGGTGGATTTTTAACAGAGCTTTCCCTTCATGAACGAGAAAAAACTCCGATGTTTCGCAAGTACTGAAATTTAGAGCTGCGGTCTCACCAAGCGTCAACCGCTTTGAGGGCTTGCTGCATGTTGTCGGACGCCGCCAGCGTCTCCTTTTCTTCGCAGGCTCCGACTCCGGCAACGCTGGCACATCGCCACCGCAGGCGCAGAGCCTCCTTCTCCAGGCTGTGAATCAACTGCCCAGGAGGGCACAGCACCTGCTCCGCAGCCCTCAACTGTTACCCCCGAGATGTCTCATCAGACTGAGGGGGAAGAGATGGAAGGGATGGTAACAGGATTTGCAGATGATTTCAAGGAGCTTGGAGAGGCTACAGCAAGGTGTGCTAACGTCAGCCTGCAGCTCGTCTGCCACGCCAAAGCTCACCGTTGACCATTGAAATTGCTCCGCTTCTGCAACAGCCTTTCCGATGGCATTCTGAAGGAGGGCCTGACGAGATCTGACCAAGGCCCACTAGTCACACGAGACACACGGGGCTCTCGAGAAGTCCCTGCCCTAGTGACGTGGAGGCAAAGTGACAATATATGAAAATTCTCATTGAACTCATGTTTTCCCATTGAAACCGCCCAGCCTCCTTGCCATCTGCGATCAAGTACCTGGGCCCTCCCCCCAATCCAAACACTCCCGTTGCATCGAAGGAAAGCTCCCCCGTAGTCTGCCAAGTAAACTGTGGCTCCACGAGTTTCGCGCCCTCGCGGAAAAAGACCTTCGACTCATCCCGCTGACTGAGGAGGATAATCTTCTCAGACTCCAGGTTTTGCCAGGTACTAGGCACTTCCAGGGAACTTGCGAGGATGGCCGTGAAGCTTTGATCCTCCCCACCGGTACAAGCTTTCGCAGACTGCGCCACTGTCTGATTGCTCGGAGTGCTCATTGTGAGACAGCGCCCATCTCCATTTCGCACGCCGAATCCCAAGGGAAGAGTCTGCTCGGTTGTTGGGCCGAAGGTAGTTGCCAAGGTGCAGCCGCCTGACATTCCGAGTTGCAGATCTTCGGCCTCGGCTGATCGCTTGTAAAGCCTGAACACCGAATTCCGGAAAGGCCCACCACAGAAATGTCGTTGCGGACAAGCTGGCCCCACGTGCGAGTTGCACTCAGAATTCTTCACTATCGTGTATGGTTCCTCCCCCAATGCCGCAAGGCTGTCACCACAAAAGCAGTGATGCCCAGCTTGAATGGCCATGTAGGGCTTGCCAAGACAGATACTTTCACACTCCGCCACCACATTGGGAACATCGGCGTTCATCAGCGTATGGGTAGGGAACGCACGGGCATTCTGGCTGTCCACGTAGCAACCCTCGAATTTGGGGATGACCGGCCGGGCGAAGCTGACCTTGCGAACGACCTCACCCGATTGACACCTGGGCGGTTGTCAAAATCATGATCCCTTTTTGGGGTACCCATGGGTACCCTAAATATTAGGTGCCGTATTGTAATGGGGATCCAAAAAGCATATATCTTGACAACCACCCACCTCAGGCTCAGCGTCAAGGACTGGAGCAGCTGCTTGTGCTCGCCGGACACCCAAGGACCAACTTGCTCGAAGAGAACGTTCGCATCGCGCACCTGGTCGAAGAAGCGCTGGCTGATGCGCTGGACATCCCAGAATGATCGTGAAGACGCGCGCTGGCATGAAACACCTTGAAATCGACCCCTCTCCTCTACCAGGCACACGCCCTCCACCTCGACCTGTGCTGCTCGGAAGCGTCGAAGCTCTGGGGAAATGGCTGGGGTGCTTTCCGCGACGAACTGGCTGACCACGAACAGTTGCCCATGCCTTTGGGGAACGGTGATGTTCAGCATCTGACGACCGCCTGAGAGGTCGATCTGAATGTCCACCTTCCGCTTGCTTGCAAAGAAGACCTCTTGGTCAATCTGAGCGTACACGGGATTCACAACTTGAACACAGGCCTGGCGTGGAAGGGGCGAAAGGATGCAACAGCGGACGACATGGACAGGACTAAAGTTTCGACCTACCAAGACATGAACATGTTGCGGAGTCGCGGAGTCGCGAACATGTGGGTTTAACATAGCCTGCGCAGCGGAGTAATAAATCCACCCGAACAAGCATCAAGGGAATGGGGGCTTGGCCTTGCCATATATGTCGGAAAGGTTAGAATCTGATAGGACCCTGTGCAGGCCTGGCATTCCAGATTCGGGCCCGTCGTCCCCACGCTGTTGGCCCAGCGCCCGGCGATGCAGCTCAGCTCCGAGGTGGTTGCCGAGGCCACCGAGGCGAAACGCTCGCCCCAACACCTCAGGCGGAGCGCCGCCCCGTGGCGGAAGGCCGTGGGCAGCGGCCTTTTGGGCCTGGTGCCGTAGACCTTCCACTCCCCAATATAGCAGGCATTGGTTTCGTTGACCACGGGCTCACAAATCAGCCGTAGGTATTGCGCCTGCCCGTGAAGAGAGATGTTGACCACGTCCACTTCGTCACCACTCCAGTAGCCCATATCCACCCAACTGCTTCGATCTTGGCTGCTTTGGATTGTGAACTGACCCCTGTGCTGACGGAAGCGGTGGATCGTTGCCCTTGACAGAACATACGTCGCTCCCAGGTCCATTGCGATCCACTCCGCTCCTTCACTTCCATCCAAGCTGGAGGGTGGAGCCGGATACCATCCCTGATTTGCTATGCTGTCGATGACTCTCTCAGGTGGAAAGTTTGGGAACTTCTGGGAAGATGCCCAGACGGTGACCTCACTGCCCAAGGCTAAGTTCTGAGCCAGCGGTGGCAAGGCGGTGGTGGTAGTGGTCGTCACCGCAAAAACATGCACCGCAAAGGGACGGCCATGACCGCCGTTAGGATCCGCCAAACGCCAAAGCTCCAACTCGGTTGGCCCATAGTCGCCTTCCGCGTAGGTATCAACCGAGACAATGGTGCCACTGGCTGTGTCGTCTTCTCGGGTGACATTTGCTTGGCACCCACTCCCCAAGACCTTCATGGAGAGGAAGAAGCTGAAACCAACCCCAGAGTTGCCACCCAAGAACGTGTCCCTATGAATTTCGGCTTTCAGGTCCACAGCCGTATCCTCGGGCACTGTCAGGCTCTTTCCTGAAAAAGACGCAAAATCGCCAGACTCGTACAAGATGGCTTTGCAAAGCGGCTTGTTCTCGGAGAGGAGGACATACGAGCAAATGGAGCAAGCTTGCAGGTCTGTGCCCCCGAGCATCAGCTTTTGGTCGCACTGCTCGTAGAGGTCCTCGTAGAGGCACTTGGGGTGCGCGGACACTGTGTCGGCTGCGTCGGGAGTGTCGGTGTAGAAGGCACCCAGGTGCTGACGGCGCTTGGTGCTTTGCCAGCAGAGCTGTGCATTGCTTAGGGCACACACCGGACCTGCAGGCCAGCCGAAAAGACTGCCATCCAGGCCCAGCTCTCGAAAGAGCGTGTCGCAACTGCTGTACAGCCTGCACTGGCCCTTGCCCACCACCTGCCCGGTGAAAAAGAAGCGGCACCTCGGATCTTCTGAGCACCTTAGGAGCAACAGCACCGCCATAGCAACAGCAAAGAGAACAGCAAAGAGAACTCCAGAGAACTGCAAAGAACTGGCAACCTGCAGGGGAGGTGCTTCTGCTCACAAGACTCCGTGTCCAAGGTCTCCAGGTCATCTTCGATGAGAACGTTGACCAAAGAATGCAGGCCACAAACGAAGGATCCCGTGACAATCCTGATAGGCCCCGGGTAAAACGTGTTGCCGCTGCCGGGGGGGATCAAGGCCCTAGCCTCAGCAGAAACAGGAGCTTCCTTGTCCCAGGTGGCAGGCACACACTCGCAGGGGTGAAGCCAGTGGTCGTCTGGAAGGGCAGTGGAAGGGTCGTCCGGCACAATTGGTGGCACTTGCGTGCCCTCGGTCCCATCTGCAGCGGCATCCTGCGCCTCTGCATCAGACAGCGTGAGATTCGGAGGCCCGCATGAAGAGACAGAGAGCCCGACAGTGTAGGTGGAGCTGTCGCCGCTACCTCAGGCCCAAGTGTTTGGGGGGGCAGGCCGAGTGGCAAACCAACAGGTCTGTATGCCGCCAAGCCACTGATGTCCATCTGGCCACTCACTGGGCTGGCTGTGAAGGCGGCATGCACAAGGTCGAAGGAACCGATTGAGTCGTATGCGGACGAAGGCGATGGAGTTCGAAAGCAAGCGGCCTGCCGTCCGTGAAGCTCCACGTAAGAGGCTGCATCGTCCTTCTGATCAAAAACGCTCAGCTCTTTTAGGACCCACTCGCAGCCTTCTTGGCCGTCTCTCTGTAACCAGAAAGAATCCTGCTCCGTTGGTCCGGACTTGCGATACACCAAGCCCCCTGACTTCGCATTCTCGCCATTTGGACAGTATTCACCTGACAGATAGTGATAGCCACCAACCTGAACATCCAAGCAAATGCTCCTCTCGCCGCAAGATGGGAAGCGCATTTGTGCGGACACCCCGCTGTACGCACAGCCACCATGTTCGTCACAAAGCTGGGAGTATTCATAACACGTCCCACTTTGCACGGCAATATGAGAGCATTGTGGTCTGGAGCGACATTTGGCTTTGCACACTGCCATGTCCGAGCTTGGTGCAAGTACGCTTCGAGCTCCAAACTTCAGCCCATGCTGCTGCAACCAGCAGGTGTTGTCTCGCACCTCGATTGGCAAGGTGTAGGCAAGCACGGGTCCACGTCCTAGAGGCATCCACTCGTAGTGTGCGAAAAGGGTGAGCTCCAACGCCAAACTCTGGCGGGTGCCTGAGGAGTCCAGCACGGTGGCAATGTTCTCATCAGGTTGCAAGCGGAGGTCCCCCTTTGCGATGTCCAAGCTGAAAAGGTGAAATCCTTTCCATACCCCTAAGCCCGTGAGGACATCGAACTCAAAGAAGTTCTCTTCCCTGCAGATCGTGACCAAGTAGTTGCCAGTAGATGCGGCTGCACCATAAAGTTCAATCGAGCCCGGTTCAAAGGTTCTCTGGTAAACGGCACCTGGCCCCACCAGTCCCGGAACGTAAGCCGAGATCCCAACTCTCGATGGGGACAGCTGCCACTCGGCCCTGTCTGGCCAATCTTGAAAGCCCCACTCCAAATTCGTTCGCATAAAGAAGTCAAGGTACACCGTGGAGCGGTAGCTCGTGTTCAGGGTCAGGAAAACCTCACTTGCCGGCAACGTCTTGTTGTTCGAGGCCCTCACATAGAAGCAGCTTGAAGGGTAACCACTTCCGAAGCTGGCAAAGGTGTGATTCCTACTCTCTATGTCCGAATAGACAGGAGAGCCGAGCTCCACGTCGGACCAGGGGATCAGAGTAGGTCGGCCGTGCAGGCTGGAGGCTGCCACCCCATGATCAGAAGCTTTGTAGCATACTCCACGGTGCAGGGGTCTTGAGGCAGGTCCACTCGGGCAGTTGCTGTAGTACAGCAGCCCACCCAGTTCGAAGCACCCTGGCCCTGGCCAACCAGCCTCGCATGCGGGCTCCTGCCACGTTCCTTGGTACTGGGACCCCTCAACGAACAAACCGCTCATGCACTGCTCGAAGTCCTGGAGTGGCACGAAGTCTGCTGGGCATGTCTCGTTTTCTGCGGCGAAGATCGCCGGGTCACCCGTCAGCCTGTAGACAGAGTTGCCTTGATTTCCACCGCAGCCGTTGGGATACAGAGGCTCTTCACAGGGCTCATTGCACTCGCTGCTGGGAACTCTTTCGTAAGCAAGGAATGTGTCCCCACAGAAGCAGAGGCTTCCACTTTGAACTGCCATGTACCTTTTGCCGGCGCAGTGCAGCGCGCAGTTGGTCACTGGCTTGTTGGGCTCAGGAACATTCTGAACATCAACAGAGCCTCCAGCAAATGCCGAGGCAAAGCCCAGGCCTGGAATGCCTGGAACGCTCATCCCCTCGTCCCTGAAACAGCCCATCAGCTTGGTGTTGAAGTTGCCACAAGAGAGATGCTCGCAAGCGTCTGCGCCATTTGCCGATCGGATTGCACCGCAAGCCCGTGTGATGGGGTGGGCGGCCGTGATGCCACCCATTGCTTCCCAGGCGGCCAAGGAACCTGGCCAATTCGACAACACTGGAGGATGCGTTAAATTAAGGGATGTGGGAACAAACGCCACCAGAGAAATTGCAGGAGCGACCTTGCCTCTGGAGACATTCTTGCAAACCGCGCCGTCATCAGAAGCACACTGGATCGTTCCGAAACGGCCACAGCGAACAGCATTGCCCCCGTCCTGATGAACAGAGAACATCCGAGACTCCCTGCCCTACCCAAAGCCATTGAAATTGTGCGGCACAGCAAGTGAAAATTTCTACGGGGTCCTGCTGGCTCAGGTAGTACCAAGGCCGCTGTACTTGAGCATGCACAGAGAAGCGCGTTGGCGGCAGGGAATCCTTTGATTGCTGTGGTTTCAAAGTCGGCGACGCCTGGCGCTGTTCTAACACGTATAGAATATAATATAATCATATCATACCATATCATATAATATCATATAATATAATATTACATAATATAACATAATATAATTGAATATAATATAATGTAAACTAATGTAATATAATATCGTATAATATAACATAATACAATATAAGATCAGATAAGATAATATGATATAATGTAATGTAATATATTTTTACAATATGATAAAATATATCACAGTATAATAGAATAGAATATAATTTTAGGGAATATAGTAAACAAGAATAGAATGTAGTTTAATACACAATAACATCACATAACAAACATAACATGATATAACAGAATACAATCCAATACAAGAAAATATAGTATAACACAAAACAAGATAGATATAAATATAAATATATAAATACAGATATCAATATAAATACCAGAAATTGAAATAGGAATAGAAATAGAAATATGAATAGAATATAAATACAAATACAAATACAGATACAAATATTAAATATTAAATATTAAATATTAAATATTAAATATTAAATATAAATATAAATATAAATATAAATATAAATATACATACACATACATGTGTATATATGTATATGTATATCAAAACGCCTTTACCCAACAGCCATCAACTGCCCCTGTTTTCCAATATGGCAAAACGTAAGCCAGCAACACCTGGCCCACGGTAGCGTAGAGCGGGCCTTAAGTCACAGTCTGTTGTATGTTCGTCACCATTCTTGCAAAACTGAGGCAAGGGCCGTAGAAGCCATAGTCGAGGGAGTTCCACGTGTTGGGCTTTAAAACAATGATTTCGACAGCATCGGCCACGTCTGTCGGCGAATCGTTGTCCGTGCCCGTTATGACAGGAGCGTCCTCTCGAATCACTGAGCACTTGCCGCCCGCGATTGGAGTGGCATTCTGCCCATCGAAGATGCCCGTCACGCCGGCACTTGTGCTTGCCTCATTCCAGGAAAGCTCGCCTGTTTCACTGTTGACCTGGAGACCCGGCATGTGCGGCAAGCAGTCTTTCAAGCGGTAATGGTAGGAATCAAAGCCTTGCGAAGAAGGAATTGGGCTGAAGGTTGCCGCACCAATGAAAATCAAAGGGGCGCTGCCATAGGAGAACGTTTTGTGGACCGACACCAGGAGTTGGCTGGAAGCGCTTACCCCCGGTCCTTGCTTCGCTGTAATGACGCAGGTCACACTGAAGGCTTCCATCTTTCCACAGCCCACTCTCTGGCAGCCGTTCTTCAGCTTGAGCTGCCCTGTCTCGGCATCAATGGTGAAGCCGTGCTGGAGAAGCTGGCAGTCCTCTCAGAATATGCACGTCAAGCAAGGCTGAGAGCCCTTACTCACAGGAGCTCAACCCCTAACCCTGGAAAGACGTGGACAAGACACTGGATTCGACAATGCACCTTGTCCACGGCATAGCTGGCGGCCGTACGTGGCACAGGGTGTCCAATGACGTCATCGCTCTCCAGTCCGATGACCAAGGGCCCCACGTAGTAAGTAAATGGAGTGCCAGCCCTGTGGCCACCCCCACACTTGCAGCAGGCTTCCTGTGAAGAAAAGCCGCCACTCTTCTCTGCGCTACACACGAGGGCATGCCAGCAGTTCCGCCCGTACTTGTCTGTCCAGCCTGCAACAAATTGCAAAAAGAACATGCTGACAGCAGATCGCACACTCACCCCTATCTGATAGGCCCTGTCTACCCGCATCTAAAGGAAAGGATCCCCGTAAGTCACTGTACGTCCGGCCCCAATCCAGCCTGGCGTGTCGAGGCAGGCTTCGCAGCTCTCCGGGGCGCCGGCAGTGGTCAGGGTGTGAGTTACGGCGTGAGTGCGCTCAGCCAGAACCAATCTCATAGGCTCGAAGGTGCAGTACAGCCGGTGATCAAAACCTGGACTGCCGAGTCTGGGGCTTTGGCCGCCCTCTACGCAGCGGCACGCATCTGTCTGCTTCTGTTGGGTGTAGTCGAAGGCCGCGCCCCCCAAGCGCCAGCAGAAACTTGAGCAGGCTGCCCAGGAGTTGTCATCTGATTCCCCAAGGGTTCCACCGACTTGGACCCGACCGGGGACACAGCCCTGCGGAAAGCTGTTCCAGAACTGAAGGGTGCAGTAGCTGCGCTGGTGGTGTCCTGGATTTCCGATCCTTGGAGTTTGGCCGTCTTCCACACAGCGGCATGCGTCGTGGCTCGACGAGGCAGTGTAGTCAAAGGCCACAGCTCCACGGCGCCAGCAAAAAGCAGCGCAAGCCGGCCAAGAGTTGTCCGAGGACTGCCCAAGGGTTCCGCCTCCTTGGACCTGCCCTGGGACGCAGCTCCGCACAAGCTGAGAAAGATTCAGAGGCATGTTCTCTCGATGTCCTCCAACTTTCTGGAAACCACCGGCACACTGGTTGCACTTATTCCCTGAGGCATCCTGGCACCCAGCACACTTCCGGTCCCAAAAGGGACAACACAAATACGTGGATGAAGCAGGCTGGAACACCGGAACTTCACTTCGAGGGTCGCATGAGTCCTGCCCAATCCGAGGCAAGCCAACACTCTCTCTTTGCAAAATGCTGGAGGACGTGTTCGAGAAGCAGAGCTCAAAAGCCTCTTTCACACGAGCATCTTGCTTCTTCGCATGGTACGGCTGGACTTCTTCCTCCACCAACCCCCTTGCGATCTGGATGGCTCTTCTTGTCTCCTGTTTGCCCTCTTTCAACTCCTGCAGACTATCTGTCTGGGGCACAACGGAGGACTGCATCCTCCGCATCCATTTCTCTTGGGCTTCCTGGCGAGCTTCCACCCTGCGAAGGACCTTGTCCTGGTTCGCCTCCACCTGTTCCAAGCCTTCCAACATGGTGAGAAGCCGTGTAGCCAGACCCTCACCCCCTTGCGAGAGTGGGGGGTTTTGGGCATGCATCTGCAAGAAGCTTGCATGCTCCAAAGAGATGTTGAGGCTCGTGCCATAGGCCACTCTCCTCGTCACGGAGAACAAGAGTATGCAAAACTTTGCCATGGCGCATTTCATCGGCGCACTGCGGCTCAAGCGCTTTTCGCTAGTTAAAAGATAAAGGCCCTCTGAGTTGAGCCCGATCCCGCAGCGAAAAACGCAGGAAGTGCGAAGCACATTGACTCAAAGGTTTCGGGAGGCCTGGCAGGCAAGTGCCGCGGCATTGTTTTGCAACAGCATTCTGGCAAAGGGCAAGTAGACTTCTGCCACGTTGGGCACGACTTGGGTAGTCAGGAGCGGCTCGCGATGTCACGGCGTCCAACTCATCCGACCGTGCTGCGGCCGGAATGTCACTGGCCTGGCTGCAAATTTCGCTGCCAGTTGACAGGCACATGCCTCACTGCTGGAGTGGCCCTTTGTAGGCTAGCATTCAGTAAATGAAGCAGAGAGTTGCAAGATCTAGTTTTGGTCGATTAAAGTTTCAGGAAGCGTTCTGGGCCGGAGTGGTTCACCTGAGACGCTTTGGCTTTCGATATCTCAAGCCACTTGCAAGAGATTGCAACGCAAAAGATATGCAGAGAACACGGAAGTGTTTCTGAGTGTCTCTTTCTCTGCACCGAGAGCCCGCTCCAAAATCTCAAACTGCTCAACCTGGAGCTTCCAGAACTTCCTCAAGTCGCCGACCGGCCCAGGTCGCGCGCCGCCGGGACTTGCCTGGACTTGGCAGCGGAGGAGGGAGCTTTTGGGCAGGGTCGACCGAGTCCATTTCTGAGTAGTAAAGCGCATCAGAATATGAAGAGGAAACGGTATACGAGTTGCGAGCGGATGGGCAAACCCTCCGGCCGGGAACGGACCCTAAGCGTCCATCCGATGCAATACAATACTTGGGTCATACCTTGAGTCACACACACAAACACAAAGGTGCGGCATGGGATCGCAAGCCTCATGAACGCCACCCCACGCCCAGCCCTAAGGATCAGTCCACACCCTGCGGCGTTTGTCGCTGTCAGGTGCTGTCTTCAGCCGTTGAGCCACACACGGCTGCATTCCTCTTGCGTGTAAGCACACCTGACGAATCAGGCTTCCTCATCTCGGCAGCTGATCTGGCTCGCGCAACTGAACCTTCTTTCATCCTCACATTCAGTAGCGGGACATGGCGGCTTGAAATTTTGGAATTGGTGGTGCAGGCGGGCTTTGAGGCATCTTACAACGTCCCGAGTATACTCATGTCGAGCATAGGCAAAGCTGGTCTCAGGTCTGGCGAACAAGACTTGCTGTTAGTGACTACCAGGCCATCTGCCTAAGAATTTCCAAACCGGCTGTCCGTTGCCTCACGTCCTAAGGACTCCGCACGCGCCGGTCGTGTTACGATTTTGGACGACTCCGTTCTTTACAAGAGGCTCCCGTGGGCAAGAACGCCTGCAAAGTGAAGTGATGATTGGTGGAGCTCCTTGCCTCCGTTCGGAAGTGGATCGAAAATGTCCAAAGAGGAGCACTTTCAGCTTTCCTCATGTCGAGAAGATTCAATTAGTCGTTTCTGTTGTCAGGTACTCCTGCTCAGATACACTTCGCAGGAGCCACCTGCACAGGGTTTCGCGGCATGCGCTAGAGACCCCTGCACGAATCCTTGTTCGTCGGGACCTAAACGACATAGATACGAGTGGGAATATCATGTGCCTCTGAAGGCAAAAGAAGGGCCAATCAAGAAACACGAATCGGGGCAAGTTCTGTGTGCAGGCAAAGTAGGCTCTCCTTTGGCCAGCTGCGAGGCCCTGCCATTACTTTTCGTATTGTGATGATAGATGCTACTTTGACTGTTCTCGCTGTATATATATATATTATACATGGCAAGAGATGCTTTGCGGGCTGTAACTTGCGGTGTCAATCACAGGGCCTTCTCACAGCTGCTCTAAGCATGTCCGCCCGAAGCAGGGATCAGTGGTGGCTCACCTTCGCAGTCTGCCGGACGTGTCTCACCGATCCCTGCTGGGTGCGGGCAGATAGACTGATTTACCACAAGTCCTCCCAGCATGTCTAGTTTGTGGAAAGAGTTCGGGGACTCTGATGGGCACAGAGTCAAAAGGATGAAAATGGCACGCAGTCTCGGTCAAGGACACCCACCCTAATACCCTCAACCCCCCTCCTGGGCGCTTTTGGCGGGGCCTACTGGGGGCTGTTGCGAGTGCCGCTTCAAGCACCGAACTGCGTTCTTGCCAATCTTGCTCTCTCGAGTCTCTTATGAACGGGGCCCATGTGCCCGTGAAAAGAAAGTGCTGTGTGAGCACGTAAAGCGCCAGGAGTGCGCCAGGCAAGAAACTGCCGGCTCTCAGTCCTCACTCTTCAGGTAGCTCCTCACTCTGGGCTGTCTGTCCTGCAAGTCTTGCAGTTCAAGAGCTGGGCCGGGCCACGTGCCACTATGAAGTCCGAAGCAGCTCACTGCAGCTCACTGCAGCCCTGCGCCTCCAGACTGACCACCCTCGCTCTGTCCGCGGGTCAGCAGGGACAGCCGCAGGGCTCGCTCATCCTGACAAGCGGTCGCCGCACTACACTTGCAAGACGTGGGCAGTTCTCCATGTCATGGGCGCCCCCTTTTTTGGGAGGGTACCTGAGGTTTACGGATCCCTATGCTCGGAACCCTGAAAGGGGACGATAGCTTCCAGGAACCCCGGAAGTGCCCCCACATGCCAACCGCGCTGTGTAACACGACGGAACGCCCGGCCTGGGCGCTGCCCCCCATGGGCAGCTGATTCAAAGAAGATGCCTGGCAAAGGACTAAGGGATTAGGATTCCCATTCCCCTACGAATGCAAAGCCAGCAGACTAGGTAGTTCTTTGTTCTGCAAGGTGGCGTTGCTCCGGGCTTCACGTAGTGGTCTTCTTCAATTCCTCTGATGTTGCGTGGGAGCCTTTCGCTTCAACAGGGGTGCGATACGACGCCGGTGCTGATCTGCTTAGGGTGTGGTTTCCTTTGAGGGCACGTAACTGTGCGAGACTTGGGATGTAGCAGCTTGTCGGGCCTGTGTTGGTGCTTCAAAGTTGTGGGTGTTTAGGGCTGGTGGCTTGTAGAGGGGTTGAGAGTTTGTGTGACTCAGGGCTTGTGGTGTGCTTCGGGCTTCGGTGCTGTGGACATCGTTGGCATTTGTGGTTGGGAAACCTCAGCCTCAAGGCCACCAACCCCTTCTAAACTAAACCCTAAACGAAGCCCCCCAAGCCCCCCTCCAAGAAACCCAAAAACCCTGCGAGCAGACCCCAAACCCTAAACCCTAAACCCTAAAAAGGAAGAATCGTGGGGGGCGGCACCGAGTTGGAGTGGTTCGGATCGTGCTGCGCGCACAACGTCAGAACCGTCCGGCCCATCTGAATGGAAATGTTAACACCTGCTCAGGGGCTTAGGGTTTAGGGTTTAGGGTTTAGGGTTTAGGGTTTAGGGTTTAGGGTTTAGGGTTTAGGGTTTAGGGTTTAGGGTTTAGGGCTTTTTCTGGGGCCTTCCGGGCACACTTTGGTGCCGTATTATCATGGGGACCCAAAAAGGGACGATAATTTTTAACAACCACCCGACACGAACAGCAAGAGCGCGTGCCTGGCTCTAGCACCCGGGGCTTCTTCATGGCGACCAGTGTGCCGAACTTGGAAGAGCTATCTTGTAGGAGGAACTGGCCCTTGCCTGCAACACGGATTGCGGCTGAAATAGGGCATGAGACTTCTCCACAACCACTGCCCAATCATCATGGTGAATAAGACTTTGAGCTGCTGACTGAATCGAATTGTCGCATGAGTGCGAGAAATGGAGACCTGACGCGTGTTCAGTCTAGAGCGGGCACCCGCAGCGGCCAAGCGACTTTCGAGCCAATCTGCCACACGTCCAAGCACCCGGGCGTCTGCAATGCGTACGTCACTCTCATGCCCGCGGCCAAGCTTGAGCTCCTCGTCCAAACGACAGGTACAAGAACAAAAAGCCATTTTGGCAATATTAACCAGGAACATTATAAAACTATTTAGCTACTAGTATAACGGCGGCACGTTGCGACGACACCACATTGTACATAAATTCAAGACACGGATGAAAAGGTGAGAAGGCAGCTGGCCTTTTCCGCGAGCGAGATGACATGAAGCCCTCGGGACGTGTGCTGCTGGGAGTCTCGCACCTGGCTCAGAGTTCGAGAGAGAAAAACTTTCCACTTACTCTTCAGAAGTGGCCAGGAGCGATGAAAAGCTTGAGGAAAACCGGCTCGGCCCACCATGTTCTCGAGGACGATGAATGGCGGCTGCGTGAATGGCACTTCAACCAGTGGCGAACGATCCTGGCCCTTGGATTTGCCCATTTTGTCTCCACTTATGGGCCTCTGCATGTGCCTCCGCATCTTGCCTCTCTGCCTCGTCTACGGTACAATCTGTGCAGCCAAGCAGAGCTCTCTGAGAGTCCAGCACTGTTGGTGTGTATGTACGTTGGGTACACTGACTTGCACAACTCACAGGTCAAGGGCCTGGTCGTGGAGCATGCGGCAAACTTCGGAGGCTCTTCGCCACAACATGCGCAGCACCCACGTCAGGACACCACATGTCACGACATCACTGTCACGCGCGCCTGTAGAAATAGGAGCCCAAGGGGCGGTCTGACAGATTTAGGCGCCCCCGAATCCAGTGCCGGAGGCATCCCAGGTGCACGTACCTCAAGGGCAGAGGGGCTCATAGCACACACAGAAACCGGCAAGAAAGGCTGGCCGTGGGCTCTGAGATAGCAGCTCGATGGAGCCCTTGCACTGGCATGGGGCAATGAGAGGATCGTCCTTGCGCAGCACGTGCAAGAAGGAGCGGGTGCGTTCATCAGTACTTGTGATTTCCAGCCGCAGCGCAGAGCGACGCGTCAACTTCGTCTTGTTCGGGCTTTTGCTGCTTTTCCTACGCCTCATGAGCTCGAGTGGCTTCGCGACTAGCAGTGACTAGCACTTGGCGCTGCACCCCACAGATGCATCGACAGATGTGGTCAAGAGGTTTTATGTTCTACAAGTTTGGAGGCAGCAATGCTCCCGTGCTCTGCTCCTCACCGGGGCCCTCCAGCAAGCAGATGCGGCACAGGAGCTTGTTCACTTGCGGGCCCCTGGGCGCAAAAGTTAAGTTGAACTTTGCAAGTAACAAGACACTCTACCAAATTCCGGCTAAGCCTTCTAAGCCTGATGGCACCGTGCAGAATCTGCTCCGAGACACGTCGTGGCTCTCAGATCACCGGGATCTGAAGATGGCACTGTGCATCTCTGGACCCTGTGAGCACCTGACTCGCCGTCCGGCCCTGGCTCCACCTGGGCACAATGCTGGACATACCTTGGGTTTAGGGTGTAGGGTTTAGGGTCTAGGGTTTAGGGTTTAGGGTTTAAATGATATCATGGCCCTTCTACCCATCTATACAATTCTTTGCGAACCAAAGCTAGACGGACTCAAGCGCTGGAAAAGAATGTCTCGGGCACTGATGCAGCTCGCTTCGAATTCATCCATGCTACATGCTTCGGCGCAAGTTGGCTCCAGGAAGTTCCGCAAATGCCACGAGGCTGTTGAAAATGGATATTGTCATGGCTGGGTTGGAAGTCGATTCAGCTAGCAACAACGGCCGACCGCCGCAACAAGAGTCGTCTGAGGCTTCCGCTGCGCAGCAGATGACGCCAGAATCATCGAGCCTGAACTTCTCAGGCTTTCTGACAGCGAAACTCCGAACACCGCTGAAACTTCAAAGCTGGCGCAGAAGCGCAACCTCTCGCAGCCTCTCAAGGCTTTTTTACCCAGCACTTTGGCTTTGCAGCGGCTCGGCCGGCACAACGTACGTCTCATAGCCAGCGGGCATGTCTGAGCGAGTTGAGCTCCGCTTTTCTTCGACGATGCCTTGGCGCAGCCGCGGGGTCCGGACGACAACACTATGCATCTGCAAGGATGCTGGTATCTGTCCCAATGACAGCCAGAATTCGACGATGTGACTCTTTACTGTTGACTCTTCTGCGCCTCGAAAAGTCAAGGAGACCCTCCGGAAGTGGTCATCGCGAATCACAACACGGCCGTCCCGCAGGGGCACTCGTCTCCTCAGGTCACACAAAGAGAACTCACGGGTGGACACTAATATAGACCCACAAATAGATGCCCTTAGGTACCCCTAACTTCAAAAACCCTCCTAGTATCTGACATGCGTATCCAAGCATCGACTGGCGAATCGCATGGGTGAAGTCGTGGCGGCTTTCCCCTTCGAGTACAAAGAGGCTTCTCGGCTCCAGGAGCACCTTGATGCAGTCCTGCGGCTTGAAAAACCCCAAGGAGAAGCGGGGATTCCTGTAAACTCGACGCAGCAGGCACCTTGCTAGGAGCACAGTGGGGCCTGGACTACTTTCCGGAGCATGCGTGCGTAGCTCCCACGACATGAAGCTCGAGTTTGAGAACCGATGCCAACAATGAACCAAGAAAACTGCGATGATTGCCTTTCTTGCCTTAAAACAACCGCTAGGCTCTTTTGCAGTGTGTATACATGACCATGCACTTTCATTGTGCCATGACTGGCAGGACCAGGTGTGACAATCGTGCCCTGTGGGTGAAAGAGTGGCCTCAATCTACTCGAAACAGCGAGGGAAGAAGAGAGGGAGGCGCGAGCAGATTTGGAACCCGAAGCGTTCCACGATGTACCGATGTACTGCACCGACTTGCGGGGAGTGACGCGACGCGCTCTCAACCCAAGAAGCTGCAATCCAATTCCGATTCTGTGGGGGTCCTCCGGATCTCGCTTGTCGCGGTGGACAGGTCGACCCGCCTCTGCACGCTGCAGGGTGAGCTGCACCTCGGGGCACGGGGTGGGGGGGGCTGTTCTAGCTTAGGATCCCTTTGCGGGCTGAGAAAAGACACGTGCACTTAGAAAGGGAGCCTATTCTAAATTCGCCTCGGCTTCCTGCCGAGAAGCGTCTGGAACAAGCAGATCGGGCCTCCTTCCCCCTAACTCAACCCTCCCCCATGCGAAATTTTGTGACGCCACCCCCCCCCCCCCTCGCTGCAAACCGATGCGGTGGAGGGTCGTGTCTGTCCCATGCGACACAAGACACACACATCTGCTAGCACAAAAACAATTCAACTTCCAAGCCAAACTCTGCAAGGGCTGAACCCTAGCTTTGGGCCGCACTGGCCGCAGTAAGGAAAGCGTTGCCAACGTTTCTCCGGCTGCGGGGTCCTGCAAAGTCGATCTGTGCCCAATGCGAACCCTTTGAACTGTTTTCCAAACCCTCCTGGTCTGGAAACCCTCTTGAAGGACGAGTGCTAGTTCGCTGCTGTTCATGTGACCCACCCCCCGCCCCCACCACTCCTCGACATGGGCCCCGATACCGCTATCCTCCAAGTACTCGTTGGCCTGAACTTGGTTGATGCCTGCCCAAGGACTTGGACATGGCAGCTGAAATGTCTTGGGTCAGCCTGACCACAACAAAAGAAGCGCATCTCTCGGGCACAGATCTTCATTCTAAATCCTGGTATCAGTTGACGTGCAAAGAGCTATTCATGACGGTGAGCCTGGCGAACAAGATACAGCGACGACAATGTAATGTCATGACACGACCAGAAGATGGAAAGTGGTCTTATAGGAAACTGACCACCTATCCGACCTATTCTGAGACGGCTTCCCTCTGCACTGCTTCCGGAGGCCTTGACCAGGCGCGGAAAACAGTCCGGACGACCTCGCACACTGAGTGGACGCCTTCCCTGCAGATCGAACTTGTCTTTGTGTGAAGTAGTTTAGGGCGCCTGAGACGAGGCATCAGCCAGTGAGGTAGCTCCTCAGCAGGGTAGGTGCCCTGAAGTGTCCCCAGTGCTTCCCAACCCGTCTGTTCCCATTTCTGATATCCATGTGACGGGCTGCCTCGAGGTCTCGACCACGCTGCTGCTTGGCGGAGCTCTGTGCTGTCGGCTGCAGCTCCGGCACGGACTGGGAAGTCTGGTAGTAGACCCTGAGCGGCACACCATCCCACGCTTGCTCACAAGCTCGCCGGCCGTCCGAGGTCCACACAGCCCGAAGAACTGCTGCGCACGGCGGATCTTCCGCAGCCACGCCGCCCCTGCCCAGCTTCAAAGACATGATGCAAGAACTCTGCTACTTTCGCAATTATACTTTAAGATGATATCTGTATTGAGTTTCGCACAATTTGCCAGAGCCCCATCGCTCTACCCCAAACGAAGTGCGTCAAGCCGACAGCTCCTGTGTAAACCTCAACAAAACTTCCTTCCTGTCCCCAAGACTCGAGGGTTTAGGGAAACAATCTCATGAAGCTCAGCGGCCTGGACCGTCCACCGCCTGCAGGAGTTCCGCCTCCTCCCCTTTCGTGATGAAGTTGGGCCAGTAGCGCAAGCCAACGGGGAGCTGGCAGCCGCGATGCAATGATTTAATGAGTTTGCACTTCTTGCGATGCCGTTCTTGCGGGGGGTCGGGGGGGGGGGGGGGGGGCCACACGTCTGCATTGCACAACTTCCACAACCTGCTTAGTTAGCAAACTGCCGACCTGCTTTGGCCCCCGAAGCCGTGACCCAAAGACTGTGTGAGGGGCTGCCCAGGTCGAGGCCTCTCCGCGTTCCGCAATGGCAGACACGACCAACTCTCACAAAATACGCAATACGCATATCATAAGATGCGCCGCAATAGGCTGTCAAAGGCTGGGGCCGAAGCCCATCGGGACTGGGTGGTCCTTGGCAGAGGGACCCAAAACATGAAGTCTCATAAATGATCCGATGCGTTACACAAGGCGCGAAGCACAAAGGATGAAACCCAAACCATTTAATGCCTGATTATGCCGAGGGACCACACAGTGGCCAGCGCTGCCAGCGCCCGTGCACGGCACCGTACCATGGCTTTGTGCTGCTGGCGGGAAGAAAGGTACGGGGATGCGAAAGGATGTCCTAAACCCTAATCCCCTAAACCCCGAAACCCTAAACTCTACATCCTAAACTCTCAAGACGGCATAAAGGCCAACTCTTCTTAACCGAAGAAGGCATAGGCACCAGCAATGGGCCACCAGCTTTTTTGGACCTAGGACCTAGGAAGTGTGAAAGGACAATGTGTAGGTCAGGACACGGGCATCGAGCCGAATCATCTTCCATCTCGCGTCGAACAGAAGGGACCGTCTGCTGGACATGCCTATTCTTCTTGCAGCTTGCAGGTGTGTCACAGTCTGCGTCAGACGTATCCAGCATCACCAGGATTCGTCATGCAGCACTGTCAGTTTCCACTCGCTCCCTGAAGATCCTCTGGTACCGGGGTCCATGCCTAAGCTCTGGCTGCATGCCACCGTAGGAGGTCGCCACCAGCTGACGAACGCGGAACTTGAAGCGTCCCAGCTTGATGACCTGAGCGTGTGATGAGCTCCCGCAGTAGATGCAGGCAGAAAGTATCCAGCAAGAGCCAGCAAGAGCCAGCAAGAGACCCAAGCGTAGCTCAACTCCACTGTTATGTGCAGAGCAAGTCTTCGCACTCATGTCATGCAGCATGAAAGGTTCCCGCATCACCCTCCTGCAGCCGATGGCTGCTGGATACCAGATCTCTCCTTGAAACAATGAGCACAGCCTAGCACATCGCTTTCCAGCAACACATCCCACCACATCCCAACACATCCCAACACATCCGAAGTCACTTCCGAACTTCAGAACACAAGAACAGCATTCCAGTGCTACAACGTGGCACAACAAGCCACAGCTTTTTGGAGTTGCTGGACCTAAGCGGGCGCACGCAAGAGGGAGAGAGAGCCATATGAGAGCCAGAGTTGCTGGGGCTTCCCACGGCTGAGCCTTGTCAACCTCGGGGGGAGTTGGGAGTTGCCATGATTAGGGTTTAGGGTTTAGGGTTTTGGGTTTAGGGAGGTGGCTTGGTCTATGTTCACTATGCTGAGACGGGCTAGGGCGCCTAGGGCGCAGGAGGCGGCTCTTTTCGTTTCATCTGGAGGCCGCGCCAGTCATTTGCCAGACAACTTACTCGAAATCGGACACACGGCATCTGATTTCTACGGGGTGAGATGATGGTACGCATGAGTCACGAGCTGCTGAGGCAGCAAGAGCGTGCGTAGACTGCTACAACCACCAGGATTGCCCCGGCTCTACTCCCTCCTCCTTTTCACAGAGTGTCTGGTCGTCGCCCTCGGCGCCACCCATGTGGCACCCAAGCAACGTGGTCCCCTGCCCCATGGCCTCCAAGCATCGACCAAAAGACTTCAGGACCCGCGTCGCATCCACCTTGTTCATGGAAGGGCTAGTAGGGGAAGGAGGGAATGGGGTACCCTATATCATAATTTCCCCCTATATTATACCTCTTAAAAAAAAGGTGGGCCTTGTTAATGGAAGAGTTCTGCTTCCGCGAGAGCCGGTGGAGCAGAAGGGACGCGAAGTCGTGGCAGGTGTCCTCGACCGCTTCCAGATTCTCTCGCTCCTGGCCTCCCAGCTCCACAGGCATTTCACCCTTGAATTTGGTGCCAGAGCTCTCTCCAATCGAAGCCACAAACAGGCCGCCACCAATCTTGTCGGCGCAATGTGACCCAGTCTCGAGGTTGTCTCGAAAGATCTTGGCTGGACCGGCAGGATCTAGGGGGTCATCGAGATTGAGCTTGCAGGCTTTTCGAACGTCTAACATTTTATCAGAGGGGAGAGCAGCGGTGTCAACCGTTAGCCCATCGAAGCTTGTCTCCCGTCCCAGAAAGGAGGACAAGCGCGGTCCACGCGGCCTCCGAGGGACCGGCAGTTCCTCACTCCACATGTGTCCCCAGTCTTTCGCATAATTTCTCCACGGCGTTGGTGGAGTTGCTTGAGTCACCTGGTCCACATGGCTCCACACACCATTTGGCATGAAGGATGCGGGACCGTCCCATATAGCTGTAACTTTGAAAGGGCATTCGGCTTCGGACACGACGAGCAACTCAAGCCAAAGAAACTGGGCAAGACCCTCAAGTCACCGGGCGACTGTCTATAGGGGTCCAAAAAACCACATAAACTTATAAGGGCCCTAATAGGCCAATAGTAGGATCCTTATGTTTAGGTGGTTTTATGGGCCACTATGTCTACCTGAATCTGCAACGGATGACCTGGCAAGAACCCGAGATCGGAGCCCAGAAGGTCCCATCTCGCTGCACGAGGCGCAGGAGAGGATCTCCTCCCATCGGGGGGACGTCCCGCTCTCCGACCATCTGCACCTGATCAGGGCTCTGCTGCTTCGCGAGCATTCTTCCCCGCATTCTCTCGGCGCAGCTAACTGAAGCAGACATCAGCTTGCCCCTCCTCCGTGCCATTGCGCATGCACACCGTGGACTTGGGCACGGAAAATGTCTGAGTATGCCTCAGCCACGTGGAGAGCTTGCTGACTTGCAAGGATTGCTTTGAGGCTTTGGGGGGCACATCGCAATGTACTGAGGCCGACACAGCTGATGCGCCTCAAAGTCGAAGAGGTCGTGCGAGTCCCGTGCCCATGTCTTCGATATCACCTTTCCAAACTCGAAAATCTGGCAAGAACCCAAGACTGAAAGGAAAAAATGTAGCGAGCTGCGACCCTTCACTCTCTCAGGTGTGTTGGACCCAAAGCTCGGAGAGCTTGCCTTAACCGCACTGGTTGTCGTCGCGCTAGGCGCTGACGCCTGCACGGCCACGGATTGCGCTGCTTCCAAGGGCTTCCAAGGGTCCGACTCTGCCGATGTCTTGGCAACCGCAAGCTGAACAGAGCACACGCACACAGCCACATACAGCCACTGCTCACTACTTTGCTTGTCTCGTAAAGGAGCACGCCTGCGTTGCCATCAGAATGGCCAAAATGAATTCGTCCTCGAGTACACAAAGCACTACAACCTACCAAGCCTTTTCTGGAGTCTCTGCAAGCCAGCTCTCACGCGCCTCAAAGAGCTGCTCGGCCAAAAACTCCTTATCCTAGATTCTATCCAGCCTTGCACAGCATCTTCGAGCCATGACAGCCGAGACAGCCAAGACCAGCGTCTGGCGCGCTCATACAAACCCTTGCCCAGGCCAGTCGCCTAGCAACCGCCGTTTTTGGTGGGCACCGATCCGAAGTGAGAAATCAAGAGAGTCAACCCAACTATCTGCCGCATCAGAACTCACAGTGTGGTTGCTGGAGTCTGAGTCTCGACTGTCGAAACGATCGAGCGTTTGCGATTCTTGGTCATTGTGTCGAACTCAAGTGTCAAACTATCAAACTAACGACATAGTTCAGCCCGCATTTTCAGCTCCGGGCTTACAAGTCCAAGCTCTCGAAAGGCAGCTAGACCATGCTAAACACCTCCATCATGAAGTCACTGGCGCACAGAGCATGTGCATTTTGACTCCATCCCGATAGGTCTCGACTCAATCGAAAGGTTCCTCAAGGTTCCTCTCCACATCTCCGAGAACCTCTTGAGGGATGTTTGATTTGGATTTAGAAATCAGCCATCTACGGGCTACTTGTGAAAGGCTGGAGAGGCCTTTTGGCCAAGCTCCGGCACTTCACTGCGTCTCACCCTGCAACCAACTCTCACCCAGGCAGACGTGACTCAGAAGAGCTCCAGAGGCGCAAACAAGCGCCTGCAACAGACTGACCGGCAACAGCTAAACCCTAAACCCTGAACCCTAAACCCAAACCCTAAAACCTTACTGCAACCTTCCACTCTGCAGGGAGGGGACCTGAACCACTCGGACTCAGGACTGACTCGACCCGTCGACGAAACGAAGGCTGGGAGCGATGGAATACTTGCCTGCGTGGCCATCACCGCGGGCACCTGAACTTTGATGGGCACAGACACACTCGCACAGCTGCGTTCAGCCACGTGCGGACTTATGGTGCACATGAACTCCGACAATCTCCGAAACACCGATGAAACAAAGCATGTTGCGGGGGATCTGAGGATGTCGCCCCGTAGGTCTCGTCCAGCAGTGGGAACAGCAGAGCCCCGACCTAACATTCCAGGCAAAGCGAGGCTGTCTCCGCAGTCCCTAAAAAGGCCCTAGTTGGAGGTTCATGGTCCTTATTAACCAATTATAACTGTACTTATCGCTGTACTTATAACCATGCTAAGGCACATAAGGGGCTTATCAGTGGGTTATAAGTACAGTTATGATTGGGTAATAAGTACCCTAAACCCTAAACCCTAAACCCCTTGGAGGGCACTCAGGGCGGCCAGGGGAGCGGCCAGCGCTCCGCTCTTCCCCGCAGCGGCCGAGAGGCCGTGGAAGGTGCTGCGCAGCCTTCAAAACACCAAAGAAAAGGGTTTAGGGTTTTTAGGGTTGTCAGAATTTTTCAGGGTTTTCAGGGTTTTTAGGGTTTAGGGCTTTGCCTCGTGCCTCAGGTCTTGTTGCGAGGGCGTTGTCGGGGTCTCAGCCCGGGACTCACTGGGTGCCAACTCCACAGGCAAGACGAAGGTCGCAACGCTCGGCCCAAAGTTAAGGCCTCAAGTTCCGACATCAGACGCAATGAAAGTGTTGCAGTACTTCTAAATTCTACTGCTGCACTTACTGTGTCGTAACTTCCGCCAGAGTGTGAAGCTGGGCCCTGAGCCAAAGCACAGGGCACAACAAAGCGCAAAAAGCACCTGCAGAGCATTCAGCTGTGCTTCATGTATTGCGCTAGGGTGTAAGCCTCACAGTCGCTGCAACAGGATGTGTCGGACAGGGCCTTATGAGCATCTGGGCATGCAGCCGCCACGGCTGCGAACAGCGCAAAGCAAACGGAGATAATGGCCTGAGATCCAAAAGCACCAGTTACGTGTAAGGAGAGTCCATGAGCGCAGACCAGCGAAGCCATTACGGGGGCTTTCATTCCTCAACTGCTTGCAGCTTGGCAGGCCAGGCCCAGCGCATTCAGTGTCCTTGCCTTAGTTTCAAAGTTAGGAGAGACTAGGTGCCATGGTTTCATCTTAATTGTGCCAGGGAGCTCCCACACGAGGCAGCACTGCAACGGCCAAGAAGGTGGCTGGGATGGCAAAGGACAGCCTCTCGGAGCTCTGATTGATGTGATTGTAGGAAGCTGAGTAAGCATCGCACCACAGTTCTGGCGGCACGGCTCTCCCGGGCAAGTGCAGCCAGTGCAGCTGCGAGACATCAGGACGGAGTGGAGAGCCATCGACGTCAACGACTGGCTTTCGCCGAAGACGTGGCCGAGGATGCGAGGGGTGAAGATGACGGTGCCTTTGATCAGACTGCTTGTCCGAAGCTTCGGCGATGGAGTTTACTACTCCTGCGTTCGTTTCTCAGCTTATCTGCGAGCGTGTCGGGAGACAAGTAGAATAGCCAGCTACCAACATACACCAGTCTGATAGTCAATCACCCTTCAGGCTTCTGTCGACCAGAAGCCATAGGCAGCGACATCGAAGAGGAACCAGGTTCCGGCGGTGCCGATCAGCGTTCGCCGATGGCTGTGCAGTGCCTCGGTACCGAAATCAAGTGGGTTGGCTTCCAAAGCTAGGGGTACCCTTTTGGGGCTGCCTATAATGATTCACAAAAATGAGGATCCCACTCTTCTGGGGTAAACAAGAGGGTCCCTGTTTTGGGAAGTGCCCAAATGAACTCCCAGCCTCACTCAGGTTTCCAGCTGCACGTACCGGAGGCGCTGATTCCTGTCAGGAATGTGACAAGCGCAGCGATGGCAGCTGCTAAAGCCACAGCACGCAAGGCACCTCCTTCCAAGAGGCAGAGAGGGCCAAGAAGGCCGGAAGAGCCCCGAGGCCGAGTACCAGGCGGAACCTCCAAAAAAACATCCACAAAACAACCAAGACGCCAAAAACATCCAACGAGGGCACGGGGGCATTGGGTTCTAACTGAGTTTCACTATAGGTTTCACTACAAGTTTCCATGTCCTGTCTTCTCCCTGCCCCTTGACAAGACTTTAGGGCGCCGGAACACCGCGGGGTACAGATCGCGCACATCTGCACACATCTGCACACACCCGCACAATAGGAGCCGAGGGGCTGCGAGGAAGTGGAACCCGGCAGGAGCACTAGCAACAGGAGCATGACCAGGTAAGGTGCCACACCGCCAGGTGTCTGCCAGAAGAAAGCCTCGAAGCTACGCCATCACCATAGGTAGTAATGACGTCAGCACCCATCTCAACCGCCTGCCCGACGTCCGAGGAGGTACCGGAGGCACCCGCGCAGGCGGCGCTGAGTGGATAGGCACCACCCAAGCCTTGTATCCAAAGTGGTCTCAAGCAGAATCAAAGGGACTCAAGAAACAGGGCCCGGACCAATTCCCACAAGGAATCGACCAGCGGCCAGTCTATGCCAAAACTCGTCTCCAGCATCTTCAGGCAGCGTAGCACACCTGGGCTCTTCACATGCCCGTAGTCTTCTAAGCAGGCTTAAGGCTTGTTACCAGTACTTGAGAGCCGAGGGACAGCAAGGCACCCAGCACGACCAGGCCCTTCGCATTCAGTCTTTGCCCATCTGATGCAAGGCCAGACTCTCACGCGCCTTGGTTCCCAGAAGAGCTTGTCGATGCCCCAGAAGATCTCCCAGGTATCCAAAGCAGAGCATGCCTCGAGCAACCGCCAACCACGACACACAGCCGCAACAAGGACAAATGGGCGCGACCCGAACCCATGACCGGACTCAGACCCGCATGACTCACATGACCATCACATCACACTCACAAAGGGCTCGCCTGCCATCGAACCACCAAACACCAGTGCCAGGAGCCATCGGTGGACCCAGGGAGGGGGCGGATAGTCCGCCTCAAACTTTCTCCGCTCGCATCACATTGCACCCATGGCTGCTTCGTGGTCAAGTCGCTTCCAGTGGATTCTTGACGTAAAGGTCGTTGTGGGTGGACATTACCTGCAAGCCGGGGGCGGCTCGAAAAAGCCCTCCCAAGCCCCGCAAAGAAACTTCAGAGAGCACAGTGCTCTAAGAGACGGACCGCCATGGCGATACTGGCACCTCTCAGAGTCTCGCAGAGTTCTCCCACAAAGAGAAGGCCTCGAGGTTCTGAGGCTGCTGCATTGGTAGTTGTACCTTGGCAAGGGTGTCAGGAGTCCCCATCCTAAAGCGAGGGTATCCAAAGGGCGAAGAAGACGGAGGCTCAAGATCAGAGAGTTGCGCGCGCCCTACAATGCTGAAGGGAGTGATGGCTCCTGGTGCTTCTAGACGATACAACCTTCGTTCTTGACCATGCCCTACAACGAAATGACGAATTACGAGTACGCAGAGATGTCACAGACTGGACTTTTACTCTCGGGAAGGAGGCATCAGAAACTTCTGCGCGAGGTCCGGCTTGCGAATCTCTTGGATTCCCAAAAATCAATATATTACTTTGGGGCTGGTCTGAATCATGGATCTTCTTGGCACCCTTCACTACACGGACCATTCTAGCTTCCCCGGGTCTTCTGCGACAACATAAGGTACCAGGCCCATCACAGCTTTTTGGCCCCATTTTCTGCCCGCACCCACTTAAAATGAGCTCCCCGGCTGGATGGAGAAGTTGCTGCAGCCGGATGCAAAGGCGCGCCATCCTCGGAAGGCGATGTCTCTCCGGAAGCCAAGGCACTCAGCGACCACCCAGGGTGAGCCTGACTGCTCAGCTTTGGCTGCTGGCTCTGTGCTCCCATACCTTGGAGCATGAACAAAAAAGGTACTCTTCCTCATCTTCCTTCTGTCTCAAGCTTTCCTGCGCAGCATGAACGCTAGGGGCATTGAGGCTTGCTGCAGTCCTGCGAGCAAGGCACCAAGTTGAAATAGCTGCCATTCTCCTGGAAAGCCAGCAACACATGCCCAAGACCACAGCAGATCATGGCGAAACCTGCCTGAAAGCCGAAAGCCCGCTGTTTGCTGGGCAATCCGACTCACAGCATGGCCCGGTTCAGTTCCGGCATCGATGGAAAGACCTGATTTGGTGCCAAAGCTCAAGCGGATAAAACAGCTAGAGCCAGATCAGCGGAAAGCAGGGATGAAACGTGCAAAACATGCAAAACTAGCTGTGCATCAGCTGGGTTTTAACCTTAATGTTTATAAATATGTTTATACGTTCAGCTCAATGCCACACCAGTTCTTTCTTGCAAGTGCACAGCAGCCACCACATTCGGAGGCAAGGAACTGGGCTGGGGTTGCGAAGCGTGGCGCGGAACGGACCAACACAATGCATCCGATCAAGATACGGGTCGAAGAGCAGAAGTTCGTGGAACTTGCGATGCCCAGAATCGCCATCTCACTCAGGATCAGACGGGCTCTGACACTTTCCGGGGCGTGTTTATGCCTAGCCTCAGGTTCACATGTGACTAAGCCGGAACCACATATTCGCATGCCTGTGGGAACACACCACACACAGCAGTACGGCGATTGCAGCGGCTAATCAGTCCCAGTCGGTGCAGGTCAGCGCGAGTGAGTCTGAGTCGGTCAAGTTTACTGCGAGTCGGCCCAAGAGTGTCAAGAGTGTACGAGTGCGAGTCGGTCCGAGTCCGAGTGAGTCAATGCGAATCACCAGCCTGTGTGCCTCAAGTTGCTGCCCAAGTGTTTCGGATACACTGCGCTGGCAAGAAAACCGCTGTCATCCTAGAATGTCAAGGCCTTGGAAATGCCAGAGTCAAAGATGCCACACGTCTTTTTTCCCGCTTCACGGCGGACCGCTTCGGCGGATTCCTGTTCAGGTTAGGGAGTTCTCTGACTGTCAATGATCCCTTGCAACACAGCTTGGGAGCGTGGGGTTGGCAGAGCCCGCGGGATGCCCTTATCCATTAAGTGTTTTTTTCTATTTCCAGTATTGTTATTTTTATTGTTCCTATCATCAGTATTTTTGTAATTACTATAAATATTCGCAAGGCAAAGAAGGCCCACGTCTGGCTTTCCATGTGCATGCGGAGTCTGGCTTCACAGCGCGGTCCTGCCCAGGGCCACACTAGCCCTGCAGCTCCGCCACCTCCTTGGCCTTTGAGGGAAAACACGTAGGAAAATAGGCGACCCCAAATCTAGACCCCCAAAGAGTAGGATCCCCTTATCATAAGGATTTGCAATAAGGTACCCCGAATAAGGAAACCGCAGCTGGAGCATGTCACTTCTGCTTTGGCGAGCCTTGGCGAGGAACTCGGCTGGTTCCAGGCCTGAACACTTGCACTTCTTTGCGCGCTTCTTGGGCAGAGCTCTTATTGCAAAAGATGCAGGGCAGAAGCACCCTGACACACGCATACACGCACACACACATACACACACACACACACACACACACACACACACACACACACACACACACACACACACACACACACACACACACACACACACACACACACACACCGTCTGCACTCTGAGATGGCCACAACCTGTGATGTCCACACTGTGGGCCTTGGCGTGGCACATGGAGCGATCCCCTTCTCTTCCCCCTTTGTCCGTAGTGCCCCAGAAAAAGGATGAACAAAGGAGCCTCAAGAACTTGCTCTACAATCTAAGGAAGAGGCCAGCAGCACTTGCTTAAGCTCTTTCACCTGTTCAGATCTTGGCAGAATCTAAGAAACAACTTCCGCCCTTGGTGTCCATGTTGTGCACTCCGCAGGCGACATCACCCCTTAGGCATCCAGGCTGGCATCGCTTCCAAGGATGCAAAAGGTGGCAATTTGGGGCCATCAGCGGGACCTGTCATCCGAGATGCTTGGAGGGCATGCCGAATGCGCATGCTGCAGACAACCGGCATACGCAGCAGTGTGTCACAGCACCATGCGATCTATGCAGCCCACCTTTCTTGGCTGCCTGGTTCACAACGAAACCGCCGCAATTCCTCAGTCTGGTGGCCAAGCGACTACACGTGCGACTTTGGATGGTCGAAGAGAATCCACCGAGGCCTCGGGCAGTACGCGTTTGGGGAACATACAACCCCACCTGCCCCGCACAATATATCCCTCCCCAGGCCTCCCCCTTTCGGACGCTGTCGGGGGAGTTGCACTTCCTTCTGCGCCCCCTTTCTTCACTACTACAGAACCTTCTGCCCTTCGCCTACCCAGCTTTCCTGTCTTCACCACTCCCCCTGCCTACTTGTCCCTCATCCATATTTCCATATTTCCTGCCCCTCCCGCACCTCCTGATCTTCTTATTAAGGCTGTCGTGCCGACCTTGCCGCACCTCGAAGCCCTCTCCAGCAACTCCGGCATTTGGCACCTTTTTGTCTGGAATGGGTCCCCCCCGTAGCTGACACGTGGATACCAAAACATCCCCCCCAACCCCCGGCCCCAACCGCAACCCCCAACCCCCCCCGGCCCTCTTTGCTTCTCTGCCGGCTTGTTGTTCTTGTTTTACCATTTCTGCATTTGCAATCCCTGGTCTATAGGCTTCACACCTGCGATCTCCGGTTTGGGTTGCCTCGCCGCTGGGCAGGCCCAGGCCGGGGCGGGCCGCATAGCGTCAAAAAAGGGCCTTCCGCTCCATGCAAGCACAATGCCTGTTGTCAATTGCAGACGTCTTGATGAATTTGTTTGCTTCGGGACATCTTTCGGGATGATGCATGGTCGACGTCGCCAAGAAGGGCCCCCGCTCTTCCCATTTCCCACGGCGCCGCCGCGGCTCAGCTTTGGGACTGCCGGGAGCCTGGCTACATCGCGCTCCAGTCGACAAATTTGCTGCGGTCCTTTTCTTGCAAGCTGGCGCAATGGCGCTAAGCCTCCGCAGCAGCCCGCACACTTGTGCCCAAAACACCCCAAGGATAAAAACTTTCATGGCTCTCAAACTTTCATGGCTCTCACGCGAAGCGAGGACCGAAGGGCCCCTGGCAGACCCTGTGCTGTCGTGGTGGAGGGATAACCGTGGCGGCAGTCTTGTCCGTGTGGGAGCGAGCTCCCAGAGATGAAAAGGCATGAAGAAGTTTACTAGGATTGCCAGGAGGCCAGTGAGGTCGCTCCATCATGACAGTTGCCCCTCGAGCCAAGACCATGAAGACACAGGTTTGTTGGTGTAGTTGCTCCCACCAACACACCTCACCCGCGGCAATGAGGTAAAGAAACATGGGTTGTCGGGTTCCAACCTTCCCGCCAGAATCGACACCTGGTCAGCTTGATGCGACTCGGCTGCTCCGACCTTGTCCTGTCGTCTGCGAAGGGGAAGATTCCGGATATTGGCAAAGCTGAACAGTTTGTAAGCCTGGAGGCCTCTGCAAGGCCACCTTGTACACTTTGCAGGTTGCTTGCAACTTTTCAGCCATCTTTCGGCATGATAAAGCCGTCCGCATGGAGAATCCACGTCCTTCGTTTCAGTGTTTTCTCCGCAAGCAGAACCCAACGCGCATTCGTCATACTCATCGCCGAGAATTGTTCTGCCGATGACTCTTTTCTGAAGGGAGGATGGGTCCGCTTGCCATCGTCACCGCATGCTTAGGGTGAACTCCGAATCGCCCCTTTGGCGGGATCCTTTTGGCGGGGTTTGTGCGTGGGGAAGACTGGGCAGAACCTACATTCAAATTAACTCTGGGAAAGTTCAGATGGCTTCTGCCACGACATGCAGCTTCATCTTCTTGCTCTCGACCTTTCCCGGCGTCAAGAGACCGAAGATGAATGCCACGTTTGCCAAGTGGACTGACCAGATTCTAAGAAGCTTGGGCGAGAAGGCTGGGAAGTCCGCTGATCCACTGAGTACGAACGCCTGCATTGCAGAACGCGAGTAGGCCTGAAGCCAATTTCTTCCAGCTGCCGCGGGAGAAACAGGATACAGGCTGCAGGCCAAGCACGAGGAAAAAGCCCAAAAACAGATGCACGGCATGGAGGTGGGCCCGTTTGTGCCCAAGCTTCAGACCAGCAACAGCCTCTAGGCAACAGCGTCCTACACGCCCTAAACCCTAAACCCTAAACCCTAAACCCCAAACTCTATAGTCACAGGCTCAATCGTCATGAAGCCATGCCACAACTCCCCAAAAAAGGCTGAGGGCCTGCGAGGCCTCGGGCTGCGAACCCTGTGAAGGCGAGGCCTGGGAGGCCTGGGAGGCGGGATTGCTATGATTAGTATTATTATTATATTCCTATTATTCTTATTATGATTATGATTGCTGTTATGATGAGTATTATTACCATTACTCTAAATTTTTCTTGTTCTTGTTTTTTACATTTTTGTTGATATAGTTATGATTATTGTTACGATTTTCATTATCCTGCAAGGTTCCGATCACATCTCCCATCCCCCATAGCATCCTCCCTCCCATTCACGGACGCGCCTTCTGCTCACCCGATTGGCCTGGCGATCCGACGTTTACACTCTGAACCGGTCTTGCCCTCTTGAAGTGCCAGGCCTGCTGGTGCAAGATTTTCGGGCTTCAACGCCAAGGTCTTCTTCGCACCCTCCGCCTGTGGGCAATGAAAATATCCAGGAAGCTGCTCGAATTAAGGAACCATCCACTTCGGCAGAAGTTGTTGTCAACTTAAATACGCACATGCACAGGTATGCCCAAACCGTCCCTAAACCCTGCGCACCAAATCCTACGCCCAAAGCCCACCGTTCCTTTCGGCGGCCTCCTTCCTACTTCTGTGGCTCACGGGCTCACATAGAAGCGAAATGGAGAGAGTGATCCGGGAATCCAACACGCTCGAAGCGCCGGCCTCCACTTCAACTTCAACCCGGTCAGTGCGGAAGCCAACCACCGCAGCGGTGCAGCCATTGAACTGCACGCGCTCAAGACACAAGCTGCCGGCTCCGACGCTCAGATGCTGATCTAGCAAAGGTCAGTCTTCCAGCGAACGGGGGCAAAAAGGAATTTGCAGGCCTGGGGTGCTCCTTTCAAGTTCGAAACCAGCACCGCCTGTCGCATGTCTCGTGGCTAAACCAGCGCAGTGAAACTGGTCGCGCTTTTGAGTCTTTGAGTCACACGCAAAGACGGTCTGCTACAACTGGAGAGTCACGGAGCGCCTGTCCAATTTGGAAGCCAAACCTGCGCAGCTCAAGCAGTCAGGTCATGATTTCGTTTAGCAGTGACCATGAAAAGGTGCTGGGTCAGCACGCTCAACACGCTGAGGTCCCCGGCTGTTCGCTGCTCTCCTTGAAACTCCTGGCGTCAAAAAGACTGCACCATCCGAAATGCCCCGAGATGCCCATGAGCATCTCAGAGTATCACCCTATTACATCCCTATTACCCTCTGACCTGGGAGGTGGCTCCGGCTGCTTCTGGTGGCGCTTGTTGCATAGACCTCTCACACTTTGCCAGCTTTGCCACTGTTGCTCTGCCAAGACCCGGACAGGATCTTTCAAGGCGGGGCACCCATCTCTGTTTTGGCCATGGTGCTCCAATCCACCCTGGCAGAACAGCACTGCGAATCTACGTCACTGAACATGGCCTGCGCTCGCAGAATTCGAAGCATGCCGGAGGAACGAAACCTCCGTGCCTTTGATTTCAAAGCGTCGCAGGTTTTGCAGAGCCGCCTGGTCAGTGAGTGCTTGTGGGTGTGGATGTGAGTGGGGGACGCTCGCTGGCGATGGAGCTGACAAGCAGCAGCGGCGCGCCTCCGCGCCTTCCTTGAGGGCCATCTCCGCAAGGCACACGCCCTGGGAAAGCTTCCAGGAGTGAGGGCTTGACACATTGCAGAAAGGTGCAAAAGCTGTCGCAGGCAAGGCTTCGCATTTGTTTTTCATGTCAGGTGCTGGGTCGGCTCATGCATACAGCGGCAGCCGCAGCACCCACGCACCCAAACAGGGCACTGGAGCAGGTGGTGGCACCAGCCTACGAAGAACTCAAGTTTCATAGCTCAGGGGGCCTGGGGACAGCGGCGGCTTTGCAAGATTTATTGAACACAACAAGTGCACCGATGGAACTCCTAACCGTGTCTTGGCACAACAGCAAAGGGACGGATGGTCGAGCGACCCGTGGCTGCTCCCAGGTGGTCCAGGTGGTGACGATGACGACGGGGGTGGCCGTTGGTGGTTGGTGGTTTCGGCTTTACTGTAGGGGCTCCGGGAATGTTTTACGGCCACTTAGGCTCCCAGAAGTTGAGTGTTGGCCCGTTGACCATCCGTCGCGCCTTCGCAGCAGCAATGCTCGTGGAAGCACCCAGGGAGGCGGCCACGGCGCCGGCTGCAGCCACCCTTGCTGCGGGCCATCCCGCGGGAGCCTTGGAAAGACGTGGAGGGAGTTGGGGAGTGGCGCGGGGGAGGAGGGGGGGGGAGAGGAGAGAAAGAACAGCACCAGAAAGGATGGGTCCCACCTCGACTCTTGCCTTGAAAGCCCTATGTAGGCCCTTGGGTGAGGTGTGCTTCTTGAGGCGCGAAATTTTTGGGGGGAGCCAAAAAGGCGCCTCGCGCTGTAGGTCCGCCACACTCCGCCGCAGCTCCTCGAGGCTTCCTTGACATGGTCCCCCTAGGGTTTAGAGTTTCGGGTTTAGGGTTTAGGGTTTAGGGTTTAGGGTTTAGGGTTTAGGGTTTAGGGTGTAGGGTGTAGGGTGTAGGGTGTCGGGTGTAGTTTCTATGTTGAGCCCAGGGAAGTCTGGCGACGGGCTTACGGGAATCTTAGAGTTGCGGGTTTTAGGGCTTAGGGGTTTAGGGTTTAGGGAACAGTTCGTTGCCATAGAGGAGCCGTCATTCTCGATGACGAAGTCTGCCAGCTTTCGCTGGGCCTCTGCAGAAAGCTGCGACGCAATCTTCTTCTGGGCCTGCAGGTGCTTCTCAAACGATCATCCGTCTGTGAACTCTTCATGACAGCACCCTTCTGCATCGACACACAAAAAACACACACAAAAAAAAAAGGCGGGGTTAACAAGAGCACTGCAAGTAGCACAGCATAGAGCAATGGCAACACGCGCAGCTTCGACACCTCCTCCTCAGTAAGGGTATTCCGCGCCATAAGCCGTGCGAGCTGTTTCTCCGGGGACCTGAGAGCTCCAGTCTCAAGGGGGGGACTGAACATCCCAACCCTAACTGTTTGGGGGGCGGGGCCTAAAGGCAAGTCGTTCCCGAAATCCGGCATGTTTTGAGTTTAGGTGTTGGCCTTACCAACTTTAAACCCAAAGGCCGGGCCTTTGAGTCTTGAAGGCAGGCCTCCTTCGGTAAAACTCCTGGAATCCCGACCGTCCCGAACCGAGTAAAATTGAAAAGTGGTCTCGATCAGTCCGCCGAAGGGGTGGCCCGGATCTCCTATAATGGGCACTGTTTCTTGTTGGGTTTAGGCTTTAGGGGTTTAGGGGTTTAGGGGTTTAGGGGTTTAGGGGTTTAGGGGTTTAGGGGTTTAGGGTTTAGGGTTTAGGGTTTAGGGTTTAGGGTTTAGGGTTTAGGGTTTAGGGTTTCCTGGGCTGTGGGTTGGAGTGCCTTGGCCTCGGATTCATGGCCAACTTAAATCTTCAGAAAGCCTGGCATCCCTCTTGAAATCAGATGGACCCATTTAACATTCAGATAAACTCATATATGGATCTCTTTTAAGATCATACAAACTCATCCCTCTCAGAATCACATGGATCCCCTTTTAATTCCTTTAAACTCCTCGCTGTTGCTTGAAGAGAGACAAAGACAGCTTCGACTGTTTGGGCGGGGGGGGGGGGCCGCACACTAAAGAGGGCCCAACATTACCCCTTGCGACCAAGCAGCACCAGCACCACCAGGACGGCTGAGAGGCAGAGTCGCCGCAGGAAGGGGAACTTGAGCAGCAGCGGCACGTCGAGGACGATGGTGCGGTGGCCTGGAAGCGATGAGGATCTTTCAGGGAACTGATTGCATGTGGCGCATGTGAGGGCACGTGTTCGTGTGTGTGTGTGTGTGTGTGTGCACATGTGTGCGTGTGAGAGGATCATGTCATGTTCGGTTGCCAAGGCCTGCAGGTTAATCGCTCCCAAAGGTGTGTCGGTACAAATGGCGTTGACTCCATGGGTCAGGAATTCAAAGGGAACTGAAAAGGACGGCAGTGCTTCTAAGCAGCAGGCTGCCGGAAGCGAAAAAGCCTTGACTTGAGCACAACATGCGATAAAAGTCCGAGAGCTCCCAAGCCGCTGCACTCTTGACAGTACGGCTTCCCAAAGACAACGCGTTTGTGGAGATCATGGTCAAGGCTACTCGAGAGCCTACAAGGCCGAGCAGGAAAAGGCCACAACCTCGGGTGGAAATCCGCGGGAAGGGCAGCCACACTGGCACGCACGGATGGCCTCAGGCGCACAAAGAGACCATCCATCAACATGTGCAGGATTTTGCCAGAGTCCATCCGCTGTGGTGTGTGTGGTGCACGTATGCCGCATCAAAAAGTGCTATGAAGATCTTTGAGGGCTTCTGAAGGGTCAGGGCGGACGTTTATTGCATGGCCATGCTCCAAAAGGGGGCCTGGACGGAGGTGCACAGATTTGGATCAATTAAGTGGTATGCTGATGTGACTTCGAGCCCCGATGCTCTTGCAACGAGTTTGGCCCCCTACACTCCTGCCGAATGCAAACTTCCTGAGCGGGGGCTGCTCTGTTGCTACCGGGCCCGTGCCCCCTTAGCTTTGCTGGAGGGGTGCGGCGAAACCTGTTCTGTCGAACAATGTGGGTCACACCTGTCTGGCTTGGTCTCAGCTTGTGTGTACTCATACGAACGCTGGCAAGTCAAAGTCAAGTGTGTGAGGACCGTGTTCTTGCTATACACATATATATATATATATATGTATACACACATATACTCCAGCCTTGTAACATGAACCAGAGGGTCTGCTTGAGGATAGTCACCAGAATTATTCCATGGGTGGCCTGGACAGGTCAAGGGACTCAAGGGTCAGTTGCTTATCCAACTGGCAGAAGTCTGCAGACACCTGGTCGAGCTTCTTCCGCTTCGCCGGGTCTGAGAATACAATTTGACCAAGCTTGTCCCGGTCGATGACACCATCAGGGGTCAGGACCGCCGTCCCAAACTCAGACACGATTCGTTTGTGAATTCTACCTTGGCGCCACGGCTCGTCCATCACATATGAGAACTAGTAACTATACGAACTCAGACCGACCATAGAGACACCTAAATAGGATGACTCCGTTTCTGTAAGGACCCCAATAAGGTACCCCCCAAGTACAGAATACCCCCATACCCTAAACCCTAAACCCTAAACCCTAAACCCTTTCTGACCCAGACAGTTTTCGCATCTGAGGCATGGCACCCGTAGTGTCCGCAAGGAGCTCATGGGCAATCTTGTCTGCATCCACAACGGGCCACCCTGTGCCCAGAGTGTTGGGGTTCAGGGTTCAGGGTTTCAGGGCTTCGGGTTTCGGGTTCAGGGTTCAGGGTTCGGGGTTCAGGGTTCAGGGTTCAGGGCTTCGGGTTTAGCGTTTAAGGTACAAGAAGCAGCTCTGCCCGGCGAGCAGACGGTCCTTGGGTGCGTGCTGTGCCGCTTGCAGAGTCTCACTCAAGGCTTCCTTCTGCAGTATCTAGACACATACAAGCTTCCCCGAAGAAAGGAACATTCACACACGACAGCAAAGCCCGCAGCTCAAGAAAACAGCCACATAGCAGCACCATAGAAATATCTATGTACATCCACAACTATTGCTGCGCGTAGTTATGCACAGGCTATCTGACTCTGGTTTTGTGCAGAACTGCTACTGCAGTCGCATTGACGATACAGGTATGTTTACGGCATGGCTAGTGGTTGGTTTGCTTCTCTTTGCCGCACTACAACTTCAAGTAAGTGTGTAAGTGTATAAGTTCGGCCTCCTTGTGCCAGCTGCGCGCTGACTGTGGACTTCCCGCAGGCGATTGGCCCCGTGAGCCCCACGAGTCGGACCATCGCAAGTTGAACGCTAACTGTTGAATTTCATCTTGTGATAACTGTGAGATACTCTGATGTCCTATGTCCCATGAACTGCCAAAACACACTGCAGGTGAGTTTTTGGAGGGGCGGCGCTCATATGGCTGAAAGATTGCTGCCAGCTACATCCGAGTTCAGTTCGTAAAGCAGCTGCGGCTCTGGTTTGTCGACTGCATACGCCTGCTGACCCCAGGCCCTGGGCAGAACGTAATCCCCTTGCTCCTCGACCCTAGTTACCCCTGCGAGTTTAAGGTCCGGGCTGGCGGGTCGGTCATCTTCACATGCCGCACCCTTCCGTGCCTAGGCCGAGGCATCTACGCAAGTGCAGAGGCAGCAGAAGTAAAAGTAACAGTCGTTGTAACAGGAAAGTTAGTAGTAACAGTGAACTTTAACAATAATGACAATAGTAAAGATCGTGACATGATAATTGTAAAAAGGGTTACAGACCAGTAACAATAGTAACAAAAGCAAGAGCAGTAATACTAGTAATAAGAATAGAAACAATCATAACCGTACTAACAGTGAGGATAGCAATAATAAGAGTAGAAATTAAAAATAGTAGTAACAATCGCAAGAATAGCAGCGATAGTAATAATCGCAAGATACTGTTAATCGTAATAACAACAGCCATCTTATCAGGCGAAAGCTGAGACTTCTGCTTTGTCAAGGCTTGAGAGACATCCGTCTCCTTTATGCCTGCGCAACAAGGAAATGCGTTGCTGAAACCTACAGACATGGGCGACCTCAGATGATTTTACACCTGCATACGACATCTTATGAGCTTGCGCTGCTTGATTGCGAAGGTAGAGCAGGTGCATCCCAAACAAGCCAGAAACTCACTTCTACCAACCGTCCAGGCCTAGCGCAATGGGTGCGATCACGAGCTCCCAACCTGAGAATGCCGAAGTTCGGTTTGACGCATCGGCTCTTGGATAAGCAACGCTTCCGAAGAACGGCGTTCTGAGGAGATGGCCACAGGAAGGCTTTGGCTGAAGATTGGTTTCGAGCAGAGAAAGCCTCTGGCAACATGGAATGCCAAAACTACGTTTTCAATAACAAGAACTGAAGCTCACTCCGCCCTGTCGTGCTGAAGACATCTGCAAGGTTCGAAACGAATGTTCGCAACTCGGTGATGAGGAGCTTTGCTCATCTTGCAAATGTCAACCATACGGTTGCAATAGCCAAATATTGGGGGCAAAGGAGTGTGACGATACTTCTCTGCCTTGCTGTTGTGAGGGTGCAATTTCGAAGCTACAGCGTGCCGGTCAGCGAGCAAGGCATCACTCGTGCCGTCACACGACCTTTCCTCCCTTCCTTGCTAATGCCAACTGCACCCGCACAGAAACGCTGTGCCGTTCGGGTGCCACCTCTACAAGCCCGCGACGTGCTGGGTCGGGCAAGACTGCACGCTGAGCCATCTAGCACAGCTTGTCCATGTGCTGGAGCTCGAGGACAGCATCCCTCAGAGTCTCGTACTCCTGATTACTATTCTTATTAGTAGCAGTAGCAGTAGCAGTAGCAGTAGCAGTAGCAGTAGCAGTAGCAGAGCAGTAGCAGTAGCAGTAGCAGTAGCAGTAGCAGTAGCAGTAGCAGTAGCAGTAGCAGTAGCAGTAGCAGTAGCAGTAGCAGTAGCAGTAGCAGTAGCAGTAGCAGTAGTAGTAGTAGTAGTAGTAGTAGTAGTTAGTAGTAGTAGTAGTAGTAGTAGTAGTAGTAGTAGTAGTAGAGTAGTAGTAGTAGCAGTAGTAGAGTAGTAGTAGTAGTAGTAGTAGTAGTAGTAGTAGTAGTAGTAGTAGTAGTAGTAGTAGTAGTAGTAGTAGTAGTAGTAGTAGTAGTAGTAGTAGTAGTAGGTGACACGCTCTTAACTGATCATGGTGTTTTCTGCTGTTTTTTCACTTTTTCTATCGTTTTCTCCTGTTTTTTCTCCGTTTGACGGGTTGGGGGGGGGGGGGTGGGGGGGGGGGGGGGGGGGGGGGCGGGGGGTGGGGGGGGGGGTAAGTACGTGCTGTGCTTTGTGCACACATGACCACGCTCAGGGGTTGGGGGGGGGGTGGGGGGGTAATTACGTGCTGTGCTTTGTGTACAGGGTTTCACGCATTCAGGGTTGCGGGCACAGGCTCGAACATAACTTTCGGGTTCAACGTTGAGAAGAAAACGGAAGCCCACCACACTAGAACATACCGCCGCAGCGAGCAGGGCGTCAGAGATGTCGCCAGGCATGGATGCTCTGGTTACGCACATGGCAAAACAAAAGCGAGCAGTAACACGAGAGCTCGAAAGCTCTCGTGTCCTAGTCTGACAACGAAACCCCATCAGGTGACACGACTTCTAGCGCCGCGGGGTGTTGCAGCAGTTCTCCATGCGCCGTTTGAGGAGTTCTGCACCAGGAATGCGTGAAGGGTCTGCAAAAGATTGGCGGCTTGAAGCAGTTGGAAGCGAAGACGCTTCCTGTCGCCTGTCGTCACCATCCAGCAAATCAGAACCGCGTTCCTGAGGACGCGAACTGTCTCGTCCGCGAAAGCCGCAGCAGGCTCCGGCCCGGAGACATTGTTCACCACGTGGGCGAAGAGAAGTCTTGCCGTGCGAAGAGCGTCACTTAGTGGAAGCAGAGCCAGTGATCGAGAAGACATGGCTAAGAGCAACAACGGTAGGTCAGTGGCAAGGTTCCAGAGCTTGCACAGCTTCAGATCTTTTGGGTTTTTTTTGGGATTTGGGGTTTCGGGTTTCAGGGCAAGACCTTTTGGGCTCACAGTGGGGGCTTGGGGCTCGAGGGTAGCGATCTTTTGGGGTTTTTGGGGATTTAGGGTTTAGGGTTTAAGGGCAAGACCTTTTGGGCTCACAGTGGAGGGTTTCGGGTTTGGGGCTTCAGGGTAGAGATCTTTTGGGGTTTTTTTGGGAGCCTTTTGAGCTTCGACTGGAGATATGGCTTCAGGCTCCAGATCTTTTGTGTTTTTTTCTTTGGGATTTGGGGTTTAGGGTTCAAGGGCAAGACCTGATTTGGGGTTGAGATTTAAGGGTGCACGACTCTTGGGCTTGCTTCAGGTTTTGGGGTTTCGGATTTCAGGGTGCACGACTGTTCGGCTTGCTGGACGGGTTCGGATTTAAGGACAAGTTGGGCAACATCTTAAAAAAACCGCGAAACGCTGTAAATACCGGTGTTTTCCTCTGTTCTAAGAACGCGTCTGCGCGAAGTAGGGCCTGGAATTTACCGTTTTTGAAGCCCGAAAACACTGTAAATACCGATGTTTTCCTCCTGCGCCTAAAGTAGTTGAAAGTAGTTTCCGGAAATTTTTACACGTCGATTTTTCTTGTCCGTAAACGGACAAAGCCAGGAAACACTGTAAATACCGAGGTTTTCGTCTCTTAACACGAAAATGGCATGCCACAAAACCCCTGCGATCAATTAAGAACGTGACGCCTAGTAGTAGTAGTAGTAGTAGTAGTAGTAGTAGTAGTAGTAGTAGTAGTAGTAGTAGTAGTAGTAGTAGTAGTAGTAGTAGTAGTAGTAGTAGTAGTAGTAGTAGTAGTAGTAGTAGTAGTAGTAGTAGTAGTAGTAGTAGTAGTAGTAGTAGTAGTAGTAGTCTTAGTAGTAGTAGTAGTAGTAGTAGTAGTAGTAGTAGTAGTAGTAGTAGTAGTAGTAGTAGTAGTAGTAGTAGTAGTAGTAGTAGTAGTATTTTGGCCAGCCCCCGCTAAGACTGGTTGCCCTGACATGGCCGGGGAATGTCTTCTAGTGCCTTGGGAACTGTCCTCGATGTGGTTGTAGATGTGCGCAGATATGCCTAGGCGCAGAAGCTGCTTCATTGTTCACACACCTTTCGTGATGCAGTACACCCGCCCACCGTACCCAGCTCCTGTCCCCTTGATCACATTAACAACACGCCGGATCTGCAGAATCCATGTGCTGAGTGCTTCGAAGAAACGAACATACAGATTCTCCGATAAAACCTTGATGGGAACTTCAATCTTCCGCTGGAACAAGGCATTCTGCACAGCTTCGGCATCATCGTACGTGTACCTCAGGACGTACGAACACAGCATGCATAGGCCCTCGGCGATTGCAAAGACAACTGCCTGCGAGTACCTCCAGATCCAGGCCTGCGGCTACCCAGGGCCTTCAACGGCGGCAGTGCCACAAGGGCCATGGGCCCTAACAGGTCTTCCTGCAACGTGGCGAACAATAATGGCCGGGTATGCCTAACGTGGAGTACAGCAGGCGCGGGCAGAAGCGGGCAGAAGAGAACAGTCCGGGATGCCCAGAGAAGTGCCCCAGGCATCGGACAGCATCGTCGCCTGACTCCAGTCTTGCGTTCCGAACGTTCGGTAAGCTGTGACACCTCAAAACATGTCGAGACACCGCGTCCATGACCAAGTAATTTCCGTAAATTCTCGCAGGCTCCAGCCCAACCTCGGCTCCGACCCTTTGGTTTCTCCATGCTTCTTAATGGCCAGTGGACAGATGGCATGGCCGCGAACGAAGAGCCTGCTTGAAAAAAAGCATTGCAAACAGGAGCCGAGATCTCTAAGGAATGCAAGCAAGTTTCCAGATCCCAGAAGGCCAGGACTTCATCCAGAGCCAGCCATGAGGAGAAATCTGCCAGACCAGGCCAATAGAATCCGCTGGGGAAGTCTGACCTGATCCATTAAGCGCCAAGGGCCTACGGGCCTACGAGTGCACTCACAGACGAGAAAGCTCCTGCATTCGGTCGCAGACAGGCCGCCCATATCCATGCGATATGACCAAGGGGTCCACCCAATGCTTGTGTTCCGGGGCCACGTAGAGCACCGCAGTGCCCTTGGGTCCGCAAAACCACTTGTGACCTCGATGACCGGTGCAAACACACAGCAGCACGCCCCACCGGCTGGCCATTATTGCTGAAAAAGCAACATGGCAATTATAACGAATATCACTTTTCTCGCCATTATCACTACAAGTACTACTATTTCTGCTGTTGCTGCTAGTACTTGCATTTGTCTTCTTATTGCTCTTATTGCTCTTCTCATTGCCACTCAAATAAACGTATTTCTACTACTGCTCTTTATTGCTCTTATTTATCATCAGAAGGAGTCTGAGAACACTCAAATCCCCGAGCACCGCACAGTTGGTCACCAGGGCATCCACTGGTACTGCGGAGGGGCCCGTCAGCTTCAGGGGTAGGCCTTGGGTATCAAGGAAATACATCGTATTTGTTATATCTAGAATATGATTATAAGCAAGCTACTTATTGTGGTGTATATGATATGTAATGCTGGTCTTGGATTATGATATTCCACTCTGCTGCCCCTGCTTCCTTCAAGTGCATCTCGGGCACTGAAAAGTCCATGCGCGGCATCTACCATGACAAAGGCCTCATCTGCAGAACCAAAGCGTCTCTGGCGTCCTGGTCTCCCTGCTTGACTCAAAGCCAACGGCTGGCCTGCGGGGCCTTGGCGCGGCAGAGCGCTACTGCCTCGCGGAGCGGAAGCACCTTCCAAAGGCAAGGCACAAGACAAGTCCGGCTGAAACTAGACGGAAGATGCGGAAACACTTTTTGTGCTCGAGGCACGAAGGGAGCGTTGGAGGGGATCGCATCGAGAACCACAAGGGATGTAGTGGGCTGGAGGCAACCCTCCAGTGAAGCGAGCATCTTTTCCTGCGGCGCTCTTCGTGGAAGTCGACAAACAAACAACCGAATCATCTCGGGATCAACAGGCGGTTATCTTAAATATAAACCGAACAGAAACACAAGTACAAATGCACATGCAAACGCATAAGACGTAGAGGTAGACGTCCATGTAGAGGTAGACGTAAACGTAGACGTGGACGTAAAGACAGAGATACTGCCTGGAAATACCCACAGCCATAGCCATGGCCACAGCCACGGCAATCGAAAAAGACATCGATCTAGACATAAAGATAGACATTAACGTAGACACAGACATAGACATCATAGACATAGACATAGACATAGACAGAGACAGAGACATAGACATAGACAGAGACAGAGACTGAGACATAGACGTAGACGTAGACGTAGACGTAGACACACGTGATAGGAACATTTGCAGATTATGTGTCCTCCTCCCCTTCTATTAGACCATGTTTAATTTAGTCGCAGCATGGGTTAGGCATAACCTGGGGCAGTTGTGTCTCTTCTTTTCAAGAAGAGCCAGTAAGCTTTTGCCACAGTATGTCTGAACTCACCTTCCAAACTCTATTGTACCGCCTTGGGACACCCGATCAGGGTTTAGAATTCACACATTTGCACGCGGGCGCTACGCCTCTGCGGGCCCATGTGCCGGCTTGGCCCCCTGGGTTGCGCTTGCATGTCCATGCGAATGTGGGCCCAAGGGTTATGGGACGTCAACGCCTGAATATGCAAAGTATGGTTGGCCAGCTGGTCCTCAAACTTCCCGTCGCACAGCTTGTTGTCAGGCGTTTGGTCTCGAAAAAAGTGTTTTAACCAAGGTGTTTCGCGATTGAAGCTGAAGGATTCCGCGTGCCCAAAACAAGCCCTCCGTTTTTGTGGACTGCTGTTAAACGTGGAGTTTGGGTACCATGTTCGACGCATTTCTGTTTCGAGACACCACTTCGCGCTTCAAGCCACGAGTTTCATGGTATTTACAGCTGGCCTTGAGGGGCAACATGTTGTGGCAGGATGCGTAGCTTTATCGTCTTCGGGCACTTCCAATAACAGCTTGGGCTTTCCGTGTTGGTCGAGGTTCGAGGCTCTGCCGACGCCAGACTCCAAGAGCCACAAAGCCCTCCCACTCTACACCCTGAACGCAAACCTGCCTCAGAGGCAACACCCAACAGCAGAAAGCCCTCGGACCTGAACCCTAAACGCAAACCTCAGGAGGGATTGGTGAGTGCAGGAGAACTACAGCTACGACTCGTTGACGTCCTGGATGTCTGGATATGATCAGGCCTTTGCATAGCTTTTGTTTACGCGTTCCGGGCGCTTGTGTTGAGTTCGCAAGTCCGACAGCCTGTGAGCAAGTGCTCTACAAGACTGCTTATGAGAATCCACCATACATAGTTCAGCTCTCCTCAGATACCTGAGGGAGCTTTTTGATAACAGCAAAAGAAGCTGTCTTCGAGGTCTTACCCACAAACCCACACATGGCGCGTCTGCGGCCTGCGATCCGAAGAGACAGAACACCTCATGCCGGCTAAAGGACAGGCAGCCGTTGCTGCGGTGGATAGGAGGCTGAAAGGTAGGATTTGGGGTTGAGGGCTTAGGGTTCCAGACAGTTTAGGGCTTGGGTTTGGGGTTTAGGGTTGGGGGGGATCTGGACACGGGACAGAGAACCATCACAGAACTCCGTGTCCTCTGCATCTGCACCCAAGGGAAACTCGATGACGGCTTCATCAACCTTCAGACATTGTGGTCTTCATAGTTGAGAGGACCTAGTGAAGGATGCTGAGGGCTTTTTTCTGCAGCACCAGGAGCATCACCCAAGTTTCCTCTCCCGAGTGCCCCCCAGGCCTGGAAGCCAGACTCCTCGGCCATCCTTCTCAGGAGCTTCTTGGTAGAGCCATAGGCCACCGACAAGATTGCGGCACCTGAGCTTTCGCACTGCTCGTCCCGAGGCTTTCGGATCTCCTGCTCTGTAGCATCGGGGGCCTCTTGACATTGGTTTCGACATGTGAGTGCAGGCGGTATCAGCGCACAACGACTCTTTGACACAGCTGCACCGACCCTAACCTCCTTGGGCCCCCTAAAGTCTCAACCCGTTAAACCTTAACAGCCGAAAGTTAGCAGAACATACCCTTCTGTGTTCCGTCGGGACCACGGCGTGGCCGAGCGGCGCTGCGAGGAATCCGGCTTCACGTGGCGCTGCCAGGACCGCAGCACCGTGTTGGCGCCCACCGTAACGCTAGGAACCTTGGACTTCTGGGGTCCCTGAAAGGATATGTGAGCACTTGGTGAATGCATCATCTTGCATTGTACATACTACATATTCCCCACCTTCTCATCCCTCAGCGCCAGGACGAATGGTCGCAGCTCTCTACACAGGTCCTTCAAGCCCCTGGAAGCTTCAGCCGCACCCCTGCAGATCAGAAAGAATCCCGTGCCAAAGTGCTGGCAGAAGGTCTTCTGCTGGCACCGAGAGCACCTGTAGACAAAGTGGCACACCATGACACACCAGAGTCACGTGCGCCCCTGAGCCCTCCAAACTTACCCGAAGGTGTCCCCGGAGGACCTGGCTGAGGCCGCGAGTTACGCTGACCAGCCAAGGGAAGAGCTCTCCTGAGTCCCCCCACCCGCAAGCCAATCGGTTAAGCTTCCGCACACTCACGGCTGGGAAACATGCACCATCCAGAACGTCAACAACTTGAACCGGAACCTACAATCCTTGCCTTGGAAATGAAGAGCCATTCTGGAGGTTTGGAGAACCAACACCTTCCTAACAAAAGGTTCGCCTAGTTTTTTGACTCGGGGACGCCGCAGTTTCTGATCATGTTCTGCGTAGTGTGCAGTGTGCCGCTTCCCTCTCCCGACCGCTTCACCACCTGACCTACGAATCACATGGCCATGGCTCGGTCCAGAAATCGGACGGGCTGCATCTCGATGTATTCGGCCCACTGTCGCTTGCTTTCAAGACAGCTCTTCAGGGTGCCGCCAAAGGCACCATGGTTCAGAAATGTAAAGCCATCCTCTCAGACTCAAGGGTGTCTCTTGTCTTCCTTCCACTCCGGTGTTAACTTCGAGGCACAGTGGAGATGTGAAAGGCTCCTCGAGCAAGAAGTGCTTGCGCGCTTCTGCACCGAAATGGCCACTGGGACCTGCAAAGGCACGTCCACAAGATGCCAAAGACCATGTAGAGATCACCCTAAGGTGGGAGAAACAAGAGATAACCCTAATCCCTAAACCCTAAACCCCAAACCCTAAACCCAAAACCCTGCACCCTAAACCCTAAACCCTAAACCCTAAACCCTGAACTTACCCTAAAAGGAAAAGAGTGAAAAGCGGCCAAGCAGAAAGCCGGGGAGAGCGCGCGCCTCAGGACCGGCCGCTCGGTGCCAGGCCCAGACTGCCAGGATCTGCGGAGGGAAGCGGGAAGGGCCTCGCACAGTGCAGAGAGAAGGATGTAAAAATGAGTAAGAACAAAATACTCATAATGACAACAATAATAATCATCAGAAATAATACTGATAAGAAGAAGAAGAAGAAGAAAGAAAAAATAATAATAGCAATAGTAATCATGCCCCAAAGCCCCAAAGAGCATCAAGGAGACTCTTCAGAGGAGTCCTTGGCGGAAGCTGGAACTGGCCTCGAGGTTGCCTGGCATCAACTGCAGATTCACAGGCATTATTATTATTATTATTATTATTATTATTATTATTATTATTATTATTATTATTATTATTATTATTATTATTATTATTTATCTTTATTATTCTTATTATTATTATTGTTAATCTATTATTATTGCTATTTTTCACGACAGCGGAGCCTCAGCAAGTCCAGGACATTGGAGCAGTGGAAGGAGCCGAACACCCGCCGCGTTGTCATGCTCAGATCTCTATCGCTAGCCGTGGGCTTGCGTTGCACTCTTGGGTCTTCTTTAACAGCTTGTCGCAGTGCGTAAGCCATACAGTAGAAGATCCTAAGCCCAAGACTTCCAGCTCTTACAGTACGTACACGATACATGCAAAACCCTGACAATGGATGCCTGCTAGTCACTTGCCTAGTGCGAGAACAAAGTCGAATCCTCGAGTAGTGGCAAATCCTCCGGAGCATGCCTTCCTTAAGGCAGTGATCCACTGCAGCCTCTGCTCGACACATGGCCACATCACCAAGGTGCAGACGTTTTGGTTTCACACTGGTAGTCCACCTGTCCAGAACGCACCCAAGTCGACATGAGGACAACCTGGTTGTCGGAGGTTTGTTTCGAGGGTACGCACGCGTAGCCTGCACTTCCCAGCGTCCTTTGTCGTTCGGCCCTTCGATGACAATGCCCTCACAGCCTGGACTAGGGGCTCAGAGTCGCCAACTTAACACGGAAACCGCCAGGGTGTAGGGCTGCTGCCGTTGTACTGAGAGGCACCTTTGAGGCCGTGAACGTCAGCCTCCAGGGACGTCAACACTGGCCTAAACTGATCCTAGCACTCCAAAAAGGATGCCATCTGGACATTTTTCAAATTCGTCGTACCCCGATTTAACACCCCAGAAAGCCATAGTCCTGATAATAGGAACCTCTCTGGACATCGAGGAAAGATGTAGGGAGTTACATGGGGACAACCACCAGGGGTTAGGGTTTAGGGGAACCTTGTATATGTTACGGCTCCCTGCTGGAGGTTCCGATTATAAGAGGGGGATCTTCTTGTTTAGGGCGTCGCAAACCCTAAACTTCCTAAACCCTCCTAAGCCCTAAACCCTAAATCCTAAACCCTAAATCCCCCCAAACATACCCTTGAAGGGAGGCAGAGGGCAGTGGATCCTTAGTCCCCTTTTTGACCCCAGCCTTGCGCCCGGGCGCCACAGCAAGGCCTCTCTGCGGAGCAGCCTCGCGTGCTGCTTGGGTTAGGGTTTAGGGTTTAGGGTTTAGGGTTTAGGGTTTAGGGTTTAGGGTTTAGGGTTTAGGGTTTAGGGTTTAGGGTTTAGGGTTTAGGGTTTAGGGTTTAGGGTTTAGGGTTTAGGGTTTAGGGTTGAGGGGGTTTATGGAGGGGGGACTCTCCCCAATGCCCTCTGGTGCGCACACACAGCTACACACAGAAACGCACGAAGACACAGTCGGGTTGCGTGTCAGAGTCAGATGATAAGTTCAACCCTAAACCCTAAACCCTAAAACCCTCTTCTGCGTGTTCGTGTTCATGGCGTGCTGCCTCGGTGGGGACCTTGCCCTGCTGGCGCGGCTTCGTGACGCAGTCGAAGCCCGCAGCCTTGCCTGAGATTCTGCAAAGGAGCCGCTGGAGAAGGACACTTCAGATCTGGGCTACGAAAGCTAGAAACGCGGGGGAGGGGGGGCCAAAAGGGGGGGGAGGGGGCCCCCCCTCCCCAGAAATCAATTAAGGCGACCCTGAAAGGGGGGGGGGGGGGGGGGCCACCTTAGGATTGATTCTGTCAATCCTTATTATAAGGGGGGGAGGGGGCCCCCCCCCCCCCCCCCGCAGCCGTTTATCTCTTTGATTTTCATACCACTTAAGGGTCGGGGTCGCTTGTTGACCCAGCTGAACACTAGAGAAGACTTGTAAACGACAACTCTCGCAAGCTCCAAGGAGCTAGCTTTCGTGAAAAAAAGAATGGAGGAGCGCACAGAAATAAAGATAAAAAGAAAAGATATGGAGGGTTCCGCACGCAACCCTGTGCATTTTTCGCATCTTAACATTCACGCCTTCATGCTTACGGCAGAGCACTGCCGAGCCCGATAGTGCAACCTCTTGTAGCCCCCCCTACTGGCCCGCTGGCCCACTGCCAGCTGTTGTTTCTGCTTAAAACCCTATACCCTAAACCCTAAACCCTAAACCACCCATCACAGATGTATGGCCACGGGACGCATGCGCTTCTTCTCCTGCTGCGAGGCCCCCGAAGAGGACCCTGAGCTGGAGCGCCGGCGGCTACGGCTCCTCCGGGGAGGGTTTAGAGTTTAGGGTTTAGGGTTTAGGGTTTACGAAATTTAAAATAGGGGATCCCCAATCAGAGATCCCCAAATAGTAGGGTCCCCTTCTAAAACAGGACCCCAGTAAGGTACCCCTAGTATCGCAAACCCCCGAGTGGATTTGCCAATGCTCGATTGGCTTGCTTGAAGCGTGATAAGGCAAGATGTTGTCGGGCATCATTGTCTGGAGTGTCGTGCATCCGTGCCAAGAGCCTGCTAGTTCTGCTGCTTATCCCGGCACACATGGCTTGCAACATTAAACACATTGCAGCCGGCCTTCTTAAACCCGTGTTTGCTTTGGAGCCGCGGTTGCGTGGCATAGTGGCATTGTGGCTCAGATGGAGGGTCTGCACATGGATGTCAAACTTTAGTAACTTTTCTTATTTCAGGGATCGAATCGAACTGGTCCGCATCTCCCCTCGCCACAGGCATCACTGGACTCTCCTCGACTGCGCCAGCTCCCGGCTGCCCTGGCCACCTCCGCCACCTCCGCCACCTCCGCCGCCCCGACCGCGGCCTGCAAGTCCACATGATTCGCCCAGGGAGTGCAGACTTGACAACTTGAATGATCATCAATACACTATGGCTCACTGTGCTTCCTTCCTGACGTCGAATTTTCAGAGACACTGAACCCAAATCTCTACCCGCGTACGGTTCTGCAGCAGCCTCCCTTGCCGCCGCCTTTTGCGGGCCGCGGGTCGCCACGGCCTTCGTGCTTCTCCGATGCGAGCCAGTTGCCATCAGCCACTACGGCTCGTTTCCTGCCTTCATGGCCACCTCTTCTATGGTCTGATTCTCTCCTGCATCGGGATCGTGCATGGGGATACAGGGCGGTCTACGTTCTGAGCAATAGGGAGGGGGTGGAAGCGCGTTTTGGGTCCGCCCGATCGTGGACGGGGGTGTGCGTTTCAGGTGCGCCGTGCGTGGCCGCGGAGGTGCATTTCAGGCTCTGCTGGAATGCGTTTCGTACAGGCCAAGGTGCGTTTCAGGTCCGGCACAACCATGACATGAATGCCACAAGTCCGAAGCCCCTCAAGCCACACGCTACAAGCCATGTAAGGCCAACCCTAAACCCTAAACCCTAAACCCTGAACCCTGAACCCTAAACCCTAAACCCTAAACCCTAAACCCTAAACCCTAAACCCTAAACCCTAAACCCTAAACCCTAAACCCTAAACCCTAAACCCTAAACCCTAAACCCTAAACCCTACACCTAAACCCTAAACCCTAAACCCTAAACCCTAAACCCTAAACCCTAAACCCTAAACCCTAAACCCTAAACCCTAAACCCTAAACCCTAAACCCTAAACCCTAAACCCTAAACCCTAAACCCTAAACCCTAAACCCGAACCCTAAACCCTAAACCCTAAATTCCCACCCAGGCCTGCTTAGGCCGTACCCACCCTTTTCTAGGGTGCTTGGACCCAGCACTACACCCGACAGCGATTAACACCATCGCTTGGACTTACTATGCAAGCCTCTAGAGTTGTGTTGAGCGTGAGCTGCACCTCCAGTGCCGGTGTAGTACCCCGTCTGGGGTAATGTATTATTGAGAAACCCTTGGCCTGGCGACCTGTTGCAGAAATACCGAAAGTGGCTTCTGCAGGTCGCCCCTGGGCCCCCCCTCCAGTGTCCCGGGACCAGAGGGGCCGCAAGGCAGGTCAGCCTGGGCGATTGCTCAAAATTTTCCCTGGCCCCTGCTGGCCCCTTGTTTTGACCCTGCTTTTTCTGGCCTCCTTGCCTGACCCCCCCCCCTGACCCGGCCCAACCCCGACCCCCTCTCACCCCTTTCCGACCCCCTCTCACCCCTTTCCTCCAATTCCTCACCGCTCAAAGGACGGGGTGGGATGTGGGAATTGAGGGCGGAAGCCCGAAACCCCAAAAGGGAAAAGTTGGGTGGATGCCTGCGTAAGCAGGGGGTGGGAAAAATAAAACAACCCAACCTTTCTGGTTGTGGTGGCTCCAACTTCAAAAAATGCCGCTGCGACATATGCCGCCCCCTCACACCCCCTGGGTGTGTTGGGGCGCCATCTCCGCATGACATCTACTGTCGCGGCGTGGCGAGAAGCCCTAAACCCTAAACCCTAAACCGTAAACCCTAAACCCTAAACCCTAAACCCGAAACCCTAAACCCGAAACCCTAAACCCTAAAACCTAAACCCTAAACCCTAAACCCTAAGCACTGCGCCTGAAATGCACCATGTGTGCGTCTGAAATGCCCCGGGCATTGTTCTGAATTGTCTCCCATCGGGATCCCGAACACCGGGCCTGAAATTCGGACCTGAAATGAACCTACCTGCGTCAGAAACGTGCAACGCTCATAGGGAGGGATGAACCGCAAGCCCTGAACACAAGGCCTCAGATAAGGAGCAGTTGAAACGAGAGCGCAGGGATGCGCAGGGGGCACAGAACACTAAAGCTTCCTGAACGCAGCGCGGTGGACGAAGGGGAAGCCTCGAAGGCTGATAGGACTTGAAGCAGTGGGGAGGAAATCGCATGGGAGGAAGAGAACATAAACTGGGCCCAGACCCTGAACTCAAGAATGCCCTTGAAAGGCGCCAAACCCTAAACATACTGAACGAGCAGATGGATACTAACAAGGGCACCCGTTTTGGGGTGGTGACTTTATAAGGGAACCCGTAACCCAAAAAGCGGGTAAAGGGTACCACCAAGAGAATGGATGGATGGAGAGCGGCCGAATTGTGACGGCCACCGGTCAGGCGAGAGAACGCTGAACCTACGGAAGAGTCCAGGCCAATCAAGATGAAAGCTTACTGCCCAAGTTCCTTCAGTAGCCTGGAAAATCGCCAAAGAACCAGCTCTCCCCACGTCTAGATTCACAAGACAGTCCTGTCATCATCCCGAGCAGTAGCGTATCCAGCTCGATCGGTACCTTCAGAAAAAGCAAAACAAATCAAGGCACAGTCAAGACCAGCCAAGATGACTCCAACATCCAGCTGATACCTGAGAGCAGCACTATAGTCCTCGGGATGATAGGGATCATCTCTGTCGCGGCGTTCTCTGTCTCGCCGATCTCTGTCCCGCTCGCCCCGCTCCGGCCGGTCACCTCGCTCGCCTCCCCGGCGATCGCGACCGTCCCAGTCGCCCTGGTGATCCCGACGATCGCCCGCGTGGCCTTCAAACCAATCGCCGAGGTTGCCCTTGCTTCCTTGGCCAATTACAAGCCGTGGGCAAAGTACAGCTCACATCCCCATGGATAGGTTTGCAGGCGTGCAAGACAACAACCCTGCAGGATCCGAGGCTCCATGGTCCCTCGGCCGGCCTTCTCTGTGGCCTTCATTGAAGCCACTGCCATACTCTACGTTGCGCTCACCGTAGGTGCTCTGCTGGCGATAATCGTACTGGCTGTAACCTGTCCAAGGCAAAGTTCTGCAGAGTCTACAGCCAATGGGCCAACGATGCACTGAAAAGCTCGGATACCAGGCCTGGGCCGGCATAGTAGCCTGGCTGGCTCCCATGGAACTCCGGCCGCCCATAGGGGTCATGCCCTGAGATCTTCTTAGGTCAGGATATGTCAGAGTACAGCCATGCATCAGACTGAGTGCAAGCACATGCAGGCAAGACTCCATAAGCATGTCCTTGTGGGGCATAGTGTGGCGGCGGCGGAGGCGGCGCTCCATACGGAGGAGGCTGCATAACAAGCAATCTACAACACAACGTCTTGCCGTAGTTGCCGAGTTTGCCCCGCGAGCGAAATACAGCGCAGGTGTGCATCCGTGGCAGGTATTGCAGAACAGCCTCCCTGGTTCTATTCTAGCACGAAACGACCCGCTCGAAGTCAAAATGCTAATGAGATTGAAACAATCTACGCATCCTGTCTTCTCAGTCCAACTCCATGCAGGCATTGACTGATAGGGAGAACAGTCACAAAAGTCAAGAGGTTGATTGGTCTTGAGTTGGCCCACGTGTCCACTATGCAAGCAGCTTCTTTGAGCCGTCCGCAATGCGGTGCACCTGCTCCCCTTGCCTTCTTCTTCCAATCCCGATGCTTAACATCAAATCCCCCGCAACCCCCTCCTGCCGAGCTGTTTCATGACCAGCCTTGGGCCTTGCGGGCAATAAACTATCTGTGAAAGCTTGACAACGTGACGGTGAGACAGGAATAGACAGGATTCCCTAACCCCCACTGATGGGTGGAATCATCGCAATCTCGTCTCCTTCGCGGACAGCCTCAGCTGAGGCCCCAACTCTCAATTGTCCTTTGACTTGTCATGTGACGAATGTTCCATTCTGAGCTCTTCAGGTGAGGTCTGGCCACCCTGGGGAAGGTGACATAGCAACATGTGGATCGTGTGCTGAGACTTGTGGAGCCCAGGCTAATGTCAGTGTCAATCAGGCTGAAACATTCTTGACAGCTCAGCCTAGTAGTTGTTCTTGTTACCATCCTCTTGGTGACAGAACGCACGAAGGAGGTGCGTGTGCACGAAAAGCCGCACGGAACCAAGACTTTGCCCCCTTGCACAGATTTCACAACACGGCAGCATTAAGGTCCAAGCCCTGTCAGACTCATTGGGCACCATCTCCTGCAGAGTGCCACGTCAAAGCTTCGGAACAGCGGCGAGAGCCGCGCCATCGAGGTCGATTGCAACGTTTTGAAAACATATTTGCTTTGGGCCACGTAACATGATCGCCCCAAGCAGCCACATGTACACAAGGAGCATGGCCTGATTCAAAGTGAACTTGCTCATCGCGAGCATCTCTTTCAGCGAAGGATGCTTTGCCAGCAGCGCCTGGAGTTAAGCAAGCCGCTCACATTTCCTGCAGCATGACGAGGCTAGGCAGCAGAGATGTTGCTGACCCAACATGCACCCGCAGAAACCGCGGAAGGTCAGGGAAATCACTATCTACTTTGACAACCTTCTTTCACATGTTCTGCACAGCGCCCTTGGGCCCGACGTGGCCTCCCGAATATGGCAAACTTTGGCACTCTCGACGCCTTCCGGCAACTGAACCTTCAGAGAAAACGTCTGACAGAGTCTGAGTGGGAGTCATGAGAGGCTGTTGTTCAAGAGTGTTCAGGTCTCGGAGGAGTGCTCATCAACATCACCGTGCGATGTGCATGACTGGTAGCTCAAAGATCTTAGCCTCTCAGGGCAACCCCGCCCCATCACGAGCGAATCTGCCGATGTAAGCATGAAGACCCCCGCCTCGACTTGCGTCTCCGACACCCCGAGCTCCTTTGACCCATGTGCGCAGGGTGGCTCTGTGGCTGCTGAGACTGCTCTCTGTGGCCCCTGTGCGCCTCGCGCGCTGGCCCAAAGAGCAGCACACGGAAGCCCATGGCGAACGAAATCAGTGTGTACAGCGGAAAGATAGATTGAGGCTGCGCACGGGCCTCTCATAAGCATGCGAGAAGTGGCGTCTGACATTGTACAGTGAGTGCGGACAAGTGCCAGATGTTGCCGTCTACTCGTTTTGGAAAAAATACGGTACAGGGCTGAGATATTTAGACTACACCGCGTATGATGTCGGCACCTGCATGCCGCCCCCCACTTAATGACTTCGTCCCACTAATCCGAGAAAACTGAGCAGTGAAGCCCCATAACAGGAAAATGGCATGGCCTCTGCCACACAACCAGTTCACAAGACAGCAGCAGAGACGGCTGATAGAGAACATGACATCGCCACAAATAGGTATCTTTCTTCGATGCTGGACTTGTGCTGCTGCGCGTCGTTCTCCCTGCCCTAGAAAAATGCGCAGCTGAAGAAGTCCGGCTGAGGAGCTGAGTTGCACTAGCCATGCTGTGACTTTCCCTTTGGTGCCTCTGGATAACTTGTTGCAACGTTAAACGCCCCAAGTACATCGACACACTACAGGGAGATATGTTCTAGCATGTTCTAGAGGTTCCAGGCCACACGCACGAACCTGCTCAGAAGCGCTTGAACTGCGGACGGCGATCCTCAGCTCATGGTTTAGGGTTTAGGGTTTGGGGTTTAGGGGTTAGGATTTAGGGATTAGGGTTTGGAGTTTGGGGTTTGGGTTTAGGGTCTCTTATCGATTCTTATCGATGGGGCTATCAGGGGGTTTTGGGGTACCTTATGGGGCCTTATTGTAAGGGAATCCTATTCTAGGGGGTTCCCCATTTAAGCATGGCCGCATGGTACATTGGCTGAAGAATTCTCCCAGTAGTCTCCAAGTCACCTCGATGTCGTTCCACTTGAAGTCGTGGAACCTGGTGCAGCGACACATGCAACATGGGGTGAAGTACTAGCTTCCGCACAAGTGTGGGTCCGGTGATATTAAACATTATCATTTTTAGTCCGTATTGGGCTTTTATCATAACAAAAAATGTAAAATTAGAGCCAACAAGAACCCAGAAGTGGGGGAGTCTCAGGCCCGAGCTCTGCCACAGTTGGAATGGCGCCCCATGGGTGGCACTTCTTCCAACTGACGGGCGCGCGAGCATCAAAGCTTATGACTACTTCCGCAAACCTCTGCATCGGCAGACTCTCTTACAACACTCTTGGGATCCACCACGGGGAAATCAGCAGAACTTCAAGCATCATTTTCTCTTTGGGCATCACTCTCCCTCTCCCTCTACCTCTCTGTCTTTCACTCTCTCTCTCTCTCTCTCTCTCTCTCTCTCTCTCTCTCTCTCTCTCTCGCTCTCTCTCACTTCTAAGGCCACAACTTCTCGTAGCTGCCGTACATTCCCTGCAGGGGCGGAGGACGTTGCAACAAGTGGGCATCGCGCACCCCCTTTAGAAGACCGCGGAAGTTTTGGGCAGAGTATAGAGCAACTGCTAGTTATGCTTCAACCTGACTGCACTTTCGAAGGCAAACCTGTACCGAACTTGGAAAAACGCCGATGCGCCGCTACACAGTCCTTCCAATGCTCCGTTATGCCGACGCACCAGCCCCCGCCCCCCAAAAAAATAAAAATAAAATAAACCCCTAGGTTACCGGAGTAATGGAGACAGCTGTGAGTCGGACCTCGGTCCTGAAGTTTCCTAGACACCCTCAACCCTAAACCCTAAACCCTCCCTAAACCCTAAACCCTATATAGCCTAAACCGTAAACCCTAGACAGGCCTTCATCCAGCCCTGCCGCTTTGAGCGACGTCGGAGGAAGCGAATCCGATCCTTCGAGCGCTAGCATGCGCAAGTGACGTCCATGGCGACAAGTGACGTCCATGGCGACATAGAGCGACAGCTTCAAGGACCCTTCCATGGACTTCTTTTCTGGGCACCGGACACGGCTCATGATCCAGGGATCCCACTGCTTGGGGAACTCCTGGAAGTGCCAATCTCGGGAAAATTCAGGAAACATTTGTCCTAGAATCTGCTCTTGCAAAGCTTCCGGGCCCTCGTCTCGTCTCGGGACCAGTGTGCTTGTGCAACCCTGAACGTCCTCCCGCTCTCCCGGCAGCTTCTGGTCGTACAACATCTGAACGAGACTCTCTCAGAGCGCAAAGAAGGCAAGCAGAGGCTGCAATGATCGATGTGTCCAGGCACCAAATGGTTGGAGGCCCTAGCCAGGTCTAGCTATGTCTAGCGGCTTTGGCCTCTGACAAAGATCAGCGCCGCACCTGGCCCTTCTGGATGGCCTCGCAGATCTTTCCAATGACCAGGTCGATGGACCTCGAAGCATCAGAGCCAGTGCATATGGACCTGCACTGCCAGTGCTGGGGGGCTCCGACTGGAAGCTGGGGCCAGTGCTTCGAGTTCGAGGTGTTGCTGGGAATGGCAATGTCCACAAACTTCGGCTCGTTGTTGGAGTCGACCATGCCTCTAAAGGGCAAGCATCTGGGTGCTGAAGGTGGGAGTCTTGAAGACTACACGGCTGATGCGGCCTAAGAGCTTGTGGGAATTCATGCCAGCACTCTAAGACTAAGGATCCCGCCAATGCAAGGCACACCAATGCGAGTCATCTCAGCAATGGGATTTCGCTCTTTCGCCTTGGGGTCAGGGCAGGTTCCACGTAGGTTCCCGGGTTTAGGGTTTGGGGTTTATAGTTTACGGTTTACTGTTTACGGTTTAGGGCTTAGGGTTTTTGGTTTAGAGTGTAGGGTTTAGGGTTTAGGGGTTGGGGTTTGGGGTTTGGGGTTTAGATTTAGGCAGCCCTGGCTGATCCTACCCTAAAGGCCCTGCAGGGCGTCGACGGTCCTCGTCCACAAAGATGCAGATGTCCGGGTAGCTGGTCATCTCCTCCACGCCACTGTACTTCCTGGTAAGACGTTCCAGCTGGCACCTCGCATGAGTTCAGTGTTGCAATGCTGGCAATGTCATACCCTCGGCCGTTGCAGTATGATTTGGCTTGTCTTGTGCAAGTTGGGTGCTTTCTTGGCAGGAGCGACTCTGCAACTCTCAGTCACGGGCGTATTTCGGAATCGCTGGAACTCGCTTCCGACATTCCATCGGCCCTGCGCCTTCTCTTCCTGCAGGCGCTTGCAGCGCTTTTAGCTACTCCAGGTGCCTTTCAGTACCAGTATGTTTAGATTGGTTCAGGTGCCGCACCCGCAGTTTCTTCATGAGTTCCACAGATTTGCGGATCGTCGGGAAGTTGCTCACCAAGCCACCAACAAACCTGGCATGTTGACGGCATGTCGGTTGAAGTGCTCATGCGTAGTTGCATCTGGCTGGCGTAGGTGAGCGTCTGGGACGTTGCAGCAAGGCACCCCCACCCGCCCTTCCCCCCCGGTACATCCTGGCGTATGAGCACCTGCCATCCTAAACGGGCAAAGTGTCGAACGAGCTCCCTAAATCCCGCTGCGGACAGACTTGGGAGAAGCCATGACAGGATGACTTCATGTCGGTGTAGTGAATGCCAGCTTCCTGACCATACTTCCTCACAATGGGGCGCGCCTGCTCCTGCGGCGTCACAGAGCGAGCCGACATGACACGCACACGGCTTACGAAAAGCGCCTTCGTTCCGACGAGAATGAACTTAGCACCTCTGGCGGCAGCCTCCATAACATAGTAGCCTCAAAGCACATGATCCAAGCATTCTTCGGCATGACCATAGCATAGTTGTGCGATCATGGAGGGGGCATGCAACATCCTATCGGTTTACACCAGGAGAAACGTCACTGCATTCTCGCTTGCTACAGAACCACGGATTGCAGAGCTCATGTCCACCAACATCTTTAGACTTAGCTCCGGCTGAGCCAACCAACTGGCCCAGAATGCAGGACACTAAGAAGTCGGCAGGCTCGGTTAAGGTTGGCTGCAGTCTGCACGAGATCGAAGATGTGCGTGCCCTGGCAACTACAGACTTCTGTATCATGCAACACACTGCCAGTTGTCCACCACTGCCAGTTGTCCACTTGCTGCGCACACGACAGGCAAGATCACCATAACCAAAGATTCGAAGACTAACTGCCTGATTTGGCATCTGCAGGCAGCGGCCATACAAGTTCAGAGAAGCAAGCTACCCCGATTAGCGCTGAGGAGAGCCATCATCAAACTCATCATAACCATCCTCGTCACTGATCCTCATTCACCATCATCATCATCATCGTCATCATCGTTATCATCATCATCATCATCACAATCATCATCATCATCATCATCATCATCATCATCATCATCATCGCCGTCGTCATCATCAGAAGCAGCGTTGTATCACCTCCACCCCCACTAGAAACCAGCCGTCACGTAGCAGCCTAGTGGCAGTTAACTTCTACTCCATGTCCCATGTGACACGCGAAATTTCCAAATCGCATCTCAGAACTGGACATCGTTGTCGGCAAAGAGATACTTGAGCATGGCCGGATTCCACCTCGGCTACAACTGCAGAGTCCTCCACCCACATGCACTATCTCGTGGTGACAGAAACTCAACATTCTGCGCATGAACGCACGCAACGGACTGGGGCTGCTACTTGTTCGACTTGTGGCCATACTGGACTCCTGCCGGCACGTGCAGAAGTACATCTTGCTTGCGCCCCTTCGTCATCCTACCATCATGGCATCATAGAATGGAAAAAGCATGGAAGATGGAAAAGCAATGCCTGCATCCACAAGCTCCCGCATGGTGACGACTTTAGTGGCAAGCTCCGGCCTGGGAGCTTTGCTTAAGTGGAGAGCTCGACCATACAGGATACTTTGTTGCATGAGTGCCGACAATACGTATCAAAAAATCCTTCATGCTTGGACGTGATTGAACGGACTCAAAATGCTGCAGTGTCTCGGCGTGGGGCATCTCCCAGTTTCCGAGTGCCAGCTTCTTGAACTTCGCAGGCTCCAGGTACCTGCGCATGCAGCAGGCCATACTCGCCCCACAGAGACTCCTTGATCCAAAGCCGGAAACGAGCCACTACCAATGGACTCACTCTTCGGAATGACAAGCCATAAACAAGCCAGGGCCACTTGCGAACGTAGAACATGTCATCGTAGTCATGGTTCATGAAAGTGCCGAAATCCTGAGAAAGGACGGAAGGACGCGCTCCAAACTTACTTGAAGGAGCTCTGTTTCAAGCTCTAGGAACTCAACACCTTTGAGACCCCAGCCCTCTTTCTTCGGGCCATGTCGGAAGACAAAGGCGCAAGATCGAAGAAATGCTGCGACCTGGCTGTGATATCTGTGATTTTGGGTCTCAGTCTTCGACGCCTCTCTCACCACTGGATATAAAGCTTCACACATGTGGGTTGCTAAAATTAGGGGTACCTTCTTATGGGGTCCTTTTATAAGGGGATCCTACTATTTGGGGGTCGATTTTGAGGGGTCCCTTGTCTTCGTAAACCCACACATTAGTGGACTGCTATCATCTGATTGCTCTGCCAAGTCACGCAAACTGAAACTGAAATCGGCCATGCAATTGCTGGCGGACTACCTGCATGCACATGAAAAACAGATGAAGCTACCACGGAAGCTTCGCACTAGAAAGGCACCGAGCCTTTTCCATAAAGTCGAGGTTCTTGTCCTTGTTAGCAACCCAGCCTGTCCAAGGCAGATGTCGGCAGGCCGCATTAAGCCAGTCAAACTGGATCGATGCACAATTATTTTGCAGAAGAAAATGTGGCATGCTGTCCCACACTGAATGCATACCCCCTAAACCCTAAACCCTAAACCCTAAACCATCAGTCTTGTAGCCCGCGTCCATTGCGAACACTGCGCCTTCAAAGCCATCTTTGAAGACGTCCCTTCCAGGATCGCAGACGTGGCACATCGTGCGACACACCAGAACACCAGAACAGGCATGGATGAACAGTGTCCCCCCACCATTCAATCTCCACTTCAGATTAGGTGCTCAGGCAGGATTTATGTCGGTTGAGGGTATCTCTGGCACTCCAGGACACACGGGACGCCGGGGACGCAGAGACGGGAAGGACGCGGGAGATGTGGGAGACGAGCAGGGTGGGCGATGCGCAGAATGCGCGGGATGCGGGTTGCAGCGTACAGGACGGAGGGGGCATGCGCAGGACGTGGGGGGGAGACGCAGGACGACGCGCGGGACGCAGGGGACGCGGCAAAAGAACGCGGACTCGCGGGACGCGGGGCGCGCGGTTCTCGCGTGTCCTGGGCTGTTGGGGGTACCATTCTGCACGAGTAAGCTTTGCCCACCTTGTCTCCTTTCGGTGGATCATGGGCTTCATGCCTTTGGCTGCAGGCCTGCCATGCTCTGAGGTTGCAAAGCTCGATGCGTCTGGACAAACTGGCAGCCGGGCTTGGCCCAGCGTGTTGGCTTCCTGACTTGCATCACCACCTGGCAGGTTAGTCAGCACAGAGTGCCCCTTGCATCCCTTGACACATGCAGCAGCAAATCGTGGTAGGCAGGCACGCGGGGTTTTGGCGGCGTTTGGGCCTTGACTTCGGCTCATGACAAATGACAAGCGACGGAACTGAGACTCAGCAAAGAACATTAGGAGACTAGACGGTCAACCCTACCCTTCGAAAATCTTGATTCCAAGGCCCACGCCCCGCCGCCGCGCGGCCCGCGCAGCCAGCGCAGCTACCGCCGAGGCAGCAGCCAATGCGCCAAGGCCGCGTGCCGGGAGCTGGGCGAGGGCTGTCTTGATTTCTGGTTGCTGCTTTCTTGAGATTCGCTGCTAACTGCACCCGCCATTATAAGATCTCGTCACAGCTTTGCTTTTCGCTTAGTTCCACATAGATGTCGGTGGTGAAACGCACGGGGGAGGTAGTCTTCCCACTGGATCACATCCTGAACAGACACGCGGCTAGTGACCTGACTTCACAGCAAGCTACTTCAGAGCTGTGTACGCATGCTCGCTGTCGAAGCTTGGGAAGACCATTGCGGCAAACTATGTACAGCCGGTTGCCTCGCAAGCCTTCACATCTTCGATGAACCCAACTCAGTTGCTCGGACACACCGATGTTCTCCCGGATGCTCCACTCAGAACCAGGATCCCTGCACCAAGCAAATTCGAGATCAATCGGCCTCTCTAGCTTTGGATCCATGGCGGAGTCCCACTCAACAGGTTTTATGACCTTCATGATGCACAAGAAGCCCTCTCAGGGGCATCGGCCGGCCTTTGGCAGTGCAAAGCGCGGCTCTGGAGCAGACTTGGAAGCCTGAAACAGTACCGGCTGCAAAGTGGCTCAAAACTGCAGCCTGACGCCATATCTCATGCTGTCTCATGCTCGGGAGCTGCTTAAGCCTTCTTTAAGGCCGCGACGGTGTCTTGGAGCGGTGGCTTGGTGATTTCATCCACCTTGTAAGCGTTCAGATGTCCGTGCGCCATATAATGCAGTGCCTCATAAGCAAACAAGGCAACGATTCCCAACCAGGCCTTGACAGTCGGCAGCGTGTTATTCTGGCTTATCCTGCATGCTACAACATGCTACAGAAACGCTGCGAACAAAAAAAACGAAGACTATGACAATGCAATACCATCCGGGGCCGGCCTTGGGCCAGCGCCCACCGACAAGGCCGGCAGCAGCTCAGCCCAGGTTCGTGTAACTAGCGTCCTCAATTCAGGGAAGCTCTGGTTCACACAGGGGTACTTGTGCCGCTTCAAACCCGAGGTCTTGCAGCTGATCCCTTCGGCATGTCCTCGCAGACACATTGCGCAGCAGTGCCATTGGAAGCAAGGCATTCCTTGGAAGAACGGCTTGCACGTGCACTTTGGGTCACTCAGCGGGCTCCAACCGACTTGAGCCAAAGCTCCGTTTGCACACGAAGGTGCCTCTGTCATGCCCCTCCCAGTCGTACCATTGCTGCTGCCGCTCTTCCGGCTTGCAGTCCGGCTCGTTCTCACCTCCGCAAAGCACCAGCAGCTGGGCATCCATATCACAGATGTGCTACCTTGCTATAGTCGTATCAGACACCACAGATTCCAATCAGGGAGAGCGGCGGCCAGTGCAGTTCTTCGCAAAGTTGGAGAAGTCATCCTGGAGGACAGCCAGATCAACCACATGACACATCCTTGTTCCTTGCTCGCTTTGGTATTCAGTCCTGAGTGTTGTCACTCCACTGGAAATGAGTGTCTTGGTCCAGGTCAGTGTAGCCAATCCAAGTACTGAGCCCATTCGTCCTTAGATCTGAAGCATCATAGCTCCTGCCATAGTTGCCACATCTCCGCATCGTGTCACCACTGAGGCCTGCACAGTGTGTAGATGAACCTGTTCTCCGCCTTATCCGCACTGCCACGAAAAATCACCACATCTTGCTGATGCTTGCTAAATGTGCACAAAGACCACCCGTACCATCACCATTACAAGCCGCTTGACCGTGAATCGGGATTCGTTAACGGCCCCACCGACTTCCCCCACCAGCTATGCACAGCGTATGTAACCGCAGACCAAGAAGACGTACTTCAGACAGACACTATCACTACAAATAATGCTCCCTGTGCCCTGACACCCAGCCCGTGACATGGTGACCGAGCCACTCGAGAGTGGATGGAGGCCAGATGAGAGCCTTCACCAAACTGTCTGCAGGTGGCTTCAGCCTGCGGTTCAGGGAGGCTGGAAGCTCTGACATCATCTGCACAGTATCTTATCTGCACCATGCCTCAAACCAAGTCTTCTTCTCCCAGAAGTGTTTATAACCTCACAACATGTCACAAGCACAGCTCCACATCAGCTCTGCGAAAAAAAGTTCCCATGCACAATCCACAAGCAGTCTGCAAAGCAAACTTGGCCCCACCAGTGGCCCTGCCAAGCAGCAGAATGCATCCCACTGCGACCACCCCGGATGGCAAGCTCCAGGATGATACACCTGCACCATTAGGGTTTAGGGTTTAGGGTTTAGGGTTTAAAGGGTTTAGGGTTTCTTCTCTCATCAGAGCTCCATCTAGCTTCAGCCCGCTCGGCAGAGAATCATGCCAGCGAAAACCCATTCTAAAACCATCCGCCACCTGAGAGAGCTGGCCGGCGCTGTAGGTGGCCGCGACCTGTGCATCATCCGCACCATTGCCACACCAGTGGTGGAAATCCTGGCAGCAATCCGGTCTTGTGTTCTAGTGCTACTACACCTGCAAGGGAAAAGGCTGCACATTACGGCAGCTTCATACACTTCCACTCAGGCAGTTAGGTGTAGTCAATGCTTGCCAAGACTGCTACGTCTGAGAATGACGATGTCTTTCGACAATCGCTCAGACGGGCAAGCGCAAGCAGTTTCTAATCGAAAGAAACTCCTCAGCACTGATGCTGACTGCTGTGCGGAGTATCATGGTCGCGAGCATATCTTTCAAAAACCAGCATGATGGCCCTGAAAACCCAGTAGCAGCTCGTCCTCTGCTCTCTTCAAGCAAGCCGCGTCATTGCTGCCAGCACCAACCTCAAAAAGACATCAGTGGACCTCTTTCGACAGCTTTGACAGCCAGGGCCAATGCTAGCAAGGCACATGCGACTCTCCCAGGTCATCCCGAAACTGCTTCTGCTGATACTCCGGAAAATTGCGACCTTGGAGCTGAGAAACTAAGAAGGTCGTTGAAGCCAGATATTTCGGGCAAAGAATTCGCAATCGCCGCTGGGCACCGCCGCAAAGTTTAGCTGTGATGGTACACCCGGTACTTGCAGTACTTGGCGCCTCCTGACGGAACACAAAAGAACACCGTCACAACTTTGTGGACATCTTTACTCACCTTGGAACCAATTGCCTCCGAACTGGTAGGTGCAGCACCCAGCAATAGAAGCACTCGATACATCCTTGGATTGCGAAATCACGGGCACAGCTCTGCCCAGGGCACTTCAGGTTTAGGCCAAGTCTCCCGCATTCAGTGATGCAAGCTCGCTGAACTCTTGAAATCGCTTGGGCCGACATACAAACCGGCAGTGTATTGTTTTCCGATTTCCCAAGATGCACATCGAAAGTACCAAGCATTATCATGAGTCTTGAGCTGCATGGAAGAGCAGGTCTGTCATGTCTGTTTGAGGACTCGACGCTGCTGACTTCTTCTGGAGCATGCAGAACCTGTGGCGGCAGCACTGCTGCTTGGACTTGAACTAGTTCATGCACATGCGACGACTGCCACAGTATGCACGGTGGAACGACTGCTCAAAGGCTCAGGGCGAAGCCGCAGGTGATGCTGCAGTCCCCAATCGCTGCAACGGCTGGGATGGCAATTGGCCGCCCGGTGTGACCACGAAGGTGGTCGACTGCCCTGGGACATTGCAGGGTTGCATGATTGTTCCTCTGCGTACAGGACTCAGCTCTCAACCATGAAAACCAGTTTAAACTCAGTATTGAATGCCTTCTAGAAGTTGGAAGTCTTAAGCCCAGCACGGGTGGCCAACAGACACACGGTGGCCATGGTGGCCAAGCCAAGCGCCTTTGCAGTCGAAATCGGGCGAAATGTCCAACATCCAAAGCAGCTCAAGAACCCACATCAGCAAGCTTCTGCATCACTGGACAGCAATTTCGTCAACACCTTCACAAATTGGAGATGACCGTGATTGAACTTCACTCTCACATTGCTAACTTACATCTGAGGCCACAGCAGATAGCGTCACATTGATTGATCTACCGTCCATCATGCGCAGCGTCGTCCCGCCTTGAAAATGAGTCACGGACGGCTGCAACCACTCAAAAACGCTGCCCAACACACCAAAAACACCCTCCGAACCGAGGAACCGGCCACACCCACACTGTGCCCGTGGCTCTTCGCAGAGCCCCGAGGGGGTCGGCAAAACAGCTACCAACACCCCTGTAAGCCGAAAGGCCAGAAAACAGCTGGCAAGTTCGCCGCTGTGCTCACATGGGAAGTCAAAGTTGAGAAGACTTAGGAGAGAGAACAGCTTCAACAGCTCGGCACACGATGCCGCACGTCTATCTTGCCATCCATGTTCAACCTCAACGTTGAAATTTCGACTTAACGTAACCCCGGTTTGGCTAATGCCGCAAGTCCGGCATCAAAAAAAGAGGCGTACGCCAATGGATGTTTTTACCAACTTCTCTATGGCCCCCGCACCAGAAGTGCGTACCTTTATGTTTGCTTTTTTGTTGCGGGATTCTCACTTGCGGTTTAGTTTACGTCTTGGAGGGTTGTTGCGGGAGCTCAGCTACTTTATTGAGTAAAGCTGGGTTGAGTGGTGGTTAACGCTAAGGTTGGAAACTGAATGTCTCTTGCCAAAAACGTCGGAACCTTAAGGCGAGTCGTGCCCGGAGCTCTTTGAAGATTGCCTCTTGGTTCTTGGGTCAAGACAGCCGTATCGCTTATGTGTTTCAAAACCTTTGATTTTGCACGGTCCAAACAAATAATAGACCCGAAAACCCTGCATCTCTATTCTTTTGGGCTGCCCTCGTGTTAAGAGCCGTGGTGCATGTTGGCCGATGTGTTTCGGATAATTTGCGCGCATATGGCGCGGATCGATTCGATTGTGTGTGATGGTTTTGTGCGGTGTGGTGGGCGTGCGACGTACTAAAGGTGCTTGTCCCGGCGCTGTCCAACTGGCTTTCTTTTGCTTTCGTAGATTTTGTCTGAGAATCTCAAGCTCCGGCGGCTACAGCTCTCATCTACAAATACCCTACGTTTGTTGCAGAACACTCGTCGAACCCTGATGTGTAGCCGAGGTCACCTCTAGCTCCTTTTCTCAGCTCCTTTCTTTCCGGCCTTGCGGGAGAAGAACTTCAAGAGCTCCACGGCTTCAGGCTTTCAGGGGGTAAGGCGGGTCTTTTAGGTGTTGGTTCTCGGGTGCAGAAATCAGGGGGCCTGTGATCGTGCTTTTGCCGAGAAAATACAACACGGATCACAGACTTTACAAGTCTGTGACCTCGTGGGCTGTCGCACCGTTTCTAAGGGTTCAAAGGCAGAACCGGTGTTGGTTGAAGCGCATTTGAGCCCGTGGCACTTGCAGAACATTTTCGCCCGTGTTACTTGGGCTCTGCAGTAGCAGGCCCCACTTTGGTTGATCGCGGAGTAGCTTCACAAGGGCGTGGGTCCCAATTTTGGCCCGCATATGGGCCCAACTGGAGATCCTAAAACGACACCAAGTTGAAGCAAACCTGTCACAAAGCCAATGTTCGTTTTTGGGGCTGCTGCTTTAGTACGTCAGTACCTCAGTGATTAACTGCAGATCAATAGCGACACATGCAAAAGACTATTCTTGTTTCTTCTGGGGAAACACCACACAAACACCAAACAAGGCAACGCAAACCCAAGGCCGCAAGCTGAAAAGTAGCGCTACTGTGCAATAGGCAGTCGGAGGGCCTCAACGATTCTACTTGACCTGGGACCGCAGGACGGGTTGTGGCAACTTTCAACACAGGTGAAACAGCTTTCATGCCCCTCTCAATCCTTTAATCCTTCAGATTACGTGCTTGTCGAAGTAGTCCAGATCGCAAGTGACCACGAAATTGCATCGTGAGGCAAATTTACCCAAATTGCATGTTCGAACAAAATCAGCGCCACCAAACTTTGCACAGGTTGTTTTTGTTCACTTGCTGTGCTGAGCAATGCAATGTTGGCAGCAACTCGGCTCCTAGACAACCCTTAAATTAAAGACACCAAGGTTGTGACTATGACCACAGGTCTTATCCATGCGGATTGCCTCGTTCCTCCGCTTGGGCATGGGCAAATCACGTGGGAGTGAACCGAAAAAAACGATGTCGTGTACTCTTTTGAAGCTGTGACTCTACCGTTTGGCGGGATCAGTTCGTGAAGCTTCAACCAGCCAGTAGAGTGTTGAAGCTCTAAGCGGACCTTCGCAGAGAGAGAGGTCTTCGCAGAGAGAGGTCGCCGCGTGGAAGAAATTGCGACAGCAGATAGAGCGGGGTGAGCTCATTTGGCAACACTGGCCTGTTCCAAGGGCACGGGTCAGAACGGGAAGGACCCGGGCTCGTTTTCAACCTTCCGCCCGGCCTAGCTGCGTCTCCAAGAGAAGGGAGGCACAGGACTGCTTGGGAACAGCAAGCAACGGACCGAGCCAGCAGCCACTCACAGAGAAGTTTGCCTCTTAAAGAATGCATGTTTTCCTTTGAAAACATTCTTAAACCATTCTCGTAAATTTACATCCCTGCCTCGAATATCCTTCATAACTCGAGTCAGAGAATCTGCCTCTGAAAAAGATTTGAAACTTGTTCTTTGCTTGAACTGTAAAACAACCACAACAACCTTCTGAAAAATCTCAAAAAGGGTTTCACGCCCCTCTAAATTCGATGAGATTCATCAACTCCAATTTTGAAGCCCCTCGGCTTGGGGGACTTGAGAACTCCGCCTCAAGTCCCCTTCAAGTACCTTCCCAAACGCCCCTTCAAGTCCCTTCTCAAATCCCTTTTGAAGTCCGCTTAAAAAGCTTCCCTTTCGCAAGCCTCCTTTCAAGCTATTTTCAAACCTTCATTGTTCCTTCTTCCCCCTCCTCCGGCCTCGCTGGCCTTTTCAAACTCCAGCTGGAACAGCTTCCCCTTCTCAAGCCCTCATTCGCGGAATTAAAATGGATCATGCCCCCTTCCATCTTCCAGCTCCGACATGAACTAGAACTTCAAGTTTGATTGTTCATTATCGATCAATCATCATTGTCATCATCATCATCATCGTCATCATCATCATCATGACTGGTAAGCTGATCATGACAAATGATTCATGATCATGATCCAAAATGCATCATGTATCATGATCAAAGTCAGAATTACAATTCACACAATCATGTCATCATGATGTCTGACCGTCTGATGTAACACAGAAGCCTATTGGAAAAAGCTTGAATCAATTAGACAGCCACGACTCATGACTGTATGATTAAAGCTCATGTCATGGAATCAGAAATCACGACTCGAACTTTGACGACTCATGCCTCATGGACTCATGACAATACGCAGCTATCAGCCCCTTTCGAGTAACGAAGGTCAATACTAAGAACAAAAACCGAGAAGGTGAAACTTAGAATGCTTTCGCTTCTCTACCGTGACACTGACAATGGAAAGGTGGCCAATCGTGAAAAATTACTGAGAAATCAAAACAAGAAACGAGGTGGGGTGGAAACTGGAACAGTTCTATTTCTCTACCAATATAGTGCAAAGTGCGAACAACGAAGGTCAGAAGAATCAACATGACATTTCACTTCTTTAAGTATCGAAAGATGAAAAATGAAAGAAGCCTTCACTTAATCAACCCCCGAAGACATGACATTGAACCCAGATTAAAAACATGGCTTGAAATCCCCGGAACCTCAAGCTGCAACTGAAATCTCTGGAAATTCTCCAAACCAGACTTCAACCAGGTTTGTTTTTGGAGGTAAAACCATGCCCAAACCTTGATGCAATGACCATCTTGCAATTGCCTGCTGGAAACAAGAATCAGAAGCCTTGCAATGTGTCTTGTCTAAATGAAGATGTTAATCTGAAACCTGTGCTCATTCCATCACAAGCACAAGATGCGAATTCTTAGTTTCAAGAACACGCAGGTGGAGGGCCAGCTGCAGCCTGCAGCCTGCAACATGCTCTCGTGGCCGGTGAATTTGGATGCCTAAAAATGTGGCTTTCTGCACGACTGGAATATTGACATCTGCAATTCGAATCGTTTGACCAGCCTTCAGGCCGATTTACAGATGCCTTTTATTAGGCTTGCAACCCTCTTCATGATCTCTCTTTCCCCGGCGAGTGGTCCATCGTTGACATACATCGCAAGGACGCCCAGGATCTTGTTGTGGTTGTCAGCCTGGACAATTTTCCACAGTCCTGCGCTGATGTCCCATGGAAGAAGTTTCAGGT